CCCCACTTGCAGCCTTTTTCAGAAGCCGCCCTATCCATCCGTCCATCCACCGTTTAGCCCGCAGAGTTCCACCATCCGTTCTGAGCGGAACCTTGCTGTCCGTAACCCCGCGGCGGCGGTGGCTGTCCCAGATAATGCTGTGGCGTCGGACTCGAGTACATCGGCGGCTGTTGCCCATGCTGCGTATGCATGGCGGGCATTGACTGGGGGTGCGGCTGGGGATGGTGCGGTCCCGGGTGCTGGTGGGGGTGCGATGGCTGTGGCGTATGTGGCGCCTGAGGGTGGAAGTACTGAGTTGGTGGCATGTAAGGTCCACCACCGTGTGTATGCAGCTGCTCCGGCTTAATTCCCTGGTTTGGCCTTACTGGCGACTGAGAGACCAATTGCTGATGCTGTTGTTGCTGCTGCTGCTGTTGCTGTTGCTGATGATGCAGAGAAGACAGCTGCTGTGGGCTCATCATGTGTGGAGGTGGAGCATGAAGCTGCGGGTGTTGCGGGATAGGCGCATGTTGAGATGGGTGCGGCAATTGTGGGTTGGCAGGCTGCTGCTGTTGCTGCTGCTGGGCCTGTTGGGCCTGTTGCTGTTGGGCCTGCTGCTGCTGGGCCTGCTGCTGCTGCTGCTGTGGGTTCAAGACCGATGGGTTATGCTGTTGCGGCTGCGGCTGTGGCTGCGGGGGGGACTTGGGCTTGAAGTAGTTTTCCTGATACATCCCCCTCCTTGCCTTGCTCGTCTGCCCAAGCTGCTTATTGAAGTCCGCGGCATTGTGCACATGTTCCATAACCTGCGACTGAGACGTGCTGGTCATCCTGTCTTGGTACGGCGGGCCACTGACTTCTTGCCTTGGTCTGGGAACCGAATACAGCTCTCTCAACTTTTCTTCAGTAGGGGCAAGGTGAATCATGGGCAATGGTGTAACCGTTGGAGCGGGGCCACCTAGCCCAGGCTGAACCATCTGTGGCACAGGTTGCTGGTCAATCTGGGCTGGGTCGTGTGTGTAGAGTGGCTCTTGGCCCTGACCATGTTGCTGCTGTTGCTGCTGAGCAGCTTGTTGCTGCTGTTGGGCTGCGGCTTGCTCACTGGCCTGCGCGGCCCTGATTTTTGCTGCGCCTGGTCTTTTCTCACCAGCTGGGTCTTCTTCTGTGAAACCCTGCTTTCGTGCCTTGGATTCCCAGTAGTCATCTCTCACACGTCGGCCATTTACGATCACTCTGCTCCCAAATTGACGGAACATACTCCTAGCAGTCACGATTGCGATCTGTCGCGACCTGTAAGAGTACGGGAGAAGCTCTTGCTGGATAAGGTCATCTTTCTCTGTTTGCGTTGCGATAATCTTGAAGAGGGACCTATTCTTGTTAAACAAAAGGTACGAGTCTCGGTACCCCAAAACCCTGGCACACTCAGTCGCCAACATGAACAGCTTCTCGCCGCGATTCGGCACGTGAAACGTTCGGCATTTATATTCCCTGCCATTGCAAAGATGCCCTGTTGACATAACTTTCTTGTCGCCCTCCTCATCATACTCGCGAGGAATATATTCATCGCCCTCAGGCGTAAGCTGGTCAGTCGTATGGTCGCGTACCGTCGGCAGCGCCTTGACCATCGGCTTGGCAGGTGTCGGTTTCGGCGGTGTAGGCAAGGTACCAGGTTGCTGAGTGGGTGTCTGTAATTGCTGGATCTGCTGTGGCGTGCTTACGGTCTGTGCGGGTAGTTGCTGGTGTTGTTGCTGTGGGGTACTCGCAAGCTGCGGACTCTGCGGCACACCAGGGCCCTTGTTCTTTGGTGGTCGCCCACGCTTCCTGCGGACCGGTTCTTCGGTAGCACCTATAGCACAAGTTTTTTTCCTATTAGTTTTTATTTTTTTATTTCTTTTTATTTTTATTTTTTATTTTTTATTTTTGCGCGGGCGCGGGCGCGCATGAAGGGAATGAGAGGGGGGGGGTTCTCTCTCTTTAGCTGGAAGACGTACCTGCACCAAGATCATCGCCAGCTATGGCTCCATCTCTGTAAGTCTCGGGGGACCGACTTCTTTTAATTCCTCTTGGACTGGTAATACTTGCGAGCGCAGCAGCATTAGGTTTTGTGTCATTCTCGAACTCTGTCGCAGTTGTGGGCGGCGAGAACGGTGTCGCGATGGTGTACGCGCTGGCGGGGTTCAAGGAAGCTGGGTCGATGGTGCCAGAGCCATCGAGGCCCCCGCTGTTCATAGGGGGCGTATACACGTTCATGTTTCTGAATGCCGTTGGTGAGGTCATGCAGTACACAGTTAGAGGTGAGGGGGGTGGTGGAGAGGGTGAGTGGTTCCTTCGCTCTGACAAGCGCGAGCGGATTAAGCTCGGGACTGGATTGGGTGGATGGAGGATGGGATGGGATGGGATGGGAGCGAGCGAGTGGGTGGAGTTTGACGCGAACGTTAATGGATGTATGGGCCGCGCGAGGGACCAAAAGAAGAAGAGCAACCACAGCGACAGCCGTTAGAAGGTCACTTTCGGGACAAACACAGGAGAAGCAGCAGCAGGAGCAGCAGCAGTGGAGATGGTGGGGGTGGGGTGGGCGATGGGGGGGTGGGGGGGTGTGGGCGAGGGAGGGGAAGGGAGGGGTGGGTTGTTGGATAGGCGAGCAGCAGCAGAGCAGCAGCAGCAAGCAAGCAGCAGCAGCAGGCAGCAGGCAGCAGGTAGGTAGTAGAGGCAACAATAACACTACCACTCACTACTACTACCGTAGGCAAGCAACTGTCAAGTTATTTTTTTTTTTGGGAGGTGCGGGAGAGGTGCACTGACTGGCTCGCCGGGTGGATTGTTGACGCGAAGTGGAAGGGGGTGTGCGGTTTCGTAGAGCGTGTGTGGGTTATGGTATGGGGGTGGGGAGGGGAAGGGGAAGGGGTGGTGTGTATGTGTGGTGTGTGTGTGTGTGTGTGCGAGATGGATACAAAAATGGTGTGGTAGATAGAGGTGGTGGTGGTAGTAGCAACAGGAACGTAGGCAAGAAGTCAGGCCCTGTGTACTTCCTCTCCAAGGAGTAGGGATGGATGGGGGGATAGATGTTGGATGGAACTGGGCTTCTTCACTTGCTCTCTCGCTTGCTCTCTGGTTCAAGAGGAGAGACCAAAGGCCAAAATGGTGTGGACACCGTGGGTGGATGGATGGATGGATGGCTGGATAGATGGAATGGATGATGAAGGGGGCTGCAGCAACTTTTAGGGAGGATCTGAGTGATGGGCGCAGCTTGATTTGCTGGGATTGCTTTTTTAGTTCCTTTTGTACTTTCTTTTTGTTTGATTTGTGTTATTTTTCCTCTTTCTCTGATGGGGAAGGGGGAGGGGGTGAGAAGGTGTGGGAGAAGCGGAGCGAGGGAGCGAGGGAAAGGGTGGCTGGATATGCTTTGTGATTGGCTGGAACCGAGGCGGATATGCACGGCAACCAATTAAAAACCAGTAACAGAGAGGTTGGGGAGAGAAAACAAAACCACTGTTCAAAAAATCTATTCCTCCTGTAAGGACGATTCGACTAAAACTTGAGAATCAAATAGACAAAAATAAAAATAAAAAAATAAAATAAAAAAGGAGGGGTGATTGATTATGGACAGGACAGATGTCACCGTGTAGAGTAGACAGATAGATGGATGATAGATGATAGTCCGTCCAATTGAGGGGTGGTCGCGATAGAACTAGGGCAAAAATGGTGTGGTCCGAAACACATAAAAATAAAATATAAATACCTGCTTGCTTGCTTGCTTGCTTAAACGTGCGTGTGTGGGACTGCCTGTCTGTTTTGTGATATGAGGCACTGGTGGTGTGTCTGTCCTGGATATCGACTCCGGACAGAAAGGAAAGAAGTCTCGTCTCGCTCGCTCGCTCTTGCTCGTCTCGCTAGTGTGCGCGTGCGTGCTGCTGAGTCTACCACTAGCTTTGATAGAGTAGGGCAATGATGTGTATCCTGGTTGACTGCAGGTTACGGGCGCTAGGCGTCGTCACGATAGGGCGGTGTGAGAGAGTGGCATGCGCGGATTGAAATTCAATACTTGCCAAGAGCTTGGGTGGGGGGGGTGGACTGCTGCCCTCCGGAAGAAACGAGCCTGCCTGAGCCTGAACCACCCTCGACAACGTGCTTGCTGCTTGATTAATTGCTTGTAACTTCTTCCCGAGCTGTATGGATGCCCAAGTGATCGCTGGTACTCTCTCCCAGGGAACTGGCCGACGTCCGGAACAAGCACGGAAAGGTCGAAAGGGACAAAAAACCAACGGTGAAAAGGGTGTGATGAGGAGGGGTGTGGTGGTGAGGGGGTGTGATGTAGGTGTGGTAGGTGTGCAGAGCAGTCTTAGCAGAGATCAGAACTGCAATCTGACAAAACGGTGTGGTGTGTCTGTGGCGGCGAGCTGCTTCTGCGGGGCTGAATGGCTCAAGCTCTCCTAAAAAAAAATAAAAAAAATTAAACCGAAGCTGGGGAAATCTCCAAAATAAAAAAATAAAAAAAGGAAATAAATAAATCTAAAGGCAGGCGCTGGGAGGAAGGAAGCACGGACGCTGGCCGTTTCTTTCCTGGTGGGTGGTGTGCGTGCGAAGAAGGAAGGATGGAGGGATCAGTGTGAAACGAAAGGGGGGTGGTGGGCGGACCCGCGTATATAAAATCGCGAAGAAAGTTGATATGGTATGCACCTCTAGCTCAGTCCAGATGAAACTCTTGAAATCAAGGTTGGTCCCCCAGATAGATGGATTCATATGGATCTCGATGTGCTGAAAAGCCACACCAATCAAATTGCCTCGTAGGGCGCGGAAAAATCAATGTTTTTGTTCGGATGAAGTGAGTTTTGAGTGAAATATTGACATCTCGGGTACAGAGAGAGTAGCATAGATAGATAGATTACGAAGCATCGCCTCCTCCTTCATGGCAGCATTTGCCCGACATCGGCCAGGGGGAAGAAAAAAAGAAGGGTCCACCGTCCACCCTACCGTGAACAGTCATTCAGGGCAGCTGACGGACAAAGACTACCATTTACTCCTACCTACCTACATGCCCCATCAGCAAACTCAAAAAAAAAAAAAAAAAACCGATAAGAGCTCTCAATTTAACCCCTAATGAACCCACATCCTTTGTTGATTGTTTCGTCTATTTATCGCCAACTTTCACATGACATTTGCAACGGTATCGGTTGGGTATAGGGTCCAGTCTGGTCATTCGGAAGTCTTCCATGACACATCCCTACCGGAACCAGCTTACTCCACATGCAGGCCCCTACTTCAAGATCACCATTCCAGAACCGCAGGCGTCATGATATATGACAAAAGGTATCTATTCGGGTTGTGAGAAAGGGCTCAGGATAGAGTACCTACAAAGCATTCGAGGGGGCGACTTACTAAACGTGCTACTACGCCCCTCAACCCAATAAATCTCAAACGCTCAACAATTTCAAGTTCAAAATGATTGTTTCTAGAGCACACATAAGGAAGTTCACGGAACCTCTCTAGTAAGTAATCATTCACAAATGAGAACACAAAAGGGAACGAAAAGAAAGAAAAAACGAGAACAGCAGCCGCAGCTTATTTACGCGCAAGTTCAAGCTAGATCAACCCGTAAACGGGTGTAACGGCAGTTTCCCTGTTCAGAGTCGACTCGTCGTTTCCGTCTGTCATCATCCTCCATGCTCGCCTCTCTCCTTCCTTCCCTGCACGACTCTGCATATGTGCTGCACTGATCTGACAGGCAGACCACCACCGAGGTCGAAAAGGAAAGGATAAAAAAAAGAATTTTAAAAAAGCAAAGGCGAGGCCCGGTCCCAACAGACTGTTCTGTTCTTCGCCATACCACTCCCTCGTGTCGTATTTTTATGACTCCCACCCCATCATCTATCAATAAACACCCACGACACCCCCAAGTCCCAGACAAGGATATTCCCAGGCCGGTAACTTTGCGAGTTCCCCAGATCCTCGCCGGGGTGTGATATTGGTGTGGTGTGGAACGCGCTATCAATTCAGTCAAGGCATCAGAGAAACGTGCTTGAGTATATGTAGAACTCAATCTAGCTCACGCGCGTAACGATTGTGCCGCGATAAACAAATCATAGAATGCAGAACGGACAAACAAACGACCCATCATAGGCCTGTCTTGTTATCTATGCCCTCCATGGCCTAAGGAGGGGACTTTCGGGGGAGACGAAGTAAGAGAGGGGCAACTCAACTCTGCGATGATGTTTCACTTAGAAGAGGGGAAGGAATGCACGTCCGCAGGAATTCAGAAGTGACGACCTGAACCCGCGGAAGTGGTCTCGAATCGGTAGAGCTCCAGCTTTCTGAGGTTAGATGGAATGGAGGGGAATACAAGCCATCACTCTCTGAACTAATGTAATTATTACCCCGCCATGCTAAGATATCTCGCTAACCTGCTATAGTACTAGCCTTGCCGCAAACCTCTGGTAATACATCATGAAGGAATTCTCCTGGTCTGAACTTTTCACATACATTAGTACTTAATCGCGGTCAGTCGGCATTTTTCGATGGGTCGTTTGCATTAGTGTAATAATTGTGCGGATATTCGAGTGTGGTCATTATCTTCGGGATTCAACTTGAGTTAAAATGCTCACACTTTAAGATAAAAAACCGGAGAGTTAATCCCTGTCTGGATATGCGATGTGGTGTAATGTAGGTACATACATACTCTGTGTACGCAGAGTAATTCTACATGTGTTTTTTCTTTTGGCTGGCATGGAAGTTGTCGCAGATGCAGATTGTTTCGGATACCCAGCAACACCCCCCCCCCCCCCCCAAAACCCTCAGTGATATAAGTAGTTGACTTAGATACAACATCCTTGAGGCGATCATGAAGCAATGGGGCTGACAGTCTCGTAACGTCAGGGTCACCCCCCCTCCAAAATAATACCATAGGTACATCGTGTCATATGCATAAACAGGTACAAAAGTAAAGTACAGTTTATTCCAGATGACGATCTTTAATATACCCGACAAGGTACCTACAGGAGCAGTTGAGAGGGTGGATCAACCTCCATACTAGAAGGGAATACCGAGCTTCTGTGTAACTTTCACAAAAACTTTGAAGTCCACAGAGTGGTCGCGGCGGCCGGAAAGAAACACAGGGGGGAGGATGGGATGAAACAAACAATGGTTCATCTGAAGTTCCAGTCCAACTCCCGAGTGATAATGGATGACTCAGTCAGCATGGCCATCAGTCGCCGTCCCGGGATCCTTCGATATGATCGCCGTCTCGTATGGTCAATCGAGATATCGACGCGTTCAAAGCAGTTGAAAAAAACAATAACTTAAGACAGAAAATGGCAGGGCCGTCTCCGATCGCCCACATAATGCGTAATCAACTCATCAGCCACGAGATGCCCGCTGTACACCCCGCCAAAAAGATCAATTGTATGCAGGGGGACAGCAGATGTTTCAAAATGATAGAGAGAAAAAGTAAAGAAGCAGGGGATGCTGGTAACAGAAATCTTGGGCCTTCAGTCAATCCAGTATCATGGGCGACATGGATCTTAAGATAGGCGGTTAACCAACAGGGCATTATCGCAGGTTATAGGGCTTCCTGCGAGAAGGCCAAGCTGTCAAGTTGGGTAGAGAAATCGATTGGCCTAGCGGAACTTTTGAGCTCTTCCGACTGATGTTCACCTTCCCGGGGAATAGGTAAGCACATCAAAGAATCTCAAAAATAGTATGCTACCGATTGTTGTGAGTATCGTTGATGTGGATCAAGATCGGATGAATTATCATTGGCCTTTTACCTAAAGTCCGACATGTATATACACAATGAGCTAAACATACTCCAACTCAGTTTCTAATACCAGCATGTATTGTCTAGTTTTTCACTGTGTATGGTTTCTATGGACTTGTGGTAAGTACCGAACTATATTAGCCCTTTCTTCTTAACATCGCATGTAATATTCTTCGGAACCTATTAAAACATGCTCCCTGATGCAGGATATGACAGATTAAGCTAGAAATAATTTAAATTGGCCTAAACTGTCGTCATCGGAATAATGAGAGAGGCCACAGGTATGATGGTGCACCAATATTGATTGAAGACGGCGCCCCATTGTCCTCGTAGATCTGTACGGGCACTACATGTACAACGTGACGAGTGCATAAATTGCGAATATTAGCTACTGTACGATATGATATGGGCTAGTTGTGCATTGCATTGTTTGAATGTGCCCTGTAATAAGCATGTGAGCGGTATGTGTGTGTGGGTGTGCGTGGGCTGTGGCACTCCAGCTGTGCGTTCGCCCAGCTAGATGCACATGCGGTTGAATGGTTACATATGTAGTCATGGACGACAAACTCATTACTCGAAATATTCTACAAAATATTGGTTCTCTGGAGCGGCTTGTAGGCGTTGCGGATACCGTATCCAGGCGGATAGGTACGATCTAAAATATTTTGAACTGTTTCAATTCTTCTTTACTTCCTTGGCTTTAGTTGGATGGGGGCCATTTGTGCGTTCATCTCAGCATACGAGGCCATGGATCTAGGACAGTGTGGAGGCGACGTGTATGCGCGCGCCCGCATTGTAGGCCACGGGCTGTCTCTCCTCGTGGGTTATGCTGTCTTGTCGTTAGTTATTGCCATTTCTGGTCTCTTGTGTGTGCTCAGCTCGACGTTGGAGATGTTAACTGGGTAGACTAGAAACCATTTGAGTGCTCCGGACATTTTACTATGAGCTGAGTATGAGCTTATGAGCTAGCCGGTCACCAGCTAGAGCACTAAATTAGAAATACGTTGAGCATCTCTGTCTGTAATAATCTAGGCTAGGAAGATATATGAAGATACCTAGAGCATCGCATCATATCATATTAGAATCGCTTGTAGTCCCACTCGATGCAAGATTAGTTACAAACGGAAAGGCTACATCCCAGTACTACTATTGACAGCTGTGTACGATAACAATCACGTGACTTGCATATCTCACCTGTTAATTTGCAATTGTTTGTTACACGACGTGTACATAAACCGATACCAGTATTTGATCATGTCAGTATTCCTAACATCAAGTAAGTCAACTTGATGTATGTACTTCTGTTATCAACAGTATGTGCTCCCCAAAGGGAAGAAATCCCCGATTGGCAGTGAACGTACGGATTCGACCTCAATTTTGCAGCTCTTTACCTTCCTTACGTATCAAGATATTCCAATGCCCGATATTCTCCGCCCTGATTTAGCACTATTTTGCTCGTACTTATCCTATCCACTACATAGCTTATCAGTTCCGGGCACCTTAACCTGCACAATCTCTGCATAAACCTGCAACATGGGTTCCTTTCGGCTCGCGGGCGGACTGCCCCCTCCTCCCAACTAGGATGGCTAACGCCTTCTGCTTCGCCAGGCAAAATTATGTGGTAACACATAGATTAGCAGTCCAGGCTTGAGTGTCATAACGATTGCTCTATGTACATACCTACGGTTAAATAATAAGGAGCAAACCGTTCTGTTCACAACTACATTCTTCGGCATGCCGGTGCTGCTGCATAGTTAGGTTGCATAGCCTGGCTAGGGGGTATGATAACCATTTCCCCGGCTTCAACCGTTGATTGATGCATAAGTGGGTGACGATCCATTGGCTAACTTCTCTAATTAGTCCCCTAAATCACATAGGTATTTACTTGCGGTCCGGACGGGCATTTTACTATCGATACCGGGTGTTTTATGTGAACATCAAGTCACTCTTGCATCTCTGTTCTTATGCGGACTCCCGTTGAACTATTTGTTCAACTAGTACATACTCTGAACCGTTACTAGCATATATATCTAATTTTCCGGCTGTGTTGAGCGGACTGGTACTTCGGTACAGGAATTAGTATTGATGTTGATGAGCTTGGCCCGTGGAAGCCGATGATCACAGGTATTTGGCGAATACACCCATTTGGCGAATTTGTATGTAGCAACCAGCCAGCAACCAGTAAAACTTCGAGTTTGACTAAGATATCTTGATTCTTATTGGCCTTAATCCCTGTTCGCCAAATGGGTGTATTCAAGAACTGGCCCCCCTCAGGAGTTTTACGAAAATATCAAATTAGGCCTCGGAACATCAGCTTTGATCGCGTATCTTGCAGATGAGATACCATGCAGTACAGTGAATTGGGAAAGGGGTTACGGGGATTAGAGTGGAGATGAGGGGCAAGCCATGGAAGTTTAAGTATTGCGTGAATTTCTATACCCAGTCTACTACAGAATACGCGTGCACGCAGAAGAAAATACGCAATTAATAATTTGTACGTAAGTACTTGTATATATGGGAGTAGCCACCGAGAGGATTTGTATAAAACCCTAAGACTCAGAAATTTTGGAAACTAATCCTTCCCGGTGGCACGGTTCTTAACCCGAAATCAAAATCTTTAGAAACTGCCAAGTATCGGTCTTATTCGGCGTGCAGGATGGTTCGTTCTGCAGATATCACTTTTACCCCGCGGCCCCGCTTAATATGTGAAGATCAGTACTAGACTCACCGGGGATTTCTAGAATAATAGGCTCACGATCAATTACATATTTGTTGACTTCTTGAATCATCGGTTTGATCTCCATACTCTGTTCGAATTCTTATCATAATCTCCCTTTAATTGCACTAGCTAACCGCCACCAATTTACCATGCGCGGCGTAGCTATGTAGGTTTTCCTGTGTTGAACACCCTGATGGCTGCATGCCGCGATCTAGATATGCCAATAACGCTGGATCTATAATCTTCAGGGTACTTATTTTATATCTCTGGAGATGTTTTCAACTGTCATCGGCGTTCGTCCGTAATCTGAGTAGACACCCCGACTATTAGGCTGAAATTACATTACCGTGTTATCATCAACTGTGAGTCGGGTGCAATAGAATATGAAGCAGCTTGCTAGAGATGGACATGTGAGGAGGTAAATTTCTTTGCCCGCCGCTGCCAAGTCAATAGGAGTAGATCATTTCCGGTTGCGTGGGTGATTAACAAAAGTGAATCATCTTTAGGCTCTAGGCTTTGCCTGATGAGGTGGACTACGCCGATAACATTACTTAAAAGATCATTCTCGAGAGATTTCAGTACATCACATCTATTTATGGTGCTAAGTATAAGCAAATGATTCGAAAAGGGTTTATTACGGGACATTGATAGCGGTTGGCTATTATTAGAGACATGAGATATCACATTTGTCTTATGAAGCCTTTATCTTTTGGCCTTCTAAAAATTTTCGTCCTCTACAAAATCTGCATTAGCTTTTAATTCAGCTTTAGCTATAGAGCACCAGATCAGAAAAGAAATACTCTGGCTTCATATATATCTGGCTTTCCGCTAATTATAAATCGTGTGCCGACAAGGTAATTCATCATAGAATATACCTCCCAGAACTCGAAGGCTAGTGGGTATTCTCATGAGAAATACATCAGAATAGTAAAACTAGCCTCTGGTATTCGTTGGCCAGGAAATGGTTCCCGTAGTAGTTCAGCACACACTCTGTGACTACGATATCATACGTGTACGCGATATGTTTCGCCTCGTAACTAAATCATGTGGCGATGGCATAATGAGTAAGAATTTAGCATGAGATGAAGTTGATCATATGAGAAGCTGACAACTATCCTCGTGACAGGCCGACTTATGGGCCCAGAGATTGGTTGGTGAGGGTTAATTCAATTTGAAGGCTGTATTTCTGCATGCAGGGTTATTCCTTTGTCAGTGTCCGATAAACCTAAAGAGATATAGGTAAAATAATAGTTAATATATTATAGCTAGATCCAGATCAAAAATTATCACCCCTCTGGTTTCAGTACTTGTGGCGATTTGTGGTTCACTGCCATTGTCTCGGTCGATCGACATGATTTATTAGACTTATTTTGGTGCTAGGTTCACGATACACATGGTGTTTTTAACTATCACGTGCATATGATCCGTTTTAACAAAAAGTACCCGTCCACTAGCTCTACTACCATATCCATTTACGGGAGCGGGTATTAGGACTTTATGTTTTAATTTAGATAATTATCAGCTATCTCTTCTTATCCATTATGGTGCCAACGTAGTTGGGGCTGATCAAATATTGCAATCACCAAATATCACTCGATCAAGTACGAACCACCCTAATTTATGTATTTATTTATAACTCATTGCGTCTATGGAGCCTGAAGGCTAGGAAGCTGCTGACCTCCCCTTGGTATTTACAATCATTTTCTTTTTATCTTATACAGGTGGTTAGAAGAACCGACGTCAGGAACGACTCCTAGAAAATCGGCTAATAAGTACATGTACATACATTCAAACCGGATTTTCGAGTGTAATACAATTGTACAACTACGTTCTCAAATTCCGATGGGGTCTTCGACCGATCACAATACAGTTTCTGGTGAGACTAAGGTGGGTTTAATGATCGAAAGAATCTGTACGTACGTTACTCTATCTATCCCTATATACCACTGAAGCCTGGTTTCGTTGGTTTTGTGGCGAGGGGTTCACTGTTGAGTGCTCTTTCAGCGGAAGGTTTATGTCTTCTCTCTTGAATTAACTATAAAGTCTCTATAGCCTGGAGGTAACGAACGGTTATGCATCATGTCTCGCCCTCCATCCTTAATTCCGCAGAGAAAGTGCGGACTCTTCGAGCATAAATGCGCTCAGCACAATTACATCTCGAAAGGGTGCACCTTGGGTTGAGAGGGGTAATATGAAATGTGCATGATTATATATATATATCAACGAGATGCGACGAAGTTGGGTAGGTGTATATGTGTATGATTACAAAGTAACCAACGTCAGGGCCTAGAGGTGGTGTATAGGGGTGATGTAAGTTATAATTAGACTCGGAGAGAGTTTGGGTAGGGGTTAGGGGGTTTGGCGTTGAGTATGACTATATATGTTGAAAGATTAATTATAAGTGGGGAAATTAATTATAAGATGTGAATCTTTGCGCGTGTCTGGCCTACCACACGCAGCTGCACTACGAGACTGATACTCAAGCCTTACTGCATCTATTTATACATCAAGAGAAGTGTTTGAAAATGAAGTTATATATGTCGACCGCGCCTGTATATATAAGGCTGGGATAAAGTTCTGCATTAGGAATCGATATTCATGGTGAAGTACGTATATGACTAGTGCTTCAAGCGGTCCTATGCTATAGCTACCAATAAGACTTTGTATACGGTACTGTATGATAGTCGTATGGCGTAGATGAAAAAAAAAAAAAAGGGCAGAAAGCTTAAAGACAAGTTGGTACATTTCTCGGAAACATAGGGTCTCTATCATGCACCTTTTATAATAGGGCACGTGATATATTCACATTTACACGAGATCGGACTGACAGACTAAATGAATCTGGAAGTGGCTAGCGTTGCATATCCTTATAACCCTTGCCCTAGCCACGGTAGAAACACTTGAGTAATTACATAAGAAATTAGTAATATTACCGAGTAAGATACAAACATCTACAGCGGTACCTTAGCGAATAAAAAGAACCGTTTATAACCCCAGTTCAATTCATGCGAATCTACAAACACGTGGGTTTTATTAGCCTTCGGTGACAAGCGCTTTTCTTTCAGCGTTAAATACATTAGCACCTGTAAACAAGTTGGTAGGGACGTCCAATTAAGTATGATAGAGAGCTATCCTCTTCAAATATATGTGGCTTGTGTTAAGCTGGGCACCCATAACTCCACGAAGCTGTAAATGTATTCAGCCTCCAGATGCTCCGTCGTTCGCTTCGATTCTGGAAGGAACAACCTACGAGCGCCCTGTGCTCTGCGTGGAGCCCTGACCTCCCTTGATGCTCCGCTGGGCAACCTTTCCTGATTGGCAATAGCTTGTTGTGTTGGCAGCGTGGGTCTGGCCTTAGAATAAACCCCCTTTCCTTCTTTTCTTCCTTCTTTCCTCCCTTCTCTTCTTCCCTTCTTCAACTCCTTCTTCATCCCACATTCCATCAATTATTCATTTTTATTTCGCGGTCGTTTTCCCGGCACTTTTTCATCCCTCAGTTTCTACCTAATTGTGAGTATTCATCAAACTGGTGTTTTGCTTTGCTGCCCCTGCGTATTTGGCGGGGAACGCGTTCTCCAAGCATCCTAGCCGATAGCTATCCGCTATCTGGATAACGAAATAAATTTCGATAACTGACAAGCATTTTACAGATTCATAATGCGCGAAATCGTTCACCTCCAGACCGGTCAGTGTGGTAACCAGATTGGTGCTGCTTTTTGGTACGCCCCTTATAATACGAATCAAGCGGAGATAGGTGGAGGAGGGGAAGGGGGGGGGGGGAGGTGTCTCATAATTTGTTAGATATATGGGATTCTAACATCATACTCCGGTATCAGGCAAACTATCTCAGGAGAACACGGTCTTGATGGCGCTGGAGTGTAAGTTCTATTAAGACACTATAACAATTGATAATCATGCATCTAACCAGATCATATAGTTATTCCGGGACTTCCGATCTCCAGCTCGAGCGTATGAGTGTCTACTTCAATGAGGCCTCAGAAAACAAATATGTCCCCCGCGCCGTCCTAGTTGACTTGGAACCTGGTACCATGGACGCTGTCCGTGCTGGTCCTTTTGGACAGCTCTTCCGTCCCGACAACTTTGTTTTCGGGCAGTCTGGTGCCGGTAACAACTGGGCCAAGGGGCACTACACCGAGGGAGCTGAGCTCGTTGACCAAGTCTTGGATGTTGTTCGTCGTGAGGCAGAGGGATGTGACTGCCTGCAGGGTTTCCAGATTACCCACTCCCTTGGTGGTGGTACCGGTGCCGGTATGGGAACATTGTTGATCTCCAAGATCCGTGAAGAATTTCCGGATAGAATGATGGCTACATTCTCAGTCGTTCCTTCGCCCAAAGTTTCAGACACTGTTGTTGAGCCTTACAATGCCACCTTGTCTGTTCACCAACTTGGTAAGGCTAACAATTAACAATCCCGATATGGAGTCATGTCCCTAACCTAGATACAGTTGAGAACTCCGATGAGACCTTCTGTATCGATAACGAGGCTCTTTATGATATTTGCATGCGTACTCTGAAGCTTGCTACTCCATCTTACGGAGATTTGAACCACTTGGTCTCCGCTGTTATGTCAGGTGTTTCTACATCCCTTCGTTTCCCTGGCCAGTTGAACTCCGACTTGCGGAAGTTGGCTGTTAATATGGTCCCGTTCCCACGTCTACACTTCTTCATGGTCGGATTTGCACCTCTCACATCCCGCGGAGCAAACTCTTTCAGAGCTGTCAGCGTTCCAGAGCTCACCCAACAGATGTACGACCCGAAGAATATGATGGCAGCCTCTGACTTCCGCAACGGACGTTACCTGACCTGCTCTGCCATCTTGTAAGTCAAAATTTCACCATGCATCTTCGTTTTTGTACCGAAACATCTGGGGTTGCTGCTAACTAGCCTTTATAGCCGTGGTAAAGTGTCAATGAAAGAGGTCGAAGATCAGATGCGCAACGTTCAGAACAAGAACTCATCTTACTTCGTTGAATGGATTCCAAACAACGTCCAAACTGCCCTCTGCTCCATTCCCCCTCGAGGACTCAAGATGTCTGCAACTTTCGTCGGAAACTCTACTTCCATCCAGGAACTCTTCAAGCGTGTGGGTGACCAGTTCACCGTCATGTTTAGGCGTAAGGCGTTCTTGCATTGGTACACTGGTGAGGGTATGGACGAGATGTGAGTACCTGACAAGAATACTGGACTTTTATACCCTAGTCAGGAACTAATGGCGAAAAACAGGGAATTCACTGAGGCTGAGTCCAACATGAACGATTTGGTCTCCGAGTACCAGCAATACCAGGATGCGTCCATCTCTGACGACGAGGGCGAACACTATGAGGAGGAGATGCCTGCTGAGGAGGAATAAACTGGTTGTTGATGGTGATGACTAAAGCATCAAAAAGTCTTGATGGCAATGGCAAAGGTGTCAGTGTCTACTGGTGTTTTTCCTCTTTATTTTCTTTCTTGTTCAGCATTTTGATGTGGTGCCGGTGCGTGCCCTGCAAGAAGTATTTATTTAACTTATGCCCCTGGAGCTCTCTAATTCTTGGAGATAAACCGCTTTAACCCTTTTTTTTTCAACTGCTGGTCTCCTCAGCGATTGTTTTGAAACGGATTATATATTTAATCGCTCGATGATGAAAGCTTTGCGTTAATTATGAAAGCCAAGCCATAATGTGTTTTTGATCCGTATAGAAGCGCCGCAAAAACTCGTGAATCGCTCGCACAACTTAAGAATTGGTGGGGCTGAACGCTCATTTATTGTCAAAAGGTGGTCGTGAGTTGAATGGCTTGCCTTCTTGCCTAGGCGAGTAATTACTGTATAAATGCCAACAAGATTTATACAGCTTTTGCAAAGAAACCTCGATCGAACCAATAACCTACAGTGGCAGAATTTCCTGTGGCCGTCGTGGTCAATATTGGTAGCGTAAATGACTCCAGGTAACTAGTTGCTTTTGCTGTATTGCTACATGTAGCAACAGTGATAGAGTAAATTTAGGGGCCCCTGCATGTTAGGGCCTGATAACGAAGAAAAGTTTTTCGGGTGTTGCGGCCAAGCCATGGGGCATCTGTTGATAAAAATGAATGTTTGCGCGCAAGTGGTCGGCACCGATTGCCCCACCTTGACTAGGCCGGAAACGGACGCGGGGGAGGGGAAGTGTGCAGCAACAGCCATCTTCCTTATTAAAAAAAAAACAGTTATAACGAGAATTTTTCTGTCACTTTTCCTCCTCTTCCCCATTTCATCATCTCATCCTGCCATCTGTTCATCTCCTACAATTGAATTCCCCCTTCTAAGCTAAATTAGTATAATCGCAATGTCTAAGGGAAAGGTAAGAAATCAACGCTTTAAATCCAATCTCTAGTTGAGCGAATCTGGATTAACGGTGGATGAATAAATAGGTCTGTCTTGCTTACTCGTGAGTCACATCTATTCTCTCTACAGTTGAGGCTAGAAGAGCCATACTTACTATGATTGTAGTGGAGGTTTGGATACTTCTTGTATCCTTGGTATGCCTATCCGCCGCCAACGCGCATTGGACTTTGATACTAACCTACGCTGCGTACAGCTTGGTTGTTGGAGGAGGGGTATGAGGTCATCTGCTTCAGTAAGTTCTTTCCGTCATTCTCTCTGCCAATTAGCACAATCGCTAATAGGCCAAAAGTGGCCGACGTTGGTCAAGAGGAAGACTTCGAGGCTGCTAAGGCAAAGGCCCTGAAGATCGGTGCTTTAAAGGTCTACGTTGAGGATATCCGCAAGGAGTTTGTCGAGGAGTTCTGCTTCCCCGCTATTCAGTGCAATGCCATCTACGAGAATGTTTACCTCCTCGGTGAGTCATCCCTACATACCTACCAACTTTGTAATCTAACAGCAACCTAGGTACATCTCTCGCTCGCCCTGTTATTGCTCGTGCCCAGATCTCTGTTGCTGAGAAGGAGGGTTGCGCCTACGTTTCTCACGGTTGCACCGGAAAGGGTAATGATCAAGTTCGTTTTGAGCTTGCCTTCTACGCCCTCAAGCCTGATATCAAGGTCATTGCGCCATGGCGTCTTCCTGTCTTCTACGAACGTTTCGCTGGACGCAACGATCTCCTTGAGTATGCCGACAAGTGCGGCATCCCCGTCTCACAAACCAAGGCTAAGCCATGGTCCATGGACGAGAACCTTGCCCACTGCTCTTTTGAGGCCGGAATTCTCGAGGACCCCAACATGACCCCATTGAAGGACATGTGGAAGCTCACCATCGACCCCCTCGACGCCCCCGAGCAGCCGCAGGACTTTACCCTTCACTTCGAGAAGGGTCTTCCCGTCAAGCTTGTCACCGATTCTAAGACCTACACCGAGCCTCTGGAGCTCTTCCTCGCCGCGAACGCCATTGCGAGGGCCCATGGTGTTGGACGTATCGATATCGTCGAGAACAGATTCATTGGATTGAAGTCCCGTGGATGCTACGAGACCCCTGGTCTGACCATCTTGAGGTCTGCTCACATTGACCTTGAGGGACTCGTTCTCGACCGTGAGGTCCGCGCCTTGAGGGATCAGTTCGTTACCTACAACTACTCCAAGCTTCTCTACAACGGCCTCTACTTCTCTCCCGAGCGTGAGTTCTTGGAGGGCTCAATTGCCGCGTCCCAGAAGACCGTCAACGGAACCGTCAGGTGCAGGGTTTACAAGGGATCCTTCATTGTCCTTGGAAGGAGCTCAGACACAGAGAAGCTCTACGACATGTCCGAGAGCTCCATGGATGAGATTGGCGACTTTGCGCCTTCAGACTCTGCTGGTTTCATTGCTGTCCAGGCTATCAGGCTCAAGAAGTATGTTTTTCCTACCTAGTGTGCGTGGGTTTGGTTTGGCGAGATTAATTAATTTTGTGAATCAAATAGGTACGGAAAGAAGAAGATCGAGATTGGTGAGAAGTTGTAAATTTTGTTTTGCGGCGCACGCGGGTTGCCCTTCACTAGATAAAAAAAAAAATCTTGAGGGCCTTGTTTGATTGCTATGATTCCATGGAGTAAAAAAATAATAAAAAAGAATTTCAGAATCACACACATTGCTCGGTTTGCTTGCGGATTAGCTAATCACTGCGAGTGATGTTTCGTGTCCTGCCCTGATTGAATAGAGTGCTATACTCGCACGTCAATTATGTATTTGCCCAACCAGCAAAACACACCAAAAATCGAGGTTTTCAACAACTCATAAAAAGCCCCACACCTAAACCAAAATATCAACGACCAAGTATAGTATAATTTTGATAAAGGAGGTCCATGCTTCAAATTCTTGGCCCAATTGAGATACTGGTAAAGGTGCCATAAAAGGACCCTTTTAGACACATTTCACCTTCAGGGCTTGTTCTTTGTAGATAGACGCCTTCCCGGGCCACTCGAACACCCCCCTCACTCGAACAGTTAACTTAAAAAAGAAAATATCTGCGCTGTAACCGGTTTCTGTACCTCTTGAATTGGGCTTCTCCACCAATAAGCATCAACTGTTCGAGTGAGGGGGGTGTTCGAATGGCCCGGGAAGGCGTCTATGGCCTAAAAGTGGCCTGTAGAGTCTTTCAGGTGTCTAGATAGAAGACACATAATTCCAGGGGAGATGGGAAAGCTCTCTGGATTCTGTGTGTGTTTTGCTGGTTGCGCAAATACATACTTGATATGCGAGTATAGGATGATCGGAACTGGCGTCATAGGAAGCGCAGAAGCCTTTTAAGGCCACCAAGGTTACATCATTCAGGGCACGCAGGGTGCGTCATACATAAATTATCGCTAGCTACTATTATCATGGGGGATTTGAAACGTCCACTTCTACTAATCTAGAAACTTATCTCGTCCCATGTTTTTCCGCTGTTTCTTCGGCACCAAAGTCACAATTTGGACAAATACAGTATGTAATCTACAAGTTGCCAATATTGGTTACATGCACCTATGTGCTACAAAGTACAATTGAAGTGATGCGTCTATCGTTGAATGGATGTTCCAACTCATCATCATCCCAAGATGTAGTTACTCATGATTGAACGGGGAAACGTTTTTTAATCATCAAAAATCATGACTTGCATACAAAGAACAGTTAACCGACAGAAGCAAAAGAGAATTCGTGGAGGCACGTGCACATAGAAACAGAGCCGCAAGACAAGACACACAAAAAAAAGAAAAAAGAAGCCCGATATCACCAGAATCCCCCATTCCTCAGGCCTGTCCATAAAGTCATCATATCACATCCCATCCCATCGGCTCTAAAACTCATCATTAAACCTCCTCCCCGCCGCGCCCGCCGTCCAGTCCCTCCCGCCCGCGGCCGATGACGACGACGACGCCGCCCACTCCTTCCCGCCCGCGCCGAGCGCCTTGCCTACTAGCTCCGCCAGGCGCTCCAGATCGCCCTTCGCGGCGCCGCCGCGCTGCCACAGCCACATGGACGCCACGACGACGAACATGATGAACAGCAGCCGGATCGTGGTGACGAGCACGCCGTAGATCCACCGCGAGGCCATGCCGAGGATGCTGAGTGAGAGGTAGACGATGAGGAGGAGCAGCGCGATGTTCATGAGGTCGGGCTGCGAGTGCGCGTATTCGCGCAGGGGGGAGAGGAGGTCGTAGAGGTTTGTGGTGAGGGTGGAGGTGTAGCTGCTGGCGGAGTGGGCGAAGTGGAAGAGTTGGAAGAGGAGGTCGTCGGCCATGGTGGTGGTGCTTTCGGGGGGGTTTGTTTGCGTGGGTATTTCTTGTTTTTCTTTCTTGCTTTGTAGCCTTTTTTTTTGGGGGGGGGGGGAGGTTTGGAGTGAGGTTCGGTGTAGGCGCAGTTAATCAGCGGAGAGGAGGTGGGCGGATGGACGTCGGATGGATGGGATGGATGATGGATGATGGATGGGCTTTAAGCTTAAGCGACGGAACGTTCGATCAGGCACAGCACGGGGAAAAAAAAGAGGCGAGATGTTCAGGAACGGACGGACGCAATATATGTAGAGTGGAGTCGTAGGTGGCGGTACGGTAGCTGGCTGCACGGTCTGTGTGGTCCCAGCGTTTCTTTCGTCTCTCAGAAGATGCTAGCTGTCATTTACTTGGTTGGTTGTTAATAGGTGTAGGGTTGGGGGTGGGGTGCGTTGGACAGGAGGTGAAACAGCGGGACTTGGCTGGGGGGCGTGGAGCGTGGGTGGGTGGCTACGGGTGCTTGACTGGGCAGTCATGGAGTATCACTCGGGGCTTGGTATATGCGAGTGGGATGGCCGGGGGGGGGGGGGGTGGGACCAATGATAGCTGGTGCCGGATATGAGTGGAGGAGATGTAGGGAGCTATGGATGATGGAGTGCCATGCATGGGGTCAGGACTGGTGGATGGGGCTGGAAGGTCTTACGTGGGTTGTCCGAAGCTGTGGATGGAAGGGCTTGGTTAATTGGGGTTCGAAAGCCAAGTACTCAAGTTCTTTAAAAACACATATGTAAGGATGCCCACTACTATAGGCCGCACGTACATGTAGTCATAAACGGGCGCGCGCCTATAAAGCACGTCACTGCTGCTTGGTTCTCCTTCAATTGCCTTCTTCTATCTCCCCGTCTTCGCATATTTTGTGTCCGCTATTTACTTGATCCAATGCTATTATCTGTACCAAAATCAAAGGCGTGTCACTCTCGTACTATGATTTTTCACTCCTTCGGACAGTTCTGCACTTTTCATTCCACCGTTTATCACGATGGGTTCATCTAGGATCTTGACTCTTGGGAAGAAACACTTGTCCAGAACGTTTTAGCGGCAAGTTCGTACCGGTAAGTAATTATCCAGGCAGAAATTCAAATGCAGATGTTCGTCTTTATTTAATACTTGCATGAGATAGTTTAAACTAGTTAACTGTTGGTCCATAGATCTAGAGTCACCCCCTTCCAATTAGCTTTTATGGCTTTGGATTCTTAAGATTATAAATGACTACTCTACCCTTTAACCAATACAAGATAGCGGAGAACTACTGGCGTCTATCTCTGTGCCGGTTCCTCCTACTTCCCCTGGGAGCGTTATCTGAGATTCTGGCCTGTCGCTCGTTGATCATGAACCTTTGGTAATTGTGCTAAGATTATTCCCAGTTTTGATCAGAATGAATCACATCATACCGATTGAGAGGGAAAAAATTACTCCCAGCCCTAAGGGATACTTTTATACTCACTTGAAATTCTTCCAGCTCAGGGGTTACCGAGTCGATACTGGGAGACTCATAGGCCTTTATATTATCTTTGGTCACCTGCCAAATATCATAGAGAATTAGCCCCGCTAGCATAAGCGATAGACCCTCCGCCGCTGACGCCTTCCTATGCAGTTGTTCAAGCAAGTGGTTGACTCTATTGATATAGCTAACCACAGGCTCCCCCTCAAGTAACCTAGTGTTCTCAACCAGCTCCGAGTAAAGATATTTGTCACTACTGTAAAGGCTGGCTTGGTGCCCATCAAGAAGCGCCTGCCATAGAAGCGCCGGGTCCTCATATTTCCCATAGCGTAAGAACAAGTGCTCCTCCATGGAGGAGAGTATCACTCCCGTGGCTATGGCGCATATTCCCTTCCATTGTCGCTTGTGGTTGTTGACGAAGGTGGGGTTATAGCGGTCGCCTTCTCTAAAGGCGGGGACAGAGAGCAGAATTCGTTCTTCGAAAAATGTGGGGAAGGTGTACTCCCCGGTGCAAAGATCCCACACCCCCTCCATACTCAGTGCTGTTCTTATGTGGGGCTGATGCGAAGCTTGCTTGACGGCTGTCTGGAAGGTTATTCTGCTCTGATGAAGTACAAGGAATTAAGGGCCAGGATTCGAATTCCCTATCGCCGTGCGCACGTGCATAGGCTTGGATTTTATTGGTTACTTACACCAACTTCTGCGCTCATGGATACAGACAGCTCGTCGTATTATGTGGACAAAGAGCCGTCCAGAGGCCTAGGAGGTACATGTAGCTATGAGGGGGGATGGCTATAGTACTCAAGACGTCGATATCCGGTAGTATAGTACCCCTTTGTAATATCACAGGATCTAGAGTCTGGAGTATGGTAGATTCGAATATGGGATATTATATGTCCAGACAGGACGTAAGAATTTGGGAATCCTGGAAGTCTGTGGTAATTACATATAAACTGCATCTGTCGTTCGCATTAAGCTAGCTAGCTACCGCATAGGTGCCGCCGGCCTTTTAATTTAAAGAATGTGGCTTAATCCCCTAGCTTAATTGCGTTTCAATTGTATTGCTTGCTTGGTTGGTTGATAGTTCATTAATTAATTGTACATGTGTTTTAATTGTATTAACTGGGGACCTAGCTAGAAACTACCTTCTAGCATGTAAAATCTATGTTCGTTACTCTTCCCAAGTATTTAACGAAGGGTGTTTCCCTAAATATTTTCTACAACTTTTAGACTATATATGGCTCACGGCATTGGAAGGATCATAGTGGTGTTATCGCTACAGTTTGAGGGAGGGAGGGGTCTGGCTGAGGTTGGTGGTAGGGGTTTGTATATATATATGTATGTATACGTTCTTTAGATGTTAGGCCGGGGGTCCTTATACCAACAAAATAAGGTTTTTTTTTAACTCAATTGTACGGCCGACGTAAAGTGTATTGATATGGTTTCCATTACTAAGTACATACATACATACATAACCTTCCCACAAAATCCATATAAAATCCAAGACGTACAAAAATATAGAAAGAAGAGGGGGAAGAAAAAAAATACACAAACACCAAGCTAGCTGTTTCACATTAAAGATACTACACAGGAACAAGGCGCACTTGGTCCATATCAAGCTCCCTGGACGCTCCTGTGCCTGGACATGTAACACGTAGACTAAAAGTACCGGTAGATTTCGTTGATCTATAAGAACCCGTGAGCGTAGCCCATCCAGACTGGAGGCCAAGGGGGGCGCTCGTAGTCACGACCGTGCCATCCATAGACACGCTAATTCCGCACTGAGTACTTGATACTAGGGGTCTTCTGACAGAGATAGAGAACTGGTAGTTTGTGTCGGGGCATAGGGATACGGTCTGTGCGAGTGTCACAACTGCCGTGCTAGCGCTTATCCTGACGCGAGCATACCATCCTTGGTTGGTGATTGGGTAAGTATTTATTATGTCGAGTTGTGCACTGCCGCTGATGCTTGGGTTCCATCCTGTCAGTCCGGATTCGAAATCGGGATTGGTGATTGGTGTTGCGACTGAGCATACTGTGGGAGCACATTGTCCAGGAACCTGGACGGTGGTTGGGATAGTGACGGTGGTCACTTCACCGGGAAGATTTACGGTGGTTGGAACAGTTATCGTTGTGGGTTCTCCAGTGACGGTGGTGGGGATAGTGACAGTACTGGTAATGCTCTCGCCAGGGAGAGTGATGGTAGTAGGAACAGTTACAGTTGTGGGCACGTCAACTGTCGAAGTGGAGGTTGCTGTGACAGTGGTAAGCTCCGCTGGGAGTTGGATAGTTGTCGGGACAGTTACTGTAGTCACCTCACCTGCTCCAGGGATTGTGAGAGTTGTAGGAACAGTAACAGTAATAGCATCCATTGCCGGAAGAGTAGTAGTGGTCGGGATAGTGACTGTAGTAATATCTCCTGGTAGGTTTACAGTGGTAGGAACGGTAACAGTAGTCACCTCTCCCGCCCCGGGAATAGTAATAGTGGTCGGGAGTGTGACAGTTGTCATATCCCCGGGCACATTAACAGTGGTAGGAACAGTGACAGTTGTGACCTCTCCAGCCCCAGGTATAGTAAGGGTAGTAGGAACTGTTATCGTCGTCATATCTCCAGGTACGTTGACAGTCGTAGGGACTGTGACGGTAGTCACCTCTCCAGCCCCGGGAATTGTAAGGGTAGTCGGAACTGTCACGGTGATTACCTCTCCAGCCCCAGGTATAGTAAGGGTAGTAGGAACTGTTATCGTCGTCATATCTCCAGGTACGTTGACAGTGGTAGGGACTGTGACGGTAGTCACCTCTCCAGCCCCGGGAATTGTAAGGGTAGTCGGAACTGTCACGGTGGTTACCTCTCCAGCCCCAGGAATGGTAAGGGTTGTTGGAACTGTTATAGTGCTAACTTCCGCTGGGAGTTGGACAGTGGTCGGGACAGTTACTGTAATAACCTCTCCTGCCCCGGGTATAGTGTGGGTAGTGGGGACTGTGACAGTGGTCATATCGCCTGGTACGTTGACAGTCGTAGGAACTGTGACAGTGATGACCTCTCCAGCCCCAGGAATGGTAAGGGTTGTCGGAACTGTTACAGTGCTAACCTCCGCTGGGAGCTGGACAGTAGTCGGAACTGTGACGGTAGTCACCTCCCCAGCTCCAGGTATAGTAATGGTGGTAGGAACAGTTACAGTGGTCATATCACCCGGTACATTGATAGTCGTAGGAACTGTGACAGTGGTGACCTCCCCTGCTCCAGGTATAGTAAGGGTGGTGGGAACTGTCACAGTGCTAACCTCTGCTGGGAGCTGGACAGTAGTAGGGACAGTGACAGTGGTCACCTCACCAGCGCCAGGGATGGTAAGGGTAGTCGGCACTGTCACAGTGCTAACATCTGCCGGGAGTTGGACAGTAGTTGGAACAGTGACCGTGGTTACTTGACCAGCCCCAGGAATAGTAACCGTCGTAACTTCCCTCGGAGCGGTGACTGTAGTTGGTACTGTTACCGTAGTAGTAGACGGCTTGCTATCGCCCCCGGGCGCTCGAACCGTAACTGCCAAAGTGTAAGAAAAAGAAGTTGATATACCACTGCTTACTTCGTGGGTACTTACCAGTACGCGCTTTCGTAACCGTAGTTGAACGAGCGATTGTGGATGAATGAGTAACGGTTACCGTAGCCTCACGGACAATGGTGGCTTTTTGAAGTTACCGTCAGTACTGGTATTATAGTAGATGGTAAATAAGAGAGAATCATTACTCGGAATGGTTACGGTAGATGTTTTTGCACTACACTCTGCTCCTGAACCTCCAGAACTGGTTCGTTTGTATAGGTTACCTCTGGTAGTAGATGAAATTAGTAATGTCGAATTAATGAAAACGCTACAGATCCGGATACCTACCTGCGCAATCCTCCACACTGTTGTTTACTATTCCCACCACATGGTTTATTACACTCGTGTGCCCCCGTCTTTGTAATCCTTGGATCAAGCGAGTCGCCGCACCAACATTCACTATAGCCATTGTTAGTTAACTGCAAGGTGGAGCTAGCCGTTGCTTGGAATATATATCGAAAACTTACTTGTTATCCTCCACCCAAGCATACTGCCCATACTTTGGTTCACAAAAGGATAAACACTTCTCCACCGTCATGCCATCGTCGAACCAAGACTTTTTCAACGCATTCACCCCGCGAGGCTCGGCATAGCACCCCTCATATGAAAATCCATTCCCACCCGGGTGGGGCGTAGGGATGGGCGGATCCGAATTATGGGGTCCAGGTCGAGCGACTGCAATTGAGGCAGAGCCTACTAGCACTAAAAGAGCGGATAGAAGCATTTCGTGTTAATGCTAGGTCACCCCAAAAAGATAGAAAACGAATGTAATCGACGGATGCCGAGAAGAAAAGTCTGGCAAATCCATAGTGAAGGGAACGTTTGTGATATTTGTATCTAGGACTTCCTAAGAGCGATTTGTCGTCCCCTTTTTTTTTGATTCTGCTAGATCAGCCACAATCGAAAATGGGATCAAATGGGTAACAATAATCCTAGTAATTGTTAGTCTCGTCCCCCCAGAAGATGTCGCATGCTGCAGACAGAAGTCAAGCTTGATTTGGTGTTACAACTCTAAGAGTAGAGTTCAATCGCGCCGCCAACACGGCCCAAGACATACAGCTAGAAGTCTGTTCCGAGTAACTCAACATGGGTGTTTATCCATGTTTCTGGGGGCTCGTTTTCTATTTGCCACCCTTAGCGTAGTGTCCTCGCTAAACTCGGGCCAATAACATCGAAATGTTGATCAAGCTTAATCTCCACCATAGCACAAGTGCTGTAGGGTGCCCGGTAGTATGTACCGACAACCAAAAAAGTATTGATAGAAGTTAAAGACACGCGAGTCTAGGTACCATTTAGGCAATGTCTGGCTTTGCAATAACATCAGGACTGATTTTGCGACAAGTTATTAACAAGAGCACGTGCTCTTTCATTGGTCATCCACTGTAGATATGTATGTATTCTTGCTGACTTGGTAGATACATATCTCTCTACTCGTACGTACTCAGAGTCCGGGTTATCCCTTAAGCTGTTGCGAAAATGCTGACCCCCCAAACAGCAAATTCGGTGTGGCTTTACTAACAGATCCCGTTACCTCTCTTATCAAATAATAGATCTCTCATACAAATTTAATTCCTCTCTTATAGGCAGCGTTGGCAATGACCCACGACCCGTAACGACCGGCCAGTGTTAGGACCCGGTCGAGAACCCATGGGTCGTAAAAGGTAATGACCTAGGTCGTATCCTCTTCCGGGGTGGTATCATCAATTTATGGAAAACTTGAGAAAGGTCTGTATCTTTTTCTAATAGAATCGCCTTTCTTGGTACTGATATGACATACGTTATGACCGATCGAAGACCCGGTCTCATCAAAATCGTTATGACCCGACTCCAAGATAAATCGTTAGGACCCCCGGTCGTTACATACACTGATAGGGGGGCCAGCGTCGACAGCTTAAGGGATAACTACTTATGTAGTCCTCAGTACCATGTTTCTGCATGCGGTGGCCGAATTTTGCTGGAGATATCGATGCCACAGGGTTGGAACCTAGAGAGAGCTGATATTAGGTGGAATTAAACACAGACTTTGTTTGTCCCGAGGACTAGAAGTCTCGTAGGGATGGAGTTTTGATAGGGTGGAATTATGATGGTTTTTCTGTATATACGTACCCTATGTAAAACCAAATGATATCACCCATTAGTAATGATATTAGCATACACGACGAGAGATACACATACCAAGCCCAGCCGCTGAGACGGCTGATATCCGTGCGAGTTGATCATCATGGTAAAGCACCAACGAATCATCTAGTTGAAAAGCGCACCACAGATGGGGTGGCCAGATAGTAGGAGGGTGACTGTACATGTTGCAAGACACGCACGTCACCGCCACAAGTGCTAGTGTCCCAACCACGGCATTCTTCTCGAGCAGTATACGTACTCTGATTCGAACAGCATACATCTAGTTTAGCAAAGCCGACCATTGAACGGCCACCTTCACCCCACGGGCTTTCCTAGCAAAAGTAAAAATAACTCTTCCATCGGCAATTGAAAACTAACCAGCCTATTATGGCACCGTACCTGCATCTTAACCGTCAGTATCTGCCCAAGTTGACAAGTCAAACTTCACCCCTACCTGCTGTGAGAGCCGAATATCTCTTCTCGTACCCGCAGAATCGGTTTATGGCGTAGGCCATAGAAACTACGCTATATTATGTTGAGCTAGGTGTTAGTATGCACCGAACCCGGCCCCGGGGCCGGATTGATAACTGTTCTCTAGCCGGGCTTTCAAGTCACGACCCGGAACTATGATTCTGAAGTCTATGTACCCGTGAGGCGCCGGGATCTCTGGAGTATGGGCATACAGGCAGTTTCATGCTTCATGGACCAGCAAGGTAGACCATGAGCATGTCCGGGACACTAGGGCGGAGATCTCCTAGCCGCAAAATCTCAGTATCGGCGAAAAGAAAAAAAACACAGCAACTTGAAGTCCAAGCCGAAGTTGGCAACGCGTGGCCTGAACAATGAACACATATATATGACTTGAGACACGGGGCGATTCAATGTCACAGAAACAGGGGCGTGGTCGGAAAGCGCAAGCACGGGCCATGAAGATCATGCGTAGAGTTGATATAGTAACGGAACAAGTCCAAAACACGCTTCCTCTTAAGCTTACTATTCTGATGGGGCCTCGTGGCAAGACTGCTTTCGCTCTTGAGGTGGCGCAGAAACATCTCTCGATCTCTGGAGCCCGGGAATGTGCAGGTTATTGCTGTGAGACCTGCGCTTCAGGTACCGGGTCTTCCAATTGAGGTACGTGTATCAGTACTGTGGCCTCGGGAGAACACTAGCAGGAAGAGGGATAGGTGGCAGGTCTACGCATAAATTCCAGATCCACTGATATATACATGTACTTGTACAAAACTACAGCGTCATCATTGATTCAACAAGACGTTGTCTTTCGGCCCCCTCGCCAGCTCGATCGAGGCTGGTCAATCGCGCCAACCCGTCCCTCTCCATCATGCGCAAGAATAGCAGAGAATATCACTGCCATCTTTCAGTTCAAACCGACCGTCCAGCTAGGCCTATATATGATCGGTAGTTTCGAAGCGGAGGCTTTGTGACAGAACCCGAGTGATCAACGGTGAACATGCAGGGCGCCCCCTCCCAATGACAACGCTACAATTCCGACTGGCCAGTCTGTCTCATTGGCAAAAGTGCACATCTAGGGGCTGAAAAAATTGCGACGTCCGACGTAGTTAAACGCCCTCAATCCAATCGTTGGGATATATATGTATGACATACAGCATATACCAACGGTTGTGCCTCTGTGGCGCTTGCACGTAGGTAGTACAGCGTCACGACATCACGCATATCACGAGGACCTCCGCAAGTTTAGTCGACTTCCCTGGCCGTGCTATGCTATCACTTATATATGGACAGCAAGTGCATAACTACTCCATAGCGATGGCGATATCGGGTCTTTTTTCGTGCGCGAGGTAAGTGCCCGCGATTTTCACTACTCAGGAGGTGTTGTTGTATGTAAATCTACAAAGTCTATCTATAAATGACCTTCAGCGTCAAGAGGTCCATGGCCGGACTCAAGCGCCGGATTGGGTTGGGGGATCACGTGTAGGGTAGGGTACACTACCCAGCGCGGTTTCAGGGACCAAAACAATTCAGAACGAGGAGTCCAAACATTCCCGGGTCGTGGAGGGTTCCTGCAGAAAAGAATGGTGCTGGTACGTATTCTTCTCTTCTCAGGTCTTGCTATGTTTGGAATGGTATATAGAGGTTAACCTCACCAACATGACAGTAGAGTACCTGCACAAGGGATCTACATACACTGAGGCTAGCTAGCAGGTCATCTAGAGTACGGTAGTGAGACTCTCGAAATAGCTCCCAAAGGCTTGACAGCTAGCTAGCCAGACAGATTTGCACCGCACCCTGTCGCTCTCAAACCGCGTCCTAGCTTCGCGATTAACGAAATTTAATTCTCCGCTGGGTATTAGCCTGTCAAATTGCCTGCAGCGCCCACCCCCAAAGTTGTGCGAGGCGCTTAGGAAGTTTATATCAGCAGCACCTCGTCCTCGCTAAACCTAATCGAGCCAATGGCGAAACAAAACCACCCTGTGGAAACGGAAGGGGTCGTGTTAGAGATCTCTGGAAACTTTGGCAGCTCTGCTACGTGATACGCAAATACCGGCGTGAGGAGAGGTGAGGGAGAGAAGGGAGGTCGTGACGCGGTTCGAAGTTATGCGCTGAGCTTTCCTTACAGGTTGAAATGCCTGGTCAGGTAAGGGAGGTGAGGTGAGTGGTAGTCCACGAGGAATGGACATATAGTTGCTGTTCGAAGCTTCTTTTTTCTGATCTTTTTTTTTTCCAAGGCTACAGCCCTTTGCTATTTCCATTTCGTGCGTGCACGTTTTTTTTCTTTCTTTCCTTTCTTTTTTATTTTCTTTCTCTGCTTGTTGATCAAGCGACTCAATCAATTCCTTTCTCGTCTCTAGTAATTGGATCCCATTCGCTTGGTAGTCCAATCCAGACTGTCGCAGGCACAGACATAGACACGACAAGTTACTAGTTAACCACAATGTTAGCTTACACACTCCTCCTATTTTCCCTTCTCCTCCGTGCCTGTCTCTCAACGCCCCTCGTCCCTCGCTCCCAAGGCATTTCCGTCTCCCCCGTATCACCGCAGACAGCGCCCGCATCCATCATTCCCGGTTTCAACAACTCCACCGCCATCGTCCTCCTCGTCGCCCTCGTCTCACTCGCACTTGCTATCCCTATGTTCGTCTACATCTGGCTCCGGCGGCGGCGGCTCCTGCGGGGCGGGCGCGGGGCGGGGGCAATGGTGGTGGAGCGGAAGATGTCAATGGCATCCATGGCCTCCGACAGCCCCCTCAATGCGCGGCGGCGAAGCACCGACTCGGGCGCAACGGGGGGTAGTCGGGAGAGCGGGCCGGAAATACCAAAGGTGGTGGTGGAGGACACCGATCAGGCGGAGACAGAGCCCAGGACGCCCAGGACGCCGAAGACGCCGAAGGGGCCAGTCAGGACCGAGACTTCGTCGACGACGGGGACGGCCATGACGCTGGTTGCACGGCCGGTGCAGATCTCTGTGAAGCCGATTAGGGCGGTGGAGATCATGGTGAAGCCGGCGAAGTCGACGAGGGAAGCGCTGTTTAGGGTTAGTGCGTCGTGGGAGAAGTTGAAGGGTTGATTGTTATTATTATATATTTTTCTTTTGTTTATACCTTTTTTTTTTATATTTTACGTATGTTAGTGCTTGCTGGTAATAAGCCCGATCGAGCAGTTGGGCCGGAATTGTATGGTATGACTATGGTTTTGTATGTATGTGTATGATAAATTGAGATGTAAATTATTTATCTTCTTTCATCTTTGAAGGGCGGTCTTTGGTGTGATCACACTATACTCATTGTCTCACTGACCCGTGAGACAGCAAACAAAAAGCAACTCCACGACTCAATTGAACGGTATGTCAATGATCAGCACCGCAAGATATTTCGCCAACAGAGCCTAAAACAAAAAACCTTGGGTTCGGGCCCCCAAACACAATCTCATATCCTGCTATATACCTCACACAAAACAACCCTTGAATTCAATTGTAACCAATCTCGGTATTCCAGTCGGGCGCGCTGAAGCTCAGGAAGGCCATAGATTGACTACCCTAACCTTTCCGTCAACGCACTTAGCCTAACTATAGCTAGCTTGGGTTAATAAGGGTTAGGGATGTAAGACCACGACACCGTGACAGTAGTAGCATAGTTTTATTTAGCGAGAGAGAGACTTCGTCCTCCCTTCTTCTCGTCCGAACGAAACAATCAGCCTCCCTGTCTTACTTCACACACACATCCGCTACCCGGGAGCACCATCTCGTCATAATATGTGTTCGCACGAGAACTATATTCTAGCCCCTCTCTTCATGATAGCAGGACCTGCTCGGTTTTGCCACGTCGGGGTTCGGGCTGCTAGGAATTATTGCCATAATCGATTCGGCCTTGTGGCGACACTCGGATGAGAAGAATACCGGCGTTACAGGATACTATATATACAGCAGACGCAATTACATCACGATCGACTCCCGCTCAACTACGGTGCCTCGATCAAGTAGTGGGATACCCGCGGCGAGGCGACTGTGGCCATTATGACCCTTCATTTTCGATGCTGCTGATACGCCTTGTGATAGAGCTAGAAGGCTACCTATATGTAACTACGGCTTACGGGGGGTAATATGGATCTCTTAGCATGAGCCACGAAAGGATCACCTTATTACCCGCAAAGAATACGCACACACACATATGATCCATGCACTTGGGGAAACGACAGCCACTACTTCTGTGCTATACTCTACCACCGAGGTCTTGAAATCATCCGTAGGTCGTGGGGGAACCACCCACGAGTGACACCCCATGACCCGCATCACAACCAATCACTCGCATGCGTTACACACGCCGATCCCAGCACTTCAGCCTCACGACTCTCTGACCTCATCCACCTCTCTCACCTATCCTCCCCTCTCCCCTCAACAACAGTCAAACATGACGCTCCTCACAATCCTAAGCACCCTCGCGCTCCCGGCACTAGCACAAGCTCTCTCATGCACCCTAACACCTGACTATGAACCCCGATTGTTGCTCCCGGCTACACGCTGCAGCTCGTCGTCAAAGGGATCAACACTCCGCGGCACATCACATTCGATGATCGTGGGAATCTGCTGGTCGCGGGGGATAGATCGGGGATTATTGCATTGGAGTTAGCGGAGGGGCAGGACGGGTGTGTGGAGGTGATGAGGAGGGTGGTGGTGGCGGAGAATGGCGGGCTGGACCTGTATCATGGGGTGGCAGTGAGTGGTGATGGGCGGACGATGTGAGTTTTTTTTGTGGTTTCTCTGGTTTTGGGGGTGGAGTTTGGAGTAATTGTGAGGGTGGTAGCAGTGGTTATATAGGTGGTGTTACTAGTGGTGCTGGATGTGGTTAGTGGCTGCTACTAATGTCCCGATTTGTGCGGATTATTAGTATTGTCACTACTGCTTACTACTGCTGTGCATGTGTACCTCTATTATTATTACCTATTATTTCCTACTACTATCAATTATTACTGCTAATATCCCCCCCTAGCTTTGCCTCCTCCACCACCACCGTCCACGCCTTCCCCTACAACTCCACCACCCTCAGCACCCTTCCCCCACCGCCCTCATCACAAACCTCACCAACCCAGGCCACATCACCCGCACCCTCTATACTCCCCATACACACCCAAACACGCTCCTTGTCTCCCGCGGCTCGGAATCCAACATCGACGCCGGCTCCGGTGACATCACCACTGGCCGCTCCCAGCTAAAGGCCTTCAGCACCCTCACAACCGGCCAGGACTTCACCACCTCTGGCACACTACTCGGCTGGGGCCTGCGCAATAGTGTCGGCGTCGCGCAGGATAACGTCGGTGGTGTATGGTCGGTGGAGAACGCGCCGGATAGTATTGTGCTGGAGGGGATGGACGTAAATGAGAGGAATCCGGCGGAGGAGCTGAATTATCATGGGCTATTACCTACCGCGCTGGAGACGCCAAATTATGTTGGGCCTAGCTATGGTACTCCCCCTTCCTCCCTTTCCCCGTCTTTCTGGCGCTGGGTTGAGCGCCGTCACTGATATGCGATGAACCAGGCTACCCAACCTGCCTGACAGTCTGGGACCCCACCGTTCTCCCCGCCCCCTACAGCGCCCTCGCTGTCGGCGACCCCCTCCCCCTCCCCCCCATCACCTCATGCAGCAACACTACCGCCGCCACCCTCGCATTCGACGCCCACACCGCACCCCTCGACATCAAGTTCCACCCGACGCTCCCGGGCGCCTTCGTCACCTTCCACGGGTCCTCGGCGCGCAAGGAGCCGGCGGGGTACAAAGTGTCGTGGCTGCCGTTCATGGACGACACACCGACAGGGGAGGTGTTGGATGTGGTGTGGACGAGGAACCGCACGGGGTGCCCGGGTGCGTGTCTTAGGCCCGTGGGGCTAGCGGTGGATAAAAGGGGACGGGTCTGGTTTAGTGCGGATAGGAGCGGGGAGGTGTGGCTGATTACGGTGCTTGGGGTGAATGGGACGAATGGGACGGAGTCGGGTGGGGTGGGGGAACTGGGGCGAATGAGACTGCGGAGACTGGGACGAGTGGGGGTGGGGAAGCTGGGGGATCGGGATCGGGGTCGGGGTCGGGATCGGAGCAGGAGTCGGCGGCGGCGGGGAGGGCGGGCTGGGGTGCGGTAGGGGTAGTAGGAGTAGCTGTTTGGGCGCTTTTGGCTATGGTTTAGTTTTGGTAATCTGTGTTTGTTTTTTCACTCTTCCTTCTTTTCTTTTCCTTTTGTTACTTCGGGCCTCCCCCTCTCCCTCTCTCTGTTTCTCTCTTCACCCACCTTACGTCCCTCCCTGTGAACATTGCCGACCTATATATATCCATAAAAACAAAATCCATCATCAGCCCAAACCCAGCTCCTGGTATATCCCCCCAGCCCAACCAACTAAACCCAAGAGAGCACCGAGTGATATTTCATGATTCATTATATTAAACCACGCACGCCCAACCCCAGTGTAACAGAAATCTAAAGGGCTAGGGTTTCTCAGACAATTTATTCCGTTGACGGTCTTTCTTTTATAAGGCGTGTATTCCTGGAGGGGAGCTCAGATTGAGATAGTGGTAGGTCATAGGGGCTTTCATTTCCTTGCATCTATATGAATTGCTCTGCCATCTCTGCTGTACGTGGGATATGCAATGTCTCTAGCTCTGTCACGATCATTCATGTCTTGATTGAATTACTCATGCCGTTATATCTGTTCACTAGGAACTTTTATTGGATCTTGCGTTGGAACGTTGTGGGCGAGGAGTGGATGTTTTGAGAAGGAAAAGAAAAAACATTGCTTGTATTCAACTAACCATATATACCCCGCCCCCTCCCTTCCCCTTCACCAAAAAAGAAAAGAAACCCGTTTGACTGAACAATCTATCCCCTCACCCTATCCTACCCTACAGGTGCCTAAAACTACATATCGAATATTGAGACAGAGACAAAGTTAAAAATGTCCTCAATGAAAACCGCTGTTTTGGGTATTTTGCTTTGTCGTGATTTTATCGCTAATAGTCAGATTTGTCGATATTGCAATAGAGATGCATGCAGTCTTGTGGTGTATGTCCATCGTCATCTTTAGCGTAGGGGTCGGCACCACGATCAACCAACCACTTAAATAACTCTCCAAACATGCCCGACGCCTCAAGATGTTGTGGTGTTCCCGTGCCGTCCAAGAGATCTCCAAGAGATAAACCATACTCCCCAAGTGCTCGTACACATCCCAATTCCGGCGGAGTGCCGCTGCATGGAGTGGCGTTTCCCCGCCGTCCGTTGCAGCAGAAATATCAGCACCACGGTCAAGCAAGAGCTCGGCCATCTTTACATGGCCGTAAAACGCCGCTACATGGAGTGGCGTCCCCCCGACGTCCGTTGTAGTAGATATATCAGCGCCACGGTCAAGCAAGAGCTCGGCTACTTTTACATCACCACCGTATACCGCCGCTCGATGGAGTGGCGTTTGCCCGTCGTCCGTTGTAGCAGAAATATCGGCACCACGGTCAAGCAAGAGCATGACCATTTTTACGTGCCCATTAATTACTGCGGTACGCAATAGTGACTTTTCAGAAGTACTGGCACTATTTTCAAGTAAGAGCTTTGCAATTTCAGCGTGTCCGAAGGAAGCGGCATAGTGTAGGGCCGTATGAGATTCACCATCAGAATTCATAACCTCGGCCCCCTGTTTCAACAGTAATTTGAGAATCGCTCTTTGTCCTGACATGGCTGCCCAATGTACTGCCGATCGTTCGAACCCATCCAAGTCCAAGACATTAAATCCTTCATCTAATAAATGCTGCAATACCAAACAATTCCCGATATACGCTGCAATATGGAACGGGAGAGGCAATGTCATATTCTCAATGTATCCCCAATTGAATTCAATCGTTAAACTCAAGTTCGCCCGAAACCAAAAACCACTTTGTTCGCGACATTTGAGAAACTTGAGAATTGCCTGCATTGATTTAATCTCACTACAATGGCTAAGATGGTAAACCAAGTGTCTAGCCCCGTATTCGAGGAACGGATACTCCTTCAGCTCGGATTCAAGCGTGGACCCTGTATGTGGCGAGTTCTCGGTAAATATTTCAAATGAGAAATATGTTATACAAGCCAGGGCTATCTCGTAGTCCATTTCCGACAAGAGAACAGTACTCCTCAGTAGGTACTCCTGCACGGTAAGATGGGCAAGACGCACAATGTTGCTCTCATCGATTATCACCAAACTGGCGCAGACCTCGAGTAGTGCCGCCTTTTCTGGTACATCTAGTTCGTCAAGCGCATAAAGGTTTGGATTTATAGACACCGCTACTTGTATCTCTTCGACTGTGAGTGCCCTCTGTGCTTTCACAATCCAGGAAAGTATTTTTATTGCAAGCTCAGCAAGACGTTTCGGTTGTTGGCGGATATTATCCAAAACACGGTCGTATGTAGTATCTAGAGGATATTTCTCTGTGTATGAGTTATCGGTACCGAATGATTCAAGCGCTGACAGAAGCTGATTTGCTGTTGTTTGCTCACAGAGATACTCAGTATGAAAATGAACAAGTAGAAACCTGCATACATATGGAATAAATCTCAATCAGACTGTAAAGACAATTAATGAAGTGAAGGTTACTACTTACATTCCGTTGGCACGTTCGGTGAGCTTAGAAATTATTCGATCTTCACATCCGGCCTTTTCAGCCAAACGATTTACTTTTGGATTCTCCTCTAGCTTCTGTAGAATATAGCCTTTTATGTCTTGTCTAGAGGCTATGATTTCTATTCTTGGTACGTCTTTGAATGACACCTGTATGTCTTCAGGATAATATCGACTTGTGATAAATAAATTGGCACCACCCTCCCCCAAACGATGAAATAGGGGGAGAAGTCTATCTCGTTGACCTTTCTGGTTACATTCATCCAACGCGTCGAAAATTATAAAGGCCCGTTTGAATGAAGCGAATATTGATAAAAGGACAACGAGAAGTTCCTCTAGGCTAGGTCGTTCGCCCTTATGCTCAAGGTCCTCGTAGAGTTTGCTGATCTTCTGCGGTAGGTGCGGAATTTGGTACCCAAGCTGCTTAACCAAGCTCGCAAGGACTAAGATAGGCGTTTGATTACCTCTTCCTTTGTAATCAAAGTAGATATATGCCACACCGCAGTCAGATGCATCAACCCGGTCTTTTAGATGCTTAATCACACCACAGCTACAGGTATTGGTCAATTAAACAAGATTACAATAATATGTTCAAGCGAAATTCAATACCTAATAAGAGTTTTCCCGGAACCAGCTATCAATGTTTCTTAATCTAAATATCTTCAACCACTACGCCTTTTAGACCTGGCAGCGTGTACTTACGGATCCCGTAACCCCAGAGCAACTTGGACGGATGCGATCCCATGACCCAACTCTGCATCTCTGGAGAATTTAAAAGTCATTCGCCAGTATCCTTCTGTCTCCGGTTGCTAATATCGGTGTGCTTTGTATCAAAATTGGCGGGATATAGCCAATTGAGGACCTCCTTGCGTTTTCTTTCTGTAGTACCTAATTAACCTCATACCCTCTCTGATAAATAGTGTACACAGAAAAGAGTCTATCCTGATATTGTCTTGTCATTGTTTATTAAGTTGTGTGGAGCTTTTTTAAAGCGCCACTCTTTCAAGAAAGGGCAATAATTTGAGGATTGGGACCGGGAGATAGTATGTAAAATAATAAATAGGTACCATATTCTACTTACTATCATAAGAAATCTTCTCGTCACTTTGGGTTTCGGAAACCACCTGAATTCTGTTCTGGATATCTTTCACAGATTTATCCACGGCCACGACTTGCCCTTCGATTGACTGTGATATTGTGCTTTATGTAGATAAAATTATATACAATCGGTACAGAACGACGGCACTGTGTTGGAATAACTCACAAATTATCAACACTCAAGGCAATCATAAATAAACTTTTACGCCTCTCGATATACATCACAAATTCCGTGGTCTCTGCTTCGTCCAGGGGCCATTTCAAAGACCTGAATGCTTTCCGTAGCCGACTCCCTTTCATCCCTAGCTCCAACTTTAATCGAAGTTCTTGCAACTTGATACTACATTCTCGAAGTGGAATGTCAAGTTTCTGCAATTCAGTCGAATTTGGAGCGCATCTATCGCCAAGACGCCCTAATTTAATGAGCACGTTGCCCAGAGAGATAAGTTCGTTTCTGAGGTTATCAATGTCTTCTGATGCTCGCCTGACTTTTCCAACGTATCCTGAAGCAAACACAGTCACTTGACCAGTGATTTGTATGAGCCCAGCTATGCTCGCGGTGAACCCCACAGCCTCTATGTTGGGGTATGTTGATTGGTGTGAGTAGTTGCGGGGTTGAGGCTCTCGTGTAGCTGGTCTTCGGCCTTGGACAACCTATCAGTACCTATGGATGTTACACAGGGTCAACTCCTTATGTATTTACATACATAAGTACATACGTAAGGTATGTACATACTACAGCGAAAGCTTGCTATAACGGTACGCTCGGGACCGGAATTTGGTGCCGTTATAGAGAGATTACCCTTATATAGCAGGTGCTGGTACTGAAAGCCAGGCAAAAAGGACCGAGAAGTGCTACCGTTATAGAGAGATTACCCTTATCTTATAAGTATATAGATATACTTGTTTACCACGAAAAGAACCAGAAAATGCAAGTGACGGAAACAGAGATAGTTTGTATGAGAGATCACCGCCACTCCATACAAATAATCCTTGCCCTGAGCAACTGCATTTTCTGGTTCTTTTCGTGGTAAACAAGTACCGATATGCAATGTGTTATTTAAAGGTTTTGATTGGCTAGGTTTGAGAAGTTGGTGATTAAGATTGCTTTTTTTGAGTTGCTAACACATTGATTTTTTTTTGCTTTTCTTGAGATGATATCATGATATTGATTTTTGCTTTTTTTGTGACAATATAATCATGATTGAATTGATTTTCCTTTTTGAGAGCAATATAGCTATAATTATATTAATTTTTGTTCTTCTTTATATGATATCAGGGTATTGATTGTTGCTCTACTTGATATGATATCACATTATCAATATTTGCTTTTCTCGGTATGATATAATTATGATAACATTGATTTTTGTTTCTCTCCATAATTAGTAGATTTTGGTATTATCTTCTGCTCAGAGATCCTCCTCCGATTCTGTCCTCAAACCTGTCCTAACTCTGCCGTATTCAAAGTTGTTCCTGAACTCAGACCCGAGCCGTTAGAATTAGCAAGAGATTTTTTGCTGAAGTATTAATAGACCAATGTGAACGCAGGTAAAATCAAAAATTAAAAGGTTATTTTTGCTAATTTTTAATTAGATCCTTCTACATTAATATAAAGTTTTGAGTATACCCTTCCTGGGGCTATATTCTCATACAGAATTGCACTAAAATATAATATATGATGGATTATCCTCTCCGGCCGAAGGCCGGCAACGACTTGTAGAAAGTACCGTTATAGCAAGCTTTCGCTGTACAAATATTTTCGATCTTATACGTCTCCCAACTACATGTAATTAGTAGTTACTCGCGATCGTGTATATAATTATAAGTATATCCGTTGGGGATTAAGTAGTTAAGAACATACTTATCCTTCAACCCGGTGACCTGGTTAATCATCTATGATTCCCCGCCCTTGGAGGTTTAAATATATATATCTACGGTAAAAAGCTTCCACCCAGTACTGCAACAAGCAAACGTTACCACAAATTCTGAGTGATCTACTATGACACCCAACCCAAAATAATAAACAAAAACAAAATGCTGGGTTTCTTTTTACTACTAAATAACTAGAATGCACGTCAACCTACAACAAACCAGGCCTACGAATGATGGTTCTGAGTAACCACCCCCTTCGAATTGGCCTGTTCGATGATCCTCTTCTTATATGCCTGGATATCACCCGCAAACGCCTCGACTGTTCCGTTATCACACACCCAAAGTCTCTTGCATACATTCGCCAACATGGTGACGTCGTGGGATACCATGAGTACACCACCCTGAAAATTGCGGAGCGCATCTGACAGCGCATCCATGGCCTCCACATCCAAGTGATTAGACGGTTCGTCAAGTACCTAACTGTTATCAGCGAAACGAAAATATAAAAGTAAAGGATGAGAGGGAGACGCACCAAGATATGAGGATTTGTCAAACTCAAACATGAAAACGCTACCCTACTCTTCTGACCTCCTGACAATAGCGCCATCTTCTGCAACCCCGTTGTTCCCGTAATACCAAACGCTCCCAAGTGTCTTCTGTACTCCTCATCCGTTCTCCCGGGGAACATCTTTGCGCAGAAACCCACAGCGCTCTGTGTCAGGTCGAGTGCGTCAACGTGATGCTGCGCAAAGAATCCAATCCGGAGTCGCGGGTTCTGTGTAATTAATCCACCAGATGGTTGCAGCTGTCCAATCAACAACTTCAATACAGTAGTTTTACCAGCTCCGTTGGGCCCGACGATACCGATTCGAGAATCAAGCTGTACATCAAGATCGACCTTCTCCACTATTGGTTTTCCAGGGGTGTATGAGAAGGACACGTTGGTCATCTGGATGATCGGAGGTGACAGCTTCTCGACCTCCGGGAATTTGAATACGACTGTGTACTCGTCGTCTGGAGCCTCCAATTTCGGTAGTTTTTCCAGCTTTTTAATACGAGATTGCGCTTCTGACGACTTCGCAGCATTGTAACGGAACTTGTCGATGAAAGTTTGGAGATGCTTTCGGTAGGCCATCTGGTTCTCATATTCACGCTTTGCGGTCTTGCGACGCTCTTCTTTCGTAGCGTAGAAAGCGTCAAAGTTACCACCTTTGTAGTAGTCGAGACGCTCAGAGTGCTGGTGAATGATATCTGTAGCGACTTCGTTAAGGAAGGCTCTGTCGTGGGAGACGACGAGAACAGTGGACGGGTAGTCCTGGAGATATTCGGACAAGAAGGTAATAGACGGCACATCCAACATGTTAGACGGCTCGTCGAGAAGCAGAAGATCGGGTTTACAGAACAAGGCACGAGCAAGGGCGAGACGCATACGCCAACCACCGGAGAATGTCTTGGTAGCGTGCTGTTGGCGTTCCTGTGAGAAACCAAGACCTGCAAGAATAGACGCAGCGCGAGATTCGGCCTTATCGGCTTCCATTTCCGCGAGCTTGGAGTGAATATCGGTGAGGATGGTGTCCAATTCTTCACGCTCCGCATTAGGGTAGCCTGAGGATGCAGAGACAGTGATAGGGTCGGGGCGAGATTCAATGGCAGCGAGCTCCTTAGTGATGCGTTCTTGTTCGGCGAGAAGATGTTTACGCCAAACATCGGCATCGAGAACAGCCTTCAAAGCGGGAGTATCATCTCCCATAATCTAATAATGATTAGGACTGGGCTTTATAGAGTAAGGATTAAAAGGGAGCCTACCTCTTGCTCGACATGCAAAATTGTGATATGCGTAGGAATAGCAATTTCACGTCTGGAGAGTGCGCGAAGTAGCGTGGATTTACCGATACCGTTCTGACCGACCAAACCATATCTTCTTCCATATGCCAAAGTAAGCGTGGTATCGCTCAATATCCTCAATCCTCCAATCTGTACATCCACACGGTCCAACTTGATATCCTTGCTCTTCCCTTGCGATCCCGATCCCAAAGTAAGAGGATTGACCTGCATATAAAAGTCGTCGTAGTTCTCCTCGTCTGCAGTGATTAACTTTGACGCCTCATACGTAACGTTCTTCATAACTTTCTTGTCCTGTTTTGCCTTGATCTTCCTCTCCGCCTTTTCGAGCTTCTTCTTATCGACCTTACTCTCCACTTTCCTTGTTCCAACTGCATCGATATCAATCCCAGTACCGACAAGCCCCATAGTCGAGGATATGTTGCGCTGCGATGCCATGTGGATCGTCTGGTCCAATTTCTTCGCCTTACTAGACGCAAGCTTCCTTTCATCCCCGTGAGCCTCATCGAGCTGTCTTACAAGCTTTTCTACCAGCGCGGTGATCGACTCTTCTGACACAGACGGGGGTGCCGCGTCGAGGAGAATTGATCTTACAGTGCTAATGGCTTCAGCGAGCTCAATGTCCGCGTCGGGCGAAGTTGAGGTCGACGCATGGTTGAGGAAGCCAACAGAGTACTCTGTGATGACTGGGTCGAGAGAGGGGAGGACTGCAGATATTTCGGACTCCATTATTGGCGATTTGAGGTGTTTGACGGGATGGCAATGGCGGGGTCTGCGTGAGGATTTGTTCGTTATCGATAACGTGAGGTTTGAGGTTTGACAATGCTATTGTCCCGAGCGCTTTAAGCGCGGCTGATACACCACGAGTGCGATTTCATGTTTTCAATTCAATTCATGTAAAAGTTGTTACTTTTAGTCCCATGCAATGGCCCCTTTCAATTGAAGTTTATCCGCCTTTACCCTCTAGTTTCGCAATACTAAACCTACCATATAACCAGTCACTTCACCATTAATGGATCCTACGACGTTATATCACCAAATTAAAAGTTGCCCTCCGATGACCAGTTAATTAGAATATTGTTCGTCCATTTCTCCCTCCCACAACATTAGGAATGCTCTGTATATAGTTATAAATACTCGCTATCATAAAGTAGGTATAAGGTACTGAGCGCCGATAACATGGATATCCTCAATTGTAAGTGATAGCTTACAGATCTAGATGCCGAAGCCTTCGAAGAGGCGCTATCCAGCCCCCACATAACCTCGAATCACACCTGTCATCTTGCATTGATTACTCTAGGAGTATTAACTCCAAGCTGCCAATTACATCTTCGATGCGAGAAACCCAAATGCACCAATAAGTGCCACATTGCGTCCAAAGGACAATCAGTACATAGGGCTGAAAAGCGGCATGCACTCTAATTGACGTCCAATCTTATTCCTTGCCTCGCGGAGCACACCACCAGTCCGGAAAATCCTCCATATGGCTGGTAGCCATGAAATTCGGAGGATGCGGCACAGCAGGAACTCTCATTAAGCGAGTGGTGTAATAATGTCTCAGTGCAGCTCGTTTGTGGGATGGCGTGAATACTGCGCATGAAAAGGTTGGCTAGATTGATTGGTTAGAGATTAGTTGGAGTACGGGGGTATCACGTCAGTGGTGTATCAACGTCGCCACTGTGCAGATTTTGAATGTGGCGAGAAGAGCTTCCAAATTTTGGCACCACGAGCTGGCAAGACATGTGATGTGGTTCTTTGCCCAAATTGCTAGAGTTTATGTGCAACTCATGGTGTAAAATCCCCTATTACGTCTGACAAGCAGCTAGGCAAACCGTCAGCGCAATATCCACATATCCGTGAGGGGTTGGCTCGTAAAGGTTACTTTTGAGTAAGTACCTAAATGCTTCTCCTGAAGTTAGAGTATTCATTAAAATCTAGGTGGCGATCCGGACCAGAAAACATTATGAAAATTTGGAGTGTGTAGTTAGCCTTAACTAGATTGAGGATACGATATTGGCTCTATACGTACCTAGGAAGGCTACCAAATGTCAAAGACGATTATTGGGGGTAGACTTATCGATAGAGATAACTAGCTGACTAGGTCTTCCTCCATGAGAAAAAGGAGTGCATAACTGTCGTTATCCTCCTCCATACGCATTGAAGATAGCTAATCCGGATGTTATATATGTCTTGGCCCCCTTAGAAATTTATGCTCCCTTTGATTGCAGCCGGAAATCTACACACTATATATATCCCCAATAAAACACCTATAAACTGTTTCTATATAGGGTGGTATGTAGGCACTCTATAAACCCGATCCTCCCATTATTCGAGGATCTATCCGCACATGCCACATACAGATTGGACAGAGAGTCTTGTTTTATGCATCCAGTAAGATGTGCAGAGGCTTGTTACAATTCTTTCGGTTTGGGCCTGTAATATGTGGAGCAACGTTAAGTGGGATCATGAGCCATTCGAGATAAGATAACGAGTGTGCGAGCGATACCAAACGTAAACTTTGTCTCGCGCTGAGATTCTAGCGGGAAAAGAGGTGGCTTAACCACATGTATCAGATCTGGCCATGGGGATCACATCACGACAAGTGTCTACTCCAGATCACAATTTGACTGATATCCAATTCTCATATCCAATTCTCTCTACCCCTCTATTTCCTCGACTAAAAATTATCTGCATTGATCATCTTTTTCTATCAAACTTTTCCTGTACCTGCATTCGATCTGAACGGACGCCCGCCTGGATGGCTGAATGAACGTCAAGACCGTGTTCTAGCATTAGATTCTAATACAAGCACCCCCCCCCCCCCCAATAGAGATTGTAATGCTATTGACTGATTAGGTATGTGTCCACGATATCAACACTGTGTTTACATTGGACATCGGAAACACCCAGGCCACGGCCAATCGACTTTCATAAGGTGAAACCGGAGCTAGAGTACGGTTCAGGCACACCATACAAAAATGGAGGGGGCCGACCCAAAGTGCAGAAAGTGGCAATTGCCGTTCCTAGATGATTCTAGATTTCACCTGACCACAAACCGATGAAACTGCGTGGTGCACTTGATAAAGGAATGGTCGACCAAACGCGTTGTTGTGATAGTTGCCCTATCGACGCCGCGCCTCTAGGTAACAAACACCCGCTTTCGGTAAATGCTACTAACTACTGGCGAGTGACACACCATGACTGTCTATCCTGGCCAATCCAGCCCCAGCCCTTGGGGTGAAAAAAGACCTCAGCTGAAAAACTGCTAGCACCCCGATCCCCGATCTCGCAATTGACTCCTCAAACAGCGCTAACTGACAAAATCTCCCCCCAAATCTCGCTTCACTGGCCCTAGTTGTCACGCCATTCACCCAACGGGTAAAGTGGGCTGCGGGCCGGTTCGGTCGGTTTGGAGTTAAGTGGATAGTCGGCGGGGGGTGGATGGGGGGGGGGGGGGGTCGTCATAACAAACATACGAAAGCTTTTGTTGTTGTTTTTGTTATGGGCTGTGGTCGTGAGGTTGTAAACAACACTTTTCCGGGAATGGTACATGGATTGTGGCTGCCAAAACCCAGATAGTACAGCTGAACCGTGGTTTGGCTTTTTATCCAGGCCAGTCGCCCTAGCTGGGTTCCTGCAGCAGCAGCAGCAGCAGCCACATACCACATCCGCACACTCATACATGTACCTTCTGCCGTCACACCGACGTAATTAAAAAAGACACGACCGCACTACAACCTATCTATCTACTCTCCCATGTACTCTACTCGGCGTACTACCCACCCCCCAGTACGTACCACTGTGATACGGTGCAGCAAAACACAACAATTGCGGTTTTTTCTCTCTCTTTTCCGGTCAATCCAGTCACTACCCGTGCAAGGAAAATAAATAACAAAATAAGGATTCTATTTATTACTACTAATCTAGTTTAAACTTTCCTGAAAAAAATGCAATTCATGCAGGCTCATAAATTTCTCTCTCTCTCTCTCTCTCTCGCTCTCTCTTTCTTTCTTTCGTTAATAGTTACAATGCCATATATGTACCATACGTGAAGTAGAGGTAAAAAATGAAAAAGTAAGAAAAGAGAAAAAAAACTACAACCTCCTCCACCTCCACATATACACCCTCCCTGGGTATATATGGGTGTTCATTACGTCTTTTGGGTAGACAAAAGAAAAAAATAGTAAAAAATAAAAAAAAGACCTTTCTCCCCTCCGGCATTCCTCCCCCCCGCATCACCAGACCAAACCAAACCAAACCCATCCATCCATCCATATATATATAATATGTAATATCTACCATCGCTCACCAACATCAACAAATCACACGAAGCTAAACTAAACTACACTCACTAAGTACCAACTCAACTAAACCTACAGCAACAGCGCACCACACGCACCCCCCAATCCTTCCAATTGAAAAAATATAGATAGAAAACTCGTTCGCTCGTTCGTTTCTTTCCGTTCGTTACGTTGCCCGGGGGAAAATTGGCATGCACAACAGATAACCATGAACCGACAAAGAAAAAGGGCAAAGGAAAACCGGAAGAAAACTCGTCCCATAAATAACAATTAGCGGGGGTGGGGATAGGAAAACCGTCAAATTCATCGTGATCATAAGATACCAGTAGCTAGTAAGCTCTCTCTCTCTCGGGGACTGGTGGGGAATAATGCAAAAGGCGGAGGCGGGTATGGGTATAAGGCTCCGCGGATATGATAGGCCTTTTCTTTGGCTGCTTTCTTCTTGCTTTTTTTTATCCTCCTGTGGAGTCGAGTCTGTGGGCTGGTGAGTGTGTTGTGTGGTGGTGGTTGTTATAGTAGTTGTAATTGTAGTAGCTTTTTTCGTAGTAGTAAGTAGTAGTATGTAGTAATAGGTAGTAGTGGCTGTTGCTTTTGTTCTCGTAGCAGTGATCCGCCGGCTGGTGTATGTATAATATGTACGAATGTATGTATAACCATTTTTTCCGTTTCCGTTTAGCTCGCTGACTTCCACGAGGCCAAAGAATAAAAAGCCCATTAGAAGACCCTCGCAGATCCCCACAAACAAGCCTCGGAGGAGAGAAGAGAAAAAAAGAAGCGAAGAAGAGAGGAAAAAAGAGACCTGAGCAAACAAAAAACAAAAACACCCCGGAAAGAGAAAGGAAAAAAACTAGTTAGTAAGATAAAGAAAAAGGGATGTGAGATATGGATATAATGAAAGACAAAGCTAGGACCAAACAAAACAACAGAATCAACAGAATTCCCCCGCCGTTTTGTAGAAAAAAGGAAAAAAGAACCCCAAACTTTTTTTGTTTCCCCCCGGGCCCACCCCGCAAAGCAAAGCACAATAACACAATGCATTAACGCAAGGAGAGAAAGGGCAAAAAAAATAAGCTCAAACAATAAAAGACACGAAAGGGAAACAATGGGACAGGAAAAAGGAAAAGAGATTAGAAAACGACAAAACGCACGAAAAGAAAAAAAAAACACCGCTGATGATGATATACCCCAACCCGAACAAAACCGAAAACCCAACCCTTATTTCCCATTTACCGCTACCCCCCCCCAGTTAGTTCAAGCTCTCTCGTTTTTTTCACTTCCTATCCTACACGACGCCCACCAGATGCCCCGCCGCGGCCGCGCCCCTCGAAAACTCCCACCCCTCCTCGAAGCCCTCAAAGCTGCCTCTGCACTCAAACCCATCTTCCATATCCAGCGGGCTCTCCACCAAATCTCGCGCGTCGTCCACGATACTCTGCATCGTCCTCTTGAGCTTCCCCACGTGCTTGACCAACTCCCGCAGCATATCCGTGTCGAATTGCACCTTCTTTGGCTTCCCCGTGACGATGGCATCGTCGCTCTGCCCGCGCACATGGTGGCCCCCGCTCTGCTGCATCCGCTCCATGATCCCCTTTGCAACCTCGACTGGGTCATTCCTGTCGATTGTTTTCCTGCTCTGCGGTGAGATGTTGGGTGGCGTGTGGCCGAACGAGCGCCGGAGGAGCGGCGTGCTGGGTGCGCCAATGCCGCCGCCGCCAAAGACGTCGTCGTCAGGTAGCAGAATTGAAGAGCGGCGGTGAGAGCCCTTGGAGGGCGGCGTCCGTGAAGGTGCTTCGGGAACGGCGGGGATTGGCTGGTCGTCGTCGAGTGTTGCGAGCGCAATGATGCCTTCGGCCTCGTCGAAGATGGCTTGGTGGACGCCATTGCGCACGCCGGAAGAGATTGCGAGCGAGCGAAGATGTTTCAGATCTGCGAGTCATACCCAATTGGATCAGCCCCGCCATTCATCACCACGCCTTGCAGTAGTGGGGGGAGGTGAGGTGGGGGTGGGGTGGGAAAAAGCAAAAAAAAAAGGAAAAGGAAAAGGAATGGGGAAAATGAAACATGGAAAAATGTGATGTCTGTCATACCTTCAACCAGCAGGGCAAACTCTCGCACGCAGCCAAGATGCCCGATCACGCTTGCTTGCTGCTCCTCGATCGCGCGCGGGATAACCATATTCAAGCATCCGCCCTCGTCATCGTCATCCAGGAAGTCCTCATCCCAGTTCTCGCTCGGCAGTGGCACCCTCCCATGAGAGTTTACCAGCGGCATGCTCTGCGAGCGGACATGATAGCTTGGAGCACGGCGCCCGGACCTTGAGGAGGTGAGCATGATGCTCTCCTTAGCATGGATTGTCTTTGATCTCTTTGCATATGAAGGCTGTGGCTGCGGTGTCGGGCTGACGCTCTCGCTCCAGTCCAATATGCTGCTATTTGTCTCGCGGATACTCGAACCGTCATTAATTGAGAAGCCCTCAGGCGCGGTGCCAAACGACGTGCTGCTGGCATTGTTGCTGTGCAGGCCTAGCGAAGCGGCTGACAGGAGCCCGCTGTACGGGCGCAGCCCCCCCGAGACAATCCGCATCCCATCGTCATCACCATTGCGCGACGGCGCATCCCAATCGCTGCTTGAGCCGTCCTCGTCGTCGTCGAATGCCTTGTGGGCGTTCGATGTTGTTGTTGTCGCATGCATATTACTACTACTATTATCCCTATTCTTGAGACTGCCAAACTCCCCGCTCACATAGTGCTTGTACCGCAGCGGGTGGGGTGCGTGGTGGTGATGATGGTGCTCCAGCCCGCTGCCAAATGGCTCGTCCTGTTGCTGGTCAAAGAGCTGATCCGCCCTTGGCGTCAGTTCAGATGCCCGCGTGCGCAGCGAGTCAAACACCGTATCGCTCTGGAAATCCTCCATATTATCCTCGCTGCCCACCAGCGTGGACGCCCGCTCCGAAGCGCTGATAAGCGACAAACGGTGCTGGCGGTCACTGATTGAGAGTGGCACGATGTTCTCCCCGTCGTCCAGATCGAGGTCAAAGTCGTGATGATGATGATGCATGTCATCGTCTACATCGGCATCATCGTCATCGCCGTTATCGGAATCCTCGGGGGAGAGCGATGATTCGTGACGGTCGCCGTTCTCCTCCTCGTCCTCCCCCTCTTGCTGCTGCTGGTCAGGGTCGGGCGAGTAGGCGCGCGACACAAAGTCCATGTTCCCGTCTAGTTGGGGCAGCGACGGGACCGGTGGGATGTCCTCCTCGTGCGATGCAGAGCGTGTGTGGTAATAGTGATAATGATGATGAGAGGAGGGGGAGTGTGTGTTTGAAGAAGAAGGGGAAGTGGAGGTTGTGGTGTGAGAGTGTGTGTGGAAGGTATTATGATGGGTGGTGTGGGTGGTGGTGGAGGTCGCATGGGTGCCGGTAGCACAACTTGCAGCTGCATCGGTGCCGGCGGGGACGACTGATCTTCCATCCTCCCAAACCCGAAATCCAGCGCGCTGAGCCCATCGCAGCACCCGTCAACCCCATCGCCATTCTCGCACGTATTCAGGCTTCGATAGTGGATCGGGGCCGTCTGTAGATAATTCACGCCCGACAGCGACCTTCGGCGCGCACTATTTCTAGGCGAGGTCGCACCCATCCCCATGCCCATGCCCATTCCCAGCGCCATCCCGGTCGACGAGCGCCTAACCGCCGCCAACTCCACAAGATCGTCCATCCGCGACGCCGGCCGCGAATCGAAAAACAGCGACGACTCGGCCCCCGAGAAGACCGACTCGCTGTCAATGTCGATGTTGAGCAGAAGATGCTGCTGGTGCTGCTGCTGAGTGGTTGCCGGTGTTGGTGCGAGCATCAGTGTCGGCCCGATGAGTTCCCCGCGGCCACTGCCACCGTTCTTCTGCAGCTGCTTCGGGTAAATCCGTCGTACCCCGCTGAAGGGCTTTCTAGGGAGCTTCAAACCCCCTGGCGAGGACGGCGTGGAGGGGGAGGTGGTGGATGTGTATTTTGATGATGAAGGCTTGTGACGTTTCGGGGTGAAGAAGCCTCGCCATGAAGTCGTCGGCGGAGGAGGTTGTGCAAGTGCTTGCTCCTGATGTCTGTGAGAAGCAGCGGAGTGCGAGAAGAGGGCGGAGGTGGATGGCCGTGACGCATGGATCGGCGAGATGGGGGAAGACTGGCTCTGGGCAAATGATTGGTGAACGCCCGCAGTGGAAGGTCGTTGTCTGTGGCTTGGCGAGTGGTGGTGGTTCGCTGCTGCCGGGGTTGTTGGTTGTGGTGGTGTGGTTGCTGCTGGTACTGCTGCGGGTCTGGTTGGGCTGCCTGTGGTGCTGCTGGTGGGGCTGTCATGCTCCCCCCCGTCCTCAGCTGGCCTGACAGCATTTCGCGACGACGGGTTGCGCTTCACCAGCTTATTCCCCGTGCGCGGTCTCGAGCTGGACCGCCGGGCCCCAAACGGCACTAGCGAACTCGACGTGTACGGCCTCGACCGCGACGAGAACGAGCTCGTACTCCGCGACTGCGACGTTGATGAAGTAGGCGAAGACGGTGTTGACGATGAGGACGAGGACGACGAAAACGACTCTGAGAGCCGGTGTAGCCACCGGCGCGAGGTGGATGTTCTGGGCGAGGGCTCTTCTGGGAACAGTGTTTGCCCGTTATTGTTGTTGGTATTGTTGTTGGTATTATGATTACCACTCCCACTGCTACTTCCACTGCCATAATATCCGCCCCAGCTCTTCCTTGCACTCTTCCGCTTCTCGCTCCTTGGTGTGACAGTCTCTGGTTCTCGGATTATAGGTGTGGTGTTGTTTGTATTCGTGTTGGTGGTGGTGGTGATAGTATTAGGGTTCGTAAGCTGGTCGTGGGCGTCGTTCGGCTTGCACGGGCGTGCCAGAGCAAACCCGCAGGCTGCTATTCCGACCGTGGAAGTCGCACATAGCTGGACGCGGGCAGTCTCTGTTAGTCAATCCGTTCCTCGTTTCCTGTTTTTCCTGTGTTTCTGTAACCCCAAGTGAACGAGACAAAAGAAACACGTGCAGTAGGAGTCGTGGTGGTAATGGTTGTTGTAGTAGTAGTAATAATGGTGGGGAGTAGTAGTGGTAGTAGGGTAGGTTGTGGGGTGGTGGTATGATGTGATGATAGACAAAGAGAGAGAGGTAAGAAGGTACGAGGGTAAGGTAGAGAGAGATAGATAGGTAGTTAAGAAAATAAAAAAAGTATACATACAGTAGAAACGGTTTTCATATTTCTAGTTCCCGGTACGGTAAAATACTTTTTAAAAGAGCGACGACAAAGAGGGCAGGGCGATCAACAGAAATATACAATAGTCCAGATATTGTATCATGAGCATTGCATCGTGATACGGTTTCCTTAAAGAGTGTGAGTGTGTCTCTGATGTGATGTGACTTAGTAAGTTAAGCAATATGCTGGGTAGTACCGGTTGGAATGGGGTTTGTTTGTATTGATTGAGTCAATATCAAAAAAAAGGTAAACAGCCCAAATCAAATCGAATCGAACGGAGTCAACAAAAATAAAATATAACGAAAGAGAAAGAAAGAAAAAACGACCGCCCCGTATGCTATGCTATGCAGCAGACAGGTACCGCCGGCAAGTGTAAAATAAAACAAAGGCTAGCAAAAACCCAGATCGATCGGTGGGTGGGTAGGGGAAAAGATCTAGATAGGAGGAGGGGTGGTGGTGGGTGGATAATGGTTGGTTAGTAGTAAGTAGTAGTACTTGACTTGACTTGGGGGAGTGGTTGTGGTTGTGGTTGTTTTGGATTTCGATGTATCTGATTTTCGATTCGGTTCCCTCGTTTCGAATTCCGTATCTTGCAGCAGCAGCAGCCCAGAAGTCGAGAAGAGACGGTGAGCAACCCAGTACCCAATAACCTTCTTTCCCGAGTATTATTCTGTCTGTCTACAGTTGCAGTCGAGGAGGGGAGGGAGGAGAGGGGGGGGCGAAGAAAGAAGCAAGCCGGGCCTCAAACAGACGAATGAGTGCAGAAGAAGTAGAAGAAAGGGCCCTCGAGTGAGAGAGAAAGCACCGACGAAGTAAGGCAAGGCAGAGCTAGAGAGTAGTAGAAAAAACTAGACTAACCACCTAGGTACAGACAGAGCAACGAACGAACGCGCGCACGGCCAAATTGAAGAAGTAGTGAGAGAGTGCGAGTGATCGAGCTAAAAAAGGATCCGGTAAGGCTCAGACAGAGTAAGGTACGGTACTCTCAAATTCCAAGACCCCGTCTGTGTCTGTGGTTTTGGATTTTGAATAATATTTTTTTCTCTTTCGCGATATATATCTGCGCGCGGATCTTTACTGTGTGGCCCCTCTCGAATGGGTAGTGCAGTAGACAGGTCTCGTGTTTTTGATCAAAAAGTCGATATATCCGGATGTGTGCGCGGGGGAGTATTAGAATGATAACTCCTTCCTTCCCTTAACCCTTTCCAATGTCTCTTTTTTTTTTCTTTATCTAGGTATTCCTTTTTCCCTTCCTTCCTTCGAAACCGGTCGTGGATTGGATTGGATTGAATAGCTAAGCTTTGATTTGGTGGAAAGCTTTTGTTTGTTGATTCAGAATTCGAATTCTCGAAAAAAATTCCTTCAGCCTGCCTAGGGATCCCAACAAACACGAGAATTCCAATTGCAGGAATGTCCGGTCTAAGAAAGAAAAATAAATACTCTATCGCGAAAAGAAAGAAAAAAAATAAAAAAAACACCTCCGAGTTCAATTGTGTGTCTGTTCTTGTGCAGCAGCCTGTGACCGTGGATAGGGGAAGAGCAGGAGATCAGAATCAGCTAATCGGTAGACAGAGACAGAGACAGCAGACGGAAATGCAGTACAAACGCTCAGAAGAAGAGGATGGGTGTTCGTTCAATGGGAGGGTGGGGGGCGAGGAAGGGACGGACAGCCAGCCAGTTGCTATGCTATGTGACGCTGTGCAATGTAGGGAATATGCATGTACACTTTGGCGTACATACATGCAGAGTGCGAGAACTGAGTGATGGCAGCAGGTGTAGGTATGTGTATGTAGGTGTAGAGTGAGATAGGATGCACATACCGAATCGATAGGCAGGATCACAATCACAAAGTTGATAGATATCCCAATCCCAGTTATCGTATGGACTTGTGGGTTATGCAGTATCAGGCCCTGCGTACTCTCCACCTAGTGGGCAGTGGAATAGAGTAGAGCAGGTACCGGCAGTAGTAGTAAACAGGAGTAGTAGTAGCTCTCCTGTAGTTGGTAGAATAGTAGTACTAGTTGGAAACAGATGTTGTTTTGTTTCTGCCCTAAGCTTTAAGACCGATATATCAGAGCAGTATGTAGTGGGAATAGCAGCAGTAGCAGTACGGGTAAAACACCACCAAACCGCGCAATCGCAGGAAACGAAACAGAAACAGATCAGATCAAACCTCCCCAGAGAAGACAGAGACCCCAAAAAACACAAAACAACAAAAGAGCGTGAAGGGCGCTAAAGCCAGATCTGAAAGAGCAAAAGAACGAGTTACGAGAGTAAAGGCAAAGGCAAACTGTAAGAAAAACTAAAAACACACCCGTCTGGTTGGTTGGTTTTTCACTGCGAACAACACAGCAGCAGTTCAATATCCACCTCTTTCTAATTCGGGTACTCAAGAGCCCATCGCTTAGCCACAAGAGGAAAGGGCTCATACGGCTACGGGTGCGAGACCAGGGGCGGCAGCAGGGGCCCAGGGGCAGCCAAGAATGGAATTAAACCCCGTCTCGTCTTTCACTTCACTGCTGCTGCCAGCCCCCGATGGATGCCCCAGTTCAGGAACAGGAACAGTCAGTGGCTACCGCGACTAGAGCACTCCAATGTCCATCTAACCAGCCATCCATCCAGCCATCACCTACCCACCTTAGCTGTGGCATTTTCTTTCCTCATCATGTCTCTGCTTGTTTGCATTTCCCTCATCCACCTCTTCTGTGGCAACACAACCATAACCTTGCACGCCCTAGGCCCTGCCTTTCTGCAATTTGTTTGGTAACATCGGCGGCGCTGTGTGACGATGCTGCATTATCCGCGCGCTGTGCTTTTCTAGAACACCAAGATGGAGAAAAGAAACGACCATCCAGCTAACTAGCACAGGCACTCGCTCGTCCCAAAAAGAAACGAAACATTATCTCCACCCCCCAGTCTCTTTTTTCCCCGTACTTAATCTCCCTCGCTGCTGCTCTCCCTTCCTTCGCACCCATCAATCCAGCCAGGGAGGGACGAGGAGGGATTGTCCTTGCTTACCTCCGGATATATCGGAAAAGTAATATTATTCCACTTTCAATTACCTGTGCCGTTCGTGGGGATCAGGAAGAAAAAAAAAAGGAAAAAAAACGAGATGAGATTTAAAAACGATGAGCCAAATCTTGCCCTGTCCCGCGGTACGCAGGTACAGTATTGTACATTCGTGCCCTCACTCCCAGGTCTGCAGTCTCGTTTACCCCGGGATCGTATAAACATCCGCCAGGCAGCCAGACACCTGTGTACCCACCTCACAGACTCTCTCTCCCCTCTGCTACAGTGCTACGGCTCCATCACAACCCATCACTCAGCGCAACCGGGCCGGAGAGAAACCCGCAGCCCCAGCCCAACGCAATGTTTCTCTGTCTGCTCTACCTACATATGTAAGGTACCATACATCCGCCATATGTATGTATCCCATGGGACACACACACCCCTCCACACCACCCCCAAAAAATACGAGCATTGAGTCGCAAAACCACCGTTTTCGGCAGACCGTAATTTCATTTCTCACTCTTTGGCTGGTGGTGGCTTTGATCAAAACAACCCGCGGGAATTCTCGCTCTTCCCCCACAAAACGGGAAACGGAAAATAAATTTCGCTATTTACACGCAGCAGCAGCAGCGGCGAGAAGGCGCCTCGTAATCTCCTATCAGCTCAGCCCAATTGCCCGTGAGCGAGGATCTTAAGGAAATCACTCCCCCCTCCCCTCCCCTCCATTACATATCTCCGAATATATATGAATATCGGCATGTATTTAGAGTGGATAGAGTACATGTAGGCAGGTAGTTGATCAGTGATCTTCGGTTAAGTACTACTACCTTCCCTCTCGACTCAATGTCTACTCTACTTAGCGAACATCTTGTTTCAGGGAAACCCATCCCATCCCATACCAATATGTCCTCTCCATATATGCCACTAAATCGATCACCCCCCCCCCCCCCACCCACCCCCATCCGCCCCCATGGCCGGCCAGGTGCAAGGGAAGGTAAGAGGAAGATAGGATGCAGTACCCAGTTTGCGTAAAAAAGTTTATCTCACCTTGCGTCCTTACTTCGGCGTAAGTGTCGGAGTTGAGGCTCGACTCCTACGCAAACCAGGTTATGGAGTAGTAGTACAGTAACAGCCCGGATCGCCGAAACGGCAGGCAGGCAGGCAGGCAGCAGCTCTTTGTTTCCCAAATATAAGCCTAAGCCCTATGTACTGCACCCCACTCTCTCAATCTCTGCACCGGTGAGACAGTGCACGGATGCTCGTGGGTGATGTGATCATAGGTACCTACGGCTAGGTAGATGTGAGTTAGGGTAGGCCGTGGACGAAGGGCTCTTGGACGTTGACGGTAACTACGGGTCGGTTGCAATTGGGGAAGAGCTGGAGCTGGAGGAGGAGGAAGCACTACTCTACGTAGAATGCTAGCTCTGCAATTGCTCTAGAAGAAGAGACCTTTTAGTGCTTGCATGTGCGGTGTTGTCTTTACTTTATGGAGTAGAGTTCAGAGCTGTATGTGTACACATGGCCGAGTGCTATCGTGGCTCTAGATTTGCAATTGGATGCGTCTGTAGTAGCTACATACATGTACTTAGCTAGCTAGAGGCCTCGAGTAGAATACATGTACCAGCTACCTGTCCTACATGATTGGGACTGGACTGTTGTAGATAGAGGAGTGGCACCTGTTAGAGAGACTCGAGAGCAAAAATACGTATATAAGGTACCACCGCCTCAAATCTCCATTTCCCTGTCAGTTTTTCCTGATTACTCTAACCATCAAATTCTAAAGCAGCTGCTCACGATGGGCAGCAACGGCTTTTCCAAGCCAAGCCGAACGTCGTTGAGGTCTAGGCGCACCAACCCGTCCACCGTCCACTGTTCAGAACCACACCGGCCGCCGCCGACGCCGCGCCCACTGACGCAACGAAACAAAACAAAACGGACAGAACGCACAGACACCCGAATCAATCGGATGGTTTCCGCCCTCCCTATTTGAGAAACAAAAGGAGGCATGGAGAAACACCCACACTCACACAAACGGATCTGGTTCGGGGGGGTTCGGATCATTGATGTTCCCTACGATGATGATGATGTGGTGGTTGTTATTATTGTCGTGTGGGGTATATTATAATTACTGCGAGTGCACTTTGAAATTTGCTTACATCGTTCAGCTCAATTCCTTTGCACAAAAAACTCATATAGGGAGGGCTCTTTGTTTTCGGAATAGACACTGCTGCATACATCATAGGAACATACTAGTATTCTCCTATTTCAAACGAGGCATCTATTCTCGCCCTGGTTGGTTCAGCTAAGCTGCATCGAAAAGGGAACTGAGACATCCAGACATCACTAAAGATGCACGGATAATTCGAATATGGTCTATAGCCGCCGTTACGTTTCCTTCGTCCGATATGTAAACAACAACAACAAGCACTCTCAACATGTCAAACTATTGGGCCATTCCTGGGTTCATGCCATCTGGATTTCCACTGCATGATTGGTATATTGGGTGTGTGTGTGTGTGTTTACTTACTGAAGTAGAAGTGTGTAGGTAGACGATTGATCATGCTCCAACAACAAACCTGGTCATGATTACCGTCTCGAATTGTCAAGTCAACAAACGGTGCATCCGCCTTCATTGGCCCATAATAGCTAACTAGCCTTTCACACTCTAGCTTTCCCTTTTACCTACATCCTATCCCACGTTACTGCATCACGCATCACGCCGGCCTTCGCTCTAGTGTGCAATTCTGCCCCCGACATCATCCATCCCATCACACCAGCTGCTGCACAGGTGTTCACACAAACCGGGGTGTTTGTTGATGGGATTGTCTAAAGGGAAACCCTTTGTCACCGTACTTTGTTGACATGGCAACCCACTTTTCTTCGTTCGCGTGGGATAGGTTAAAAAGGGACATCAAAGCTTACTTGCCCGCAATCGTGGGGCTGGGGAAAAAGGAAACCGCGTGCGATTGCCGCTTTCGTCGGCGTGGTGGTTCTTGGGCTTTGTTTCGCCGTGTGATTTGTCTGCTAGGAGTACCTACATGGATAGAATCCTCTACATACAGTGCCGACTACACTACATGTATGAAGCTGTGAAGGTTGGTACAGCGACTGCGTCGACGGTGTCCTAAATAGGTGCTTGATGGGACGGGTCGACAAGTTAGGGGACTTGTGGTTTCTGTGAGATTCATCACGCATCTCGTGTACACACTCCCAACGGGGGCATTGGAAAAGTGAATAGGGGATATCTGCAGTATTCGAGTGCTCAGGAGATGCATTTACTTCATCAATAAACATTTACGTATAGGATGAGTTGTCAGGAGGCCGTATGATCGATGGTCATACCATATATAGGGATTTTCAAGAATATTCTCCGGTGAAGCACCAAAAGCTTCCGTGTTATAACCCTTATTCATCTTCCTTGTCTAAAGTATGGATGTGATTCTCCTGATGCTGTGCAGGCAGAGCGAAATTCTCCGAAATTGATGGAGCTGTGCATATATGTAGGTAGGTTCTTGTTGTATTTTTATATATACTTTATATAAAAGTTTAAAGACTACCAAAAATGCGGTGTATGCGAGTGATCACCCATGACGAAAACGCAACAATTTGTCCAGCTCATGGCATTGAAACCGGGCCACAAAAGTTACGGATAAGATATCCAATCGTAAGACACAAATTAAAAATTATAATTGGTAGGTAACTTCCTAAAAAAGATACAAGAGGAATGATATCGTCTTTTAGAGAACACATATCATTGGATCCGATAACACGATAACTGCTGACAAAGAAGACAACTAGAAAGAGCACGAAAATCAACAAGATATCCAGGCAACTAAGCGATACTTAAGATATACGTACTAAAATGCTGAAACAAGTTTTAAAGAGCCTTTCGATGCCGGATATGCTCCTGACATTATTTACGAGCACTTGCGATATTGGATACTTCATATACCACCACTTCACAGCCGAACAATCACACAATGTAGCTACATCAATACGCCGATAATCAGATCATCTTTACCTACTCGGACGAATACACCATCATATTTCTAGGGAGCATTACTTCAATATCCTACACTTGAATACCTGAAAGGGCCTCCGAAGATCAAGACAGCGAGAATATATCTCAATCCTAACGGCTCCAAGTTTTATAACTGGCATCCTATTCCACAGCGTTTCAGAACCGTTGGTGTTGCCAATTTCAATTGATGGACCTATAGCTAGACTTCTAGGAACCATAGAATAGCTATCGCGAAGACGATTACACTATCGTCGCCCGCGACATCGATGGTCACTCGAGATCTCGAGACCTTAAAGTCTCGGATTCGAAGGCCGGGCTTCGATAGGTTAATCGATATATATCGTTTCCGAGAGACATCGAGAGCTACAAATTAAAGGTAATATCTCTAACTACATGTATTCTTAATGTATGGTTTGATCAGGTGCCTAGATGTTAAGAATGTTAATGCCATAGGTCAATGACGTATGACGAGCGGCAGGTACATCTTAACGTAACGCACCTCCGACTCCGAAGCTCGTGAGGTATCTCCTACCTATATCCTGGCCGGCCACCCCCACCCCCACCCCCATCCCCAATTGCAAGATCAAGCATTTCACCACACAAGATCGGTCAGTCGACCAATTGAACCTTGGCATAAATATCGATATTCCCAGCTAAACTCCAAACGAAACATCCATCGCCCGGGCACCCTCAGGCAATCGAATTTCAAAACCGCGGTATCTTGGCATCCGTTAGTGGCATCCATAAAGAATACACAAGGGCCTGGATAATAGACAAATGAACTCTATCAGATAACCTACGTCGAGCCCCGAATACCCGCCATCGCCTATCGCGGTGAACCAGTGGCGTATTTTATCGACACGGGATAGGCAGGTGTCACTCTACTTTACACCCATTACTCGTGCATAATTAAGCGCCAGCAATACTCGATAGTGCCTTGATTCGCGGAGAGCTCTCGCCCCATATCTCGGCCAATAGCTCACGCATCATTGTGGCGAATGGTTCCAGCCGTACGTTAAGCATGTTTGTTTGGTAATTAGCCTCCCCTCCTTTCCCGTGGACTCGGTTTCTGCGGCGTGTTTGATAAGATGGCACGGTTTGCCTTACTTACTGGCCGATGTAAAGACTCGTTAAGTACGTCTGCCTTGATGGTGGTACGATTTTGTTTGGTTGTTTGTCTTGTCTTGTCTTTGATTTCGTCCCGATCATGGGCAGTTTGACGCCTTGTACGACAGGCCCGTTTCGTGGTCGTGATTAATGACGCTATCATACACCCCCTTCGGCACCAATCCCAAACATAAAATTTCCAGCCTAGCTAGTAATCAAACTTTCTGACACGGTCATGCCGTTGAAAATCTATACCGAGTGATATCCCATGCACTCACACACCACACCTCACCAGTGACTACCCGCGAGGTGTAACCAATATCACGATCAAGTAATTCCCATTACTCACTCGCTTACCAGAAAATGCCAGTGACGGAAATAGGGATAGTTTGTATGAGAGATCGCCGCCACTCCATACAAATAATCCTTGCCGTTCTTTTCGTGGTAAACGAGTATACTTAGCCAATCAATTCATACCCCGCCTCCATTCTGAGGCGTCCCCAGTGCACGAGTTACCCCCAGAACCACACAAGGCAAGGCATGCGCAAGGAACCGTGAAGCTGGCGACAATGACGTATCGTGATCAGCGGGAAGCTGGCTTAAAACGCGGGGAAACAGCTACCTATATAAATACATAGATAGGTGTCTAGACAAATAAAGAACTACATAATCCACATCTACAGCCTCCGACTACAGTTAACACAACCCATCAGCCGATACTCCCCCCAAAACCCCCAAAACACATCCACAATGGCCTCCGCAGAAACCTGCCCTCTTAACGCCCCGCACCCACCCCAAGAGGGCTCTATCCACGCCTTCGAACACCTCCTTCCTACCATTAAAAGTAGTCTCATTAAGTTACGTCATAAGCACTCCAAGCACTCGCCAGACTATTTCGCCGCCGTCGAGAGCGTGTCAGATGCGGATCTAGTTGCGTTTGGAGTCGAGGATCTGGTGTGTGTGAGGGTTGGGACTAGCTCTGTAAGTTTTCTTCTTCTTTCCCTTTCATCAGAGAAGTGTATGGGAGGCTGAATGGAAGGTACATGTAGTATGGACTCCACATATTCGGAAAAGTGCGGCTTCCAAAGACGCACGGTGGGTATATCCACATCAGGATGTTTGTGGGCGGAGGCGGAGACGGGGAGGACGAGAAGACATACAAGCTCCATGGCATCTACACGGAGGAGAAGGAGGACGAGGATGGGCGGAAGTGCTATAGGGCCATTATGGGCGAGGCGGATGAGTTGGAGTGGTTTAATGAGTAGTTGCGTTTAGCTAGCTAGTGGGCGGTTTAGGTAGCTGGTTAGTAGCTACAAACGTAGGAAATACCAGACGGCGGGGAATTAATTGGGAATTGGAAAGTTGATTGTGTTTCCACGTATTGTTTGCTTGCGCTCGTAATTGATATCATGAAGCTGTAGCGGAGCTATCGTGAAGCTCAAAAGCTCAAGCTCTCAAGCTTTCCTACCCCACTATTGTCCTAGGGTAAAACTAGCGTGTACCACTTCCACGCCTTGGCAACCGCGCACCAACGCGTCTCACCCCAGCGGCGCGTCTCCCCACTTACAATAACCTGCTACTATTACCACACACACAATGTCCTCCGACACCGAAGTCGACGAAGCCCTCCGCGACGTATTAAACCCCCCTAATTACCCTCTAAGAAAGAAAAAGCCATAACTAACCACACACCACAAACAGCGGCTCAAATCAGCCCTCTGGTTCACCATCGGCAAGATTGTCGACGCCGAGTGCGTGACCCTCCGTACCAACGCCAGCCCGCAGTTCATTGCGGCGCTTACAGAGCTCGTGTGGACACAACTTGGTCCTCCCCCTCCCCTCTCCCTTCTGCCGCGGGTGTAAACGCACGTCAGAGCTAACACTCAGCAATCAATAGAGAATGTTGGCCGCGACCTCGAGAGCTTTGCGAAGTACGTCCCCGCCCAATCTGCCATCCTACGAGTCCATATCCTACTCCCTAGCTGGTCTTCTAGCGCAGTAGTAATCCAAATACTAACCCGCGCGTGACACGACAGACACGCAGGCAGGACCACGGTAAACACCGACGATGTGCTGCTGCTTGCGCGCCGGAACGACGGGCTGGAGGAGCTGCTGAGGGGGTTTGTGGAGAAGGAGGTGGCGGCGGGGAAGGGGAAGGGGAAGGGGAAGGGGAGGGCGAGGTAGTGTAGGTAGTGTAGGTAGTAATGAGAAGTTGTGGTTGTGGATCGAGTGACTAGTGGTTGGAGTTGGTGGGGCGGTGGTGAGTTCTGCTGAGATGTGGTGAGTGATGAGTGGTGATGTGGTGATGCTGTGGGGGGCTTGGTGGGTTTGTAGTGGGTAAGTGCTGGCGTGTGGGGGGTATGGCGAGCTACGAGTGATGAATGATGAGGGGCGGGTGGGACGAGTGGGTCGAGTCCGCTCGTACGGTGGACTTGATGAGTGTGTAGTTGGGGGCGGGCGGGGTGAGACCATGGTATTGAACCCTGGATTAGAATGTGCTGATTCTACGAGTACATGAGTCTTCTACTTGCGTATAGTATCTTGGCCCTCTCTTATTCTACATGTACCTATAAGGCCGGGCTAGGAATACCATCGCGCTCCAAAGCCCGGATGCCACGGCCTCATCATGTGCCATCACTCGCAGCGAACAGTTGTTTTCTTTTCTTTTTTTTTTTGTTTAACTCATTAATTGCATACAACCCTACGGTTATGGCAATCTCGCAGCGGATAGTTGTGGCAAAGAGAGCCAAGGACTGAAACTGCAACTTCTCACTGATAGATGGCATCTAAGAGAAAGTCAACATATTTCCTGTTACTTGTTTCTTACCACGTAGCCCTCAATTAACTCCCACACAAATCTATCTTTACCCCATTATCTATCCATCTCCCTTGATATCCGATCCTCATCAACACACTGAATTAATGCCCCATTTTTGCTTAAAAAAAGATAACTATATCGAGGATGTCACGGGAGATAATACGCATAAAAACCGCACGCAATTAATACACCACCGGTATACAGAAAGAAATTCTCGCGCTCTACTACGCTTTGGCAAGTAAACCCTTTTATGCCACATGTCACAACACCCCTCGTCCCAAACTAACAAGGCTGCTACCACGCCCACTGTTATAATATAAATAATAACACACTATAGTGATCGAGCCATTTCTCGGGGACTACCATTGAATGGTGCGGGTAAAAAAACCTATTATCTGCCGGTATATACATTCGGACCCAAGAATGTATTCCAGTTGCGTAGCCAACTCACAACTTCTCTACCTACGCATGGCCATAACCATCCAATCTGGCCATAGAAAACCCAGCCCAGCGTCGTCTGTTGTAGTTATTACATTGTTTCTATAGGAGCCGTGTTGTAGTGAGGAGCGCCCCGAGTGGGAGAGATGTATGGAAGCCCCTCCAAGTATATTGTTTCGTGGGGGGTGTCGCTCTGGGGCTTCTATTAACCCGCGATGGTCTACCATATGAGCGTCCTTTATGAGAAACGGCTGTTAAGGTCCCTCGCCCAGCTCTATATCTTGACCGGAAGCTCTAGTAGGTGGAGCGGCCTATTCAATATAGGATTAGAGGATGGTAGTTCGACTCTGATGGGCTACTTCTTGTTTTTGCATAAGGTAGGTTCTTCCGAGATAATGGTGTGGTGGTCTGGTGGGGTGTGAGGAGGAGCTTGTTTAGTTTGTCGAAAGAACGAGTCCTTGAGGAGAGTTAGTAGCTACGTTCAAGTTAGTATAAGTTTATCTTGCCAGCTGCTACAAGATAGATATAGGTTAAGTCATTATAGTTAGAATCTATATAAATATAGAGTTAGCTTTCTGGCGTCAAGTATCTTTCTGGGTTGGGTGGCCATGCATGGGAGGTCGCTTTGCTGATTGCGAGAGAACGCGCATAAAGCAACCATAAACCGTTGCCAGAAAAAAAAAAGGTAAACCTCAATAAAAACTATTTACACAAAGCCCCGAACTTTTTCCGGCTCCTGCTTCAAATACACTCTCTAACCCCACGATATCAAGCGGGCCAACTAAACCTCATTACTAGGATAGATGACCTTGTCAATGGGCACGAACTCCTCCTTAATAGACCTCGCACTGACAAATCTCGTCAAGAGACTCATGCTGCCTGCCTTATCGTTTGTTCCACTTGCCCTCGCGCCACCGAACGGTTGCTGACCTACAACGGCGCCGGTGGATTTGCAGTCTGTGATTCAATGTGTTAGATTATTACTTCAATTGGGTACTAGAATAGGGGATGTACTGATGTAGAAGTTTCCTGAAGCGTTCTTCAGGCTGTTCTCCGCAATCCTGACCGCAATACGATCATTTGCAAACACACTTCCAGTCAAAGCATATCCACCACCCGACTCATCCACCAGCTTCAATGTCTGCTCGAACTCTGCGTCGGGGTACACGTAGACAACCAACACGGGCCCAAACAGCTCCTTATCGAACAATTCGTGCTTCGGATCTTTTGCAACATATACAGTGGGGTGGATATAGAAACCCTTACTATCATCATACTTGCCTCCCGTCAGACACTCGAGCGACGAGTCCTTGTTCGCAGCGTCGATGCAGCTCTTAAGCTTATCGAATGACGCGCGGTGAATCACGGGGCCAATAAAGTTATCGAAGCCCTCGTCTGGAGCGCCGACCTTGAGGTCTTCAATCTCCTTCTTCATGGACGCCAGGAACTCCTTCGCAAGCGACTGCGGGATATATGCTCTCGACGTCGCCGAACACTTCTGTCCCTGGTACTCAAACGCACCTCGTACCGTCTGCACCACCGCATTTCTCAAATCCGCCGACGGGTGCACCACATGGAAATTCTTCCCTCCAGTCTCACCGACAATTCTGGGATAGCTTCTAAAGCGGCCCTCGACGACGCCCTCTGCAATCTTTCCATACAGGTGGCGGAAGACGGCGGTGGAGCCCGTGTAGTGGAGGGCGGCGAACTCCTTGTGTGCAAGGACGGTCTTTGTGACCTGTTCGGCGTCGCCGGGGACGAACTGGATGACATTCGGGGGAAGGCCGGCTTCGAGGAAGATCTGCTGGATGAGGTGGTTGCTGTAGACGGCGTTGGGAGAGGGTTTCCAGATGACAACGTTGCCCATGAGTGCTGGGGCCGCGGCGAGGTTGCCGCCGATTGCGGTGAAGTTGAAGGGCGTGATGGCATAGACGAAGCCTTCGAGGGCGCGGTATTCAACGCGGCTATTAGTTAGGGTTTGGGTTAGTCTATAGTCTAATTATATTTAATGTGGGGTAATAGTGGGGTAATTCGTACTTCCAGATACCAGCACCGTTCTTCGGTGGTTGCTGGGCGTAGAGCTCTTCAGCGTATGCAACGTTAAACCTCAAGAAATCTATTAGCTCTGCCGCTGCATCGATCTCCGCCTGCCATGCATTCTTGCCCTGACCCAGTATGGTGGCAGCCATCAGGTCATATCTGTATTTCCCCGCAATCAGGTCTGCGGCCTTGAGGAATATGGCCGCACGGTCCGCAAACGGCAAGCTCTCCCACTGCGGCTTGGCAGCAAGAGCAGCCTCAATGGCCTGATTGACCTGAGCTGGGGACGCCTGTGATGAGGAGGCGAGGGTGGTGCCGTGGGCTGAGGGGATGTTCTGAGGGGACACAGATTCGGTGGTGATGGTTTGGGAGTTTATGAAGAGAGGGACGGTGATTGGAGCCTTTGAGCGGAGGGATGAGATGGCGGCATCGAGGCCAGCGCGCTCAGCTGAGCCTTTGGCGTAGTGCCTCTATGCAGGATTGTTAGTTTTTTTTAAATTCGTTCTAAGCATGGAGCTACGTCCAATTGCTCGTCTACGAGGATGGATTGGATTGGATTGGATGGTAGTGGTAGCAGCAGGGCCTTACATTAGGTTCGTTCTCGACCTTGGGTACTCTGAAGGAGGCCATTGTTGCTTTTTTTATAGCTGTAATCTTCGAGATGGATGCGAGTGGGGAACGATGGGCTGAGGGTGATAGCAAAGATCTACTGGGAGCAAGCAGTACAGCTGAACTAAGTGATCTCGTAGATGAAGCTGATCTGGCAAACATCGTAGAGTAGTGGTGGGTTGGCGTAGCTTTATATAGCTTCTATGAACAACTAGAGCTTACCAACGGCTTCTGAGGGGAAACGAAGGAGAGGAGCAAGCTGCAATTACGCAATTCTACAGCTAGATGCGGAGAAAAGACAAGAAAAAAAACTGGCTTATCTATCTGTCTGTCTGTCACACGCGCAAGGAAGGAAATAATAAGTCAGATAAGTGAGTAAGGAAAGAGGAAACAACCGAAGAACCGAAATATGCAATTGTCGTGAGCAATTGGCTTGTGTGTGTAGCTGATGGGGCTTTTTATTGCTACAGCGCGGGGTCTATCGGTTACTAGCGGCTTGCCGGAATCAAGCTTCGGGAGCAACTGCACTTAGGGGAGTCGGGCACGGCATCACCACGGTAGCAACTGCACTTAGGGGATGTGCCCGAAGTCACCTGCACTTAGGGGAACAGCGCGGGGGAAGCAACTGCACTTAGGGGAATGGATGGAAAACGAGCAGAGAAACACCACATGCACATCGACGATAGTGGTGGTGATAGTATGTAGTGGTGGCCCTGCAACTCTGTTTCTCATTCAGGTACCGCCGAATGCTAGCTATCTTATCACCTCCCCTCGGAAGATTGAGGGCTCGGGGTCGGAGTCAAGGCCGAATTTTCGCTCAATTGCTCCTTCCATTGCCTCGAATGAGGCCCCTTCAGATTGTATCTTGAATTCACATTACAAATTTCTATCTTCATGTTGCCGTCCATAGCTAAGCGCCGTTGCGGAGGAGGGGTGAATAACCCTGACCCTACCAACTCTCCAGGATCTATCTACTCTAGATACGAAATATTTACCAAGGCTAACCGCATTTGAAAAATCTACGGGCAAATAGTAGAGCAGGAACTCTTGGCTTTGGTGAAGGTGGAAATTGGCGCTCTCATACTAATTACTCCGGTGAAACTTTAGAAGTAGGCGATCGAGTGAATGAAAAAAGTTTTCTTCAGATCAAGGATTCACCGCGCCGCGGATATGGGATAGCTATAGGAAATATCGCCGGATTCTAATATCATACCACTGCGGTGTGACATCACCGGCGTCTATATCTATGTTCATCGAAGAAGAAATTTCGCAACCTAGGATTTCGGGGACGGCGTTCATTGGCAGAGGCCTTTCAATCTGCACCGAAACATGCGATCCGAAGGAGATCTACTAATCTGCAGGGTGACAATGATAGGTTAATATGAGGACAACTAACTAACTATCATGAGTCCAACTGTCTTGATAGCTTGCGGATTTCGAACCACGTACTTCTTTTCATTGTCGTTGTAGCTCATTTTCAAAGACTCGGTTTTCATTTTGTTGCTTTTTCTCTATAAGACTCGAATCGGCGGGCTCGACTCAGTAAAACGAATGCTACATGTAGGTATGTCTTTCCCATGAGCCCCTCTAAAGAATATGTCTCAGTTCTGCCATAAGCATACAGCCGCTCCATATCCAGGAGATGTGTGTATAGCAAGTTCCCTATGCATATGGTTAGTTATAAGTTCAATATTTATGTAATTATTAACGATTCCCATATACATACTTTGAGGAGGGCAGTCCACAAGGCATACATGTAAAACCTCCGGCATATGGAACTTTTGTCTTTTAATTTGAGAGTAATTCTTTGGCCTTCTCGAACAATTGAATTAATATCCTTGCCTTGAGTTGCTCGAGTCGTTCACTAGGTGTATAGTTTAGATTATGCAACTCCTTAGGCACAGGCAAAACTTGTACGCGTGTGATATCGCTGCTGGAGTTATCATAAGAAGGTTCCTTAGGAAAATTTCTATTAACGATAGCATGGATACGTAAACTTTGAGCAGTTTGAGGTGAATAGAAGAACTTACTACTCTAAAGCGTGATGACTGGTTGTGAATTAATTGAATTAATTATGCTAGCTTTGGCAAGTTATGTATTAATTCAGTTCACGGACGGTCCCTTTAGTAAACGCCCAAGTATGTTAAGATAACTTTTAAAGTGTTGTATTCGCTAAAATTTCTTGCTTGATCTGTACACCTTTCGACCCAAAGCGCCAGATCTAGCTATCTAAAACGAATATCTCCACATTCCCATTAATTCCAAGCACAATCTTTTGTCCAAGCACCCACTTTCTGTCCAGTTAGCTATGGGTTCTCCAAAGAATCGACCAATTAAAACAGAAGATGGTATGCTATTACTCACTTTTTTTCCCCAGCCATACCCAGATCTAAAAGAATCCGCTAAGTCTTCCAAGCCTCCTAGTACTCTGCATCACCCTATTCAAAGTATGAACGCTCTCCGCGAGACTCATAATCCACTCATTGAACTGGTCGATCTCATCTAAATCCATCTCGCCAGTTCCAGTAGCAGCGGAGATTTCGTCGATGAAACGAGTACAGTCAACCATGAAGGCCAGTCTATGCATATGAAAGCTCCCCCTGGTAAAGGGGGGAGCGAACAGATAGTGTCCGACTTCGACCGGACAGCCGCCGTAAATGAAGAGGTAGATCTCCTGGAAGCGGAGGTTGAGGTTCAAATAAGACAGATTTAGGTGCATATAATCGGGGTTGACGCTGAAAGACATCTTGGTCTGGGTTTCCTTTATGTTAGTGGATGCTTTTGGGATTTTGGAAGATGGTTATAGGAGAGATTGAGGGCTGGATGGATATTGAGGAAATTTATTTATTGAATTCATCAGAATATCGAATGAGGAGTGAAATAAGATGACGAGGAATATTGAAGAGCGAATGGATAAGGGGGGATAATATTCACCGAACCCATCAGAATATCGAAAAGATGAGAAGATCGAGCAGTGGATGGATATCGAGGGATAATATTCATCGAATTCATCAGAATATCGAATGAGAAGAGAAAGATGATGACGAGGAACTTCTTTAGCTCTTACCTGTGTGCTTATTCGTTTAACTTGATGAATAAAGATGTTCGTGATCGTGATCGTGATCGTGAATGTGTGATGGAGTTTGTCTGTCTTCGAGTTGTATACTCGAGGTTTAGAAAGTTCAAACGAAAAATATTATCGTGGGATTGGAAACAGAGTCACGTTGCAAAAGGGGTTTCCTTCGAGTAGGGCACCAGACACCTTTTCAGTCGTCGAACTTCTTCTCTCTCAGGAGGGAAAGGTGGCCGTGCTGTGTGGGCTTCTCCATAAATTTGAGTGCGCATGCACATATCAAAACAGACTTACCGTACTTGAACATAGTTTGTATGGTAATAGAGATACTTTAAATCTTTTTATCTTCTCTTTAGCGCGTGTCTTTCTTACTTTAACCCCTTCGAACAAGGCCTACACCCTCTTTCTTCCTCCGTGACATGTAAATACTTCTAAATCCCAGCTGTCAGTTTGTAAAACCTTCAAGTCTAGCGTGAACGTAGTCTTTACGAAGAACAGAGATTCAACCAGAATCTTTTATTGGAAGGTATATAAAGAATAAACCAGGCAAAACACCATCAACTCTATTTTGCAGTAGCTCAACAGCAACCGAGTGATATATTGTGATCCTCCCTGGGTCAATGAGCGGGATAGAAGCTATGACGTATTCCGGCGTACATTGCACTGATATCAGCGGGTAACCGATGTACTGGTCAATAAAATTGAGTCGTACATCATGGTACATGAGTACATGTTTTGTGATTATTTGGCGTACAACGATGTACGTATCCGCTTTCGCATGCACACGGGTGCTTAATTATACACAGCCCGCGCGTGCTACCTAAAGTGTTGAATATCAGTAGCACATACACTTCTAACGAGGCTACACGTATATCAGTCTCACTTTCTCTTTTTATCCAGATGTCTTCCAGCGTATAGGAGAGCCGAAATGCCTAAATTCGTCATCCTATTACGGCTATATTGTAAGAAGGCGTAAAGTATGTATATCAAAGCCTCGTCTGTGAGTTACGTAATCTATGTAATGGTTAAATGTTTCGTGAATGATGCGTTATACAATCTGTAGGCCAGTTTGGAGGAAACAACGAAAGTGGTGAACGACAAAGAAATATGCCAAGACCGGTTTATTCCAATGTTTTCAGAGAACTGTTTCGATTAGTTCGGAGTTTGTAGCTCCGTAAAGACTTGATACGATTGTGCGTTCACGAGATAAAGATGAACACGAAATGTTGACGTACGGGCGTAGAGATTTTAACAAATAGTAATTTTTAGAAGAATTGCTAAGTTCTGGAGCTGGGGTTTCCCCCGCATAGTTGAAAAGCCCCTGTCTGCCAACACCCAGTGCCTATCTTCGCCCCGCAAATAGCGGATGACCCATATTCACTCTAGAGGGCGCAGTAAATGCGCTCTTAGCCATTGAGATAACAAGGAAAAATGCGGGTGTAGCCAATCAAGTGTCTTCAGCTCTACTGGTTTTGACTATCTTAGATCCCTGTATATTGCTGAGTCAGGTTTACTGCTGTCTCAAAATCACGGTGCTTCTGCTCGCTCATCCTCCGACTCTGTACCTTGCGACCCCCTAAAAAACCTATCCTTCCTGTTTCTAGGATGATGACTCATGACCGAGTGAGATGCAGTGAATGCCAAGCCGTGAAGCGTCGGATTTGACGGATTGAACCACCGACCGCACTTAAGACCATCCCCCAAACACTAATTCTTGAACTGTACTAGTAATTTCACTGCGGCATCTTAGGAAGCACAATGCGTATATAGTTATTCTCTGATTGGACTTTTCAGACACTGTCACACTCAAGTATATCTCTTTCAAGAAAGAATTTCCGAATAGTGAGACAGAAATTAGTCTGATGGCCCCGAGTTATTTTATAAAAATCACCGATTGGCTCAACACTAAATACTATCCATATAGGTACTACCTGACTACATAACTTCATAGGTCTTACGGACCTTCGCCTTCCACTATAAGCTCGGAACTAAATCTCATACCTTTCCATCAACTGATTATTCAATACGCCATCCGGAAAGTCATCTTCACCCAGAGCAGTAGTATGAGCCCAGGGTTTCTGTCTATTCTCCTCCCGAATAGTCGCCGAAAAGCATGAGCTCCATCTCAACCTAGGATATGCCGCTACCACGTCGTCTATAGTACCCCGGTGAACCAGCTCGGGATTGATACCCATATTATCTATTCCGTCCGCCCCCACAGTAAGCACTGAATTTTATAGATCGCCCCATGTGGAATGTGTCATACCAAAAACAGTCGCCAGCTGAATCAACAGTCCCAAAGTAGTGATCGTCCCCACAGTTCCCAAGTCCTGGTGCCTAATGATCGCCTCTGTGACTGCCTCGGCCGTGGTCACATCATCCTTAACAAGTAATCCGTGGGCCAAAAAGCCTCCGTAAAACTCAAACGACATCTTGGTTCCCGACATGTTCTTCTCAGTCGTTCCGATATCATGTAGAAGGCACGTAAGGAAGTAGGTTTCTGCTGATAGATCCCAATCGGGGAACTGTTGTTGTTGGATGACACGTCCGTAATAGTACACGCGCATTGAGCTGAGGGCGGCCAGTCAGCTTCGTCTCTGTCTGCCCAGGAATGTAACGCGATACATACTGGTTGAGCGTCTCTTCTCTTAGTTCTGCCTTTGCATACTCTAAAACACGCTTCGCGAGTGGTGTATCTGGAATGTGAATATCGCTGACCATGAGGGGGGTTGGTTCATGGAGATACTTCTGGCCCTTGAGAACGACGTTAAAGTCGCGTGGGACAGCAGTGAATCCGTGTTTACTCATTTTCTTCTTTTTTCTTTCTTCACAAAACCGATATCAAGCCTGTAACTGCTCAGAACACTATTGTTGGAGGAGGTGGGTGTAGCTAAGGGTTTATGTATCTCTCAGAACCTTCACAATGACGGATGCCAAACGTAAGCACACCAGAAACAACACTAGCAACTGCAGTAATAGTAAAAGGCGCCGCTGGATCATGTGTAAAGGGCTACCCCACACCTCTCTTTGACTAATTGCTTGTGTTGGGTATATCTGTGCTAGAAGAGGTGAGGTGAGGTTAAGAACAGATGGATAAACGTCCATGCAGTATTGTATGACGTCATCCGTCAGGTACATTCAAAACATGTCGTGTTGACTCCGCGGAGGGTTTCATCCGCTGCGGTCCGGGGCGGCTCATAGAAGTGCACGAACCAGTTCCCTCTGAAATTGTCCCTTCATCTCGCTTCCGCAGAACCTATGTATCCCCGAGGTGCTCTGCGCGTGAAGGCTCAGAAGCCTCGAGGCTTGATTGGTGCTGGCTTGAACGGTATTTGAGGGGATATCGACCGTAAACCAGCCAAGCTAAACTAGGGTGCAGTTTTAATTGCAGCCACCAAGTGCGCATTCGCCGATGAAACAAGTTTACCACCGCCCAGAAAGGGCTGTTGTTTGGCATTTGCAAGTAAGATGGAGGGGCGTTTGCCATTACTAGTGGCTCGCCATTGGCTCGCCATTGGCTTATGTAGTAAGGAGTTTATACGTATATTATTAAGCCATATAACTGGTTTTGAGAAAAACAACTGGTACCACAACACATTTCATCCACCTCTTCATTGAAATATAACATTATAATATCTTCTTTCTGAGGATAATCATAATACAACACGGCATCATAGATTAAATTTAGGATGTAAAAGAAGGAAATAAAATTTAGAAAGAGAGAAGGCTAGCTATTACAAAGAAAAGCATGAGAAACACCAAGATAAACCCCAACGAAAAGAATATTATCATAATTGTGTACATCGCAACATTCGTATGTATAAGAAACGTAGGTGGAAGGGCGCTCCGTAGAATTAAGTGTTTTCCCTTCTTTCTTTTTTTTTGGTACCAACCAATTCAAGCGGGTAATTCCTAATTTGCGCACTGTGGGTATCCTTACATTACTCTAAAGAAACATCGCAAGAAATATCGTTAATAATTAGTTGAATGATCACACTCTTGGAGGCGCCAGACCGGCAGACTCAGGTGATAACTCTGGATGTTGGCTTGGAGGCTGGGGAGCTCCAGGAACTGGCGGGTTCTCTCTAGTGATCAATTCTTTCGGATCAGTATCCGGGTGTACAGATATACCGCCCTCCCGGGCTTCTAGTTCTGGCCCACGTAGAGCAGGAAATTTCACGGTTTCTCCAGGTCTCTCAACCGGTGACCAGCCACCGATACTACCAGCAACAATTGACGGGACCATGGCAGCAGCAGCAAAGGCCGAGTTCGACCTTGACCTTCTACGGCGCGACGTTGGTGATGGGGGTGAAAAGGACGCGTCGCTATTCTCCGAGGTGTTGATTGTGGGTATATCTTGTTTTGACCCGGCGCGGAAGATGTGGGATAGATTGTTCTTTAGGTTCTGGCGGCGGAACTTGAGTTGATTTAAACGACCACCGCGGACCATCTTGAGGAAGGAAAGCTCTTCACGAATATCCTCGATTCCCTGGTTCCATTGGAACCGATCCTCATTTGAGACGTAGATATTCGGGTCGGCCTTGCGACTCATCCATCGAGGAACGATCTTTGCGACAAACTCATCTGGGATCAAGCGAATAATGACTGCTACCGGAAGAGAAATAGCACCAAGTATGAGTGAAATGCCCCATTGTACACCATTTAGTGGCTTAATTTGGAAAGCTGCTCCTCCAACGAATATAATCATAACCTGCCCTCCAACCATGATAACATTGATACCAATAAAGAACCAATTGTGGGTGATGCCCTCAAAGATGTTGAATTTGTTGTCGAGACGACGGTTACTACAGGATATTAGGATGATATTATGTCAAAAATGGTGAAAAATGAACCTACTTGTACTGGTTGAAGATTTGCATCCAAACGAAAGTGTTAAAGACCAGAGTGTTCAAATGCTCCGGATCATATCCGAGTATATGACCACCAGCAAAATTAAGTACGAAGGTGACGACAAGTTGATAGATTGCTTGACCAAGAATCATTTTCCACATATTGATAGTGATTAATGGAGCAGACTTTGGATCCGGTTTGCGGTCGAGAATACTGTGTGCCGGGGGATCAGTAGCTAACGCTAGTGCAGCGAAGGTATCCATAATCAAGTTGACCCAAAGCAGCTGCACAGCGGACAAAACAGATGTTTGCTCTGAAGATGCAACAGCAGAAACAAAAGTGAGAAGCACAGCCGTAATGTTGACAGTAAGTTGGAACTACGAGGTTGTCAGCTTTAGAGGCAAGAAAATCAATTCAAAACCGGTTATGTACCTGCAGGAATTTCTTCACGGCATCGTTGACAGCTCTCCCCCACATGATGGCCTTGACGATGCTAGAAAAATTGTCGTCCATTAAAATAATTGAAGATGCCTCTTTAGCAACTTCAGTTCCTGCGATACCCATAGAGAACCCAACATCCGCCATTTTCAGCGCAGGACCATCGTTTGTACCATCACCAGTAACTGCAACAGTCTCGCCCAATTCCTTCAATCTACGAACAAGGATCCTTTTATCCTCCGGGCTGGACCGGGCGAGTACTTGAAGCCTTGGAATAATTTGATCCATTCCGGCCTTGGTTAGTTGTCTGAACTTTGGGCCTTCCATAACAATGCCGCCGGGAGTATATATACCGCACTCTGCAGCAATTGCCCTTGCGGTCATCAAGTTGTCGCCAGTCACCATACGAACAAAGACACCAGCCTTCTGACACTCAGCAACAGCCTCCGGAACACCATCACGAAGAGGATCTTGAATTCCGACAATACTTAAAAACACCATGTCGTCAAATATGTCATCGAATTCAGCCTGTCTCGGATCGTCTTCCATGGTGCGTGCACCCGGTGGTGGCCATGATGGGAAGTCGCGGAAAATCATGCCAATAGTACGCAGAGAACGATTCGCATAGGCAGCGATAACCTGGTTCAAAGATTCAATGTTCCTCGAATCAAGTGTAGTGATGCTGAGCTCCGAGCTAGGATTATCGATAATACGGGTGCATTTGTTCAGAAGAATTTCGGATGCTCCCTTAACAAACAGTCGATAGTGGTTTTCTTTCAACTTAACAACTACCCCCATACATTTGCGTCCAGAGTCAAAGGGAATAAGCTGTGCAACGGTGGAGTTGGCACGCTCCTCGGCAATATGTTCCATTCCTAAATAATCGCGACCAAAGCCAAGCAGTGCAGTTTCGGTTTTCGATCCAATAAAGGTCATTTTGCCGTCCTCCTCTCCTTCAAAAGCAGTGGAATTGATGGCGATTGAGTCTAAAAGAAGTCTCTTAACCTCAGGAGACAGCTTCGATCGAAGCTCAGCCATTGGAGTGTCATCCATTGCTTTTTCCTCTGCCGCTTTTTCACCGGCAGCTGGAGCTTTTGAACCGAACCGGCAGGCTGTTCCCAAAGTACCAGCGACGACAGTCATCTTATTCTGGGTCAATGTCCCTGTTTTGTCAGAGCAGATGGTTGTTGCATTACCCATTGTTTCACAAGCGCGCAATACACGGACAAGGTTGTTATCTTTTAACATGCGGGTCGTCGCAAACGCTAGAGCGAGAGTCACAGCCAAGGGCAAACCTTCAGGAACAGCAACAACAACGACAGTGATAGCTGTGATAAGGATGCGCATGAATAGTTGTCCTTTCTCTGATGCGTCTGCGTTGCTGGTAGGTAGATGTGCAAGGAAACGAATGAAAAGAACAATAAAGAGCAAAAGGGCGGAACTATTTTGTAAAGTTAGAATTAAGCTACAACTAGATTCTTGGGACTGGTAGATAGACTCACGCTCCACCAAGCTTGGCGATTGCTTCCGCAAGATTGTTCAATTTCATCTGCAAAGGTGTTGCCTCAGCATCTTCTCTAAGAGCCATCATGGTCTTTCCAAAGCTGCTGTGAATTCCGACGCTCGTAATCATATAGGTGCCTACACCTTCTAGGACTTTGGCACCAGAGATGATAAAGCAGTCCAGCTTATGGTAGTTTGAAGCGCCAGCCTCCATTTGGGTGAAGACTTCGTCTCCAGAAACCTTCTTCATTTGATCAGACTCACCGGTGGCGGAAGATTCGTCGCATTTCACGTTGTGACCCGAAATGAATATACCATCGGCTGGGATCATGTCGCCCGGTTCCAGATGGCAAACATCTCCCACGAGTAAATCATAGACGGAAATCTGAAGAGATCTTCCAGACCGGATAACCTTCACCATACGGTCTTCTTTCTACGAATCAACAGCTGTGGTTAGTGGATGAGGCTTGACTTGGATATTGCAAGGTTGAAATTACCTTCTTATTTAGCTTCACAAATTGACGTTCTTTCTGATAGTCATTTAGAGCGCCAACGATGACAACAATGGCGATAGCAACTATGATAGCAACACCCTCGACCCAATCAAGTTTAGCTTCTCCTGGTGGATGAGTTCCGCCAAATGTTTGATACAACCCTAACGCGAGAGAGATCACTGCGGCTCCCGAAAGCAAAAGCAAGACTTTATCCATCAATGCGATCCACATTAGCGCCCAGATACTTTTGATTTTCTTCTCAGGAAGGCGATTGTCACTGAAAACCCTAGTCCTATCTGAAAAGGCATCATGTGGTAGACCAGCGAGCGTATTGACATCATTGGTAGCTGTCGGAACTAGAGTTGGTTCTTTGGACTGCCCGTTTGAGCCTTGTGCAGACCGAACCGCTTGTTCAAAGGTGATTCGTCCATCTAGTTTTGTCTCATCTAGACTCAGTCCGGCGACCCTGTCTGTCCTTAAACCAACCTCTAAACCCTTTAAACCACCCAAAGCCCTGAATGCACCATGACTCTTTGGGTTGAACAACTTCCCTAGTTGCCCAGGCGAGAATGCAAACATGTTATCCTCAACCACAAATTCATGCTCATTTCCAGCATCGGGTTTAAGCGGATCCTCATCCTCATGTGTCGACTTTGCATCGGTAGTAGTTGTAAGCGGTGGAACTAAAGTTTCACCATCTGACGGGCTGTGGCTATCTAACGAGTTCCCTCGGGGTTGAGGGCCAGTAGATATTGTCGGCACAGTTAGATGTGTATTGGTGTCCTTTGGCTGGGACCCAGAATTATTTCTTGACTTTGGAACGGGCTATAGGAGAAATAATTCAGCAAACAAAGTCTTTATAAAGGGATAAAGGGCAACAAAGAGTGGTGGCAAACCGAGATATCATTGCCCGACATCTTGTCAGAGTCTGATGGCCGTCGTGCGGGATCGTTCTTCTTGTCCATCTAGTATGGCCAACAAGGCTGATAAATCTATCAGTCGACCTTGATTATAGGCTTCCTCGGTGGCAATGTTTTTGTTTTTATTTTTGATGGGACTGGGTGAAAGGAAGGGTTGGAATTCCTTTACCACTCACTGCTGGGGGCCGTGTGAAAGGGACAAGGGCATTCGGCGGACGATGCTCGGCTGAAGTAGCTGGCGAAGAGTGGCAGTGACTCTCGAAGGCGTCGGCAGTTACTCCTTAACACAGCGTGTCAACGTTGTGATGGATGAATTGTGTGTTGTAGGTGCAAGTGAAGTGTAGAGGGGGGGTCAGGCAGAGGAAGTGAAAGAGTGAAGGGATTTTACTTTTGAATGAATGTGGGTACAAAGAGTTGGTACACAAATTCTAATATCAGTGCGTCCAGTAGATACATATATAATAAACAAACTACATGTACCCACATGCATAGAATAAATCCCTGCTCCGAAGGAATTAAGCCCTTTAACTTAAGCAACAAGTGATACACTGATGCATCAGTGAGTACTCTAGGCAGAGCGGGCATACATGTAGGTATATACATGTACCTACAGAGAAATAATTGAATACATGTAGGTACTCCACATAAATACCTCCATACATAATTACGCTGCTACTTGCATGAAAGCCTTGAACCGACGCAGTTATTAAAGTACATATGTCGACACTTTTTGCACAGCCCCAGCCCAATTTCACCTCCGTGATTAACGGTTCGCTTCAAGCCCGAGAATGGGATATGTAGGCCTACAAATTAAACTAACTTCATCACAGGAAAATATCAACATTGCAAGATTCGCAACCACCTGAATTGTCCGCAAAACTTCACGATAAAACTTCTTATTCGCATGGCAAAATCGACCCCCCACTGGTATGAATTCTAGTTGAAACATGCAGCGAGCGCCAAGGTTGCGGAGGCTGCTCCGTTGCTGTATGTATCACATGGCCAGGGTGTATGTGTGGGTGCTCTCCTAATCCAATCATCCTTACAACACACAACGACCTCATCTAATGACCATAAGTAGCTGCTCGCGATGCAGCTGAGAGAGCTTAATCTCTCCAAGTATGCGAGGCACGAAGGGCACGAAGGACCCGAAGCACCTCGTCGGGGGGTGAATAGCCGCATGTCTGTCAGGTAAAGGGGCAAGCATGAGCCTGCGTTGATCGTGAATAACAGATGCATTGAGGACCAACAGTCAACAAGTATAAAACCATTCTTTGCCCGCGAACTTGCAAAGCGTAGTATTAAATTGCTCAGTGAAGATGGTATCTAGATCTTTATGCGTCCTTCCAATGATAGTACGGCGAACATCCTGCTTTGAACCATCTCCGTGCCACGTGGGGTAAACAAACATCCCATAGGTAAATTCAAAATCATTTGTCGCAGCACACATGTCTCTACTCTTGGAAATAAATCAGGTTTTCATACCAGCTATGCGGTCGCTCGGCAATCTGCCCTCACTTATAAATTGGTAACACAATCGTCAATTAAGGTTGGACAGGACGCTGCGATTAACCTGTCACTTATAATACCAATCCTATATACCAGGACTAGTTTTATAAAACAAACAAATTCTAGATTGTTTCACCATATCTACATGTCCCCCCGTGTTTCCGTGCAAACTACACTTTCAGCGTTAGAAGCTTTCCCAGGCAAAAGTTTCTAGATGATTGAGCAAGCTTACTACTCTGTAACTTTATTAGCTCTTACTGCGTTTCATTTCCAGAGAAGCACATTACCAAGGGCACCTTGTCATATATATCTATGATGATGCCGCGCCGTCGCCATTTGCAGCCTAAAGAGTGAAATTGGGCTTGTAAACGTTGCTTATTGAGTGAAATAATCATGTAAGGATCTATAGCTAGAGTAGATTGCTCTTTGTTTTTTTAAATACTGCGGTACATGACACATACTCAATACACAGTGCATACGTTTATGCATATATGACCGTCATGGCTCAACAGCTCAAGACGATAGTATACCCCTGAGCTATCGAGCCTGAGAGTTAAAGGTATCCCGTACCTTACATACATCATGTAGACCCACATGGTAGCGTAAAGGATAACTCCTGACGAATCTTTACTAAAAAGTACAGCTACATATTGTAGTTTACATTTACGCTTGATTCGAGGATGGGTCAGAGCCTTTATCATACATTTATTGGAGCCACGGAGGTCCCCGCGGTACAAGATCGTCATTGGTGCACTTACAGCGCATACATGATAGGCGTGGGAGCCTACTAGTAGATAAACAATTATCATATAGCCAGCGAATACTTATCATTTGAAGTGCATATTTGAACCTGACGATGTGCTGTCTTCTTGCCTGATTCGCTTACTTGAAACTTCCCCGCGTCTAGACACATTTCGGAGAATTACATACAACATCTACGCACCAACGTAATTGCAACGTCTCAGAACAATCAAGCGAGATAAGGCGGTATAAGACTACATATAAAGCACATCATGAGCTTTGAAATCTGGACTGATATGTGAGATCCGATATTACCACACGTACGTATATAAGGAGAGCTATACCATCAACGTGCAACATGTTGTCGAGAACTGCCTTGACTGTTCGCCTACAGCAATCCTCTGAGTCAGGTAGGCCCCCGAGATTTGAGAATGCATTTTATGTTTCAATCCTCAAATTCTCTAACAGATGGCTGTGCACATGAACGCTATCTATCTCCAGTTTCAAGTTTCGAAAGATGAAAACTGTCCAGGCTGGTCCTGTGTGTTGTACAGCTAGCCTCTAGCTACCGCGCGTAAAGCGTTTCTCCTGTTGATGACTCATTGGGTATTAGGAACTCTTGGTGCAATCATGCCAAACTTTTTCACGCCAACGAAATAGCTGCCCTGGCTGCCTAGGCAGATCTACCGGAAAATTTGTCAAGCGAGGGAGATCCTTACATGCAGGTACCACCGTTAGTTAGTACGGACCGGGTTACGACACCACCACCGCTTTTGATTGAGCTCTACATGTACCTACGCTGGCTCGGATTTCGGCAACTCATTGAGGCTCTAATCAAGCTTTAAATTGTAATTCGGGCTGTCTGCAAGAACCCCTGGAAAAATAAACTTTCGGCGGGGATGGGGGTGGGTGTGCTGGGTTAGGTGTGAGAAGAGGTGTGTGCTTTTGTGTTTCGAGGGTAGGAGGGTGATAATTCAAAAATGATTGGTATCTATATACATATATCAGTTACGAGGATCTTTTATCGATTACAATACTGTAGATGCCATCTGGTCCCATTGCGACTGCGTGATTCCAATGCTGGAATTCAATATGCAGAGCCCGTCAATTAAATGTATTATATTACTGTCATTCCAAAATAGATTACGAGTCCATAATTTAGAATGAGCAACATCTGAAAATCTTGTCACTATGCCGTACCAGGGTTTGATATGAGACGCGCGGCAACCCCTTGCTTCGGTCCCGGTAATGGGATTCCATCTCCGTCCACCATTTTGGATGGGCATCTAGAATGTGGAACATACATGAATGATGGAACGTCAGATGAATAAGGCATATAGGTAAACACATGTAGAAGAGGACATTTACTCATAAATTATCACTCGGATCGCACACACATGTATATATACATAGATAAGCCCAGCCAGAATTCAAATAAACCAGCGCCCCAAGCGCTCATCTTTGTTGGCATAGTGTGTACGTAGCAAAAACACAGCGCTAGTCTTACCGTAATGAAATACGGTTACATCAGTCTTAAATAGGCGCCTGAGAGGCACAAGAGGCAACAACTCTTATGTTGTGAGTTGGCTCCTTTCAAATTTCAAACACTTTGTTCCGCCAAGACTGAACAAGTGTCAACACCCTAACCCTTAGCCTATATACGAGTTACATGGAGTCATAGTATACATGTAGGAGTTGCTCTCCCACAAGAAGCTTAAGTTACATGTAGGTACATGTACATGTATGCTATGAACTTTAGTGGGAAATTGAGCTTTAGTTTCATCTCCTTACATTAGTAATTGGGTTAGAGTTCATAGCTACTGTTTTGATATGATACTATTGGCCAAGTATGGCCGGTCACTTCGATCCACATGCTGTATCACACCACCAATCTCTAATTCTACAGACGTCTAAAGAGCACAGCCTCCTACGCAGGTGGTGCATGGAGTGACAGCTGTACTTCTGAGAGCATCGAGATTCATCGACCATGCCACTCCGTTCATTCGCATATGATCCCACTGATATTAGTGTATGTCTAGATACGCACCTCTAATCGGCCTCTCATTGCACTGCCACAGCGTGCCTTTGAAGACCCTATCAGTGCGGTTTATCGGCACACTATGCATTATCGGATAGCAGCATCATTGCGCCATCATGTAATTCTCTAACGGTTTCAGAGAATCTGTGGGAACCACCATCGAGTCTAGCTCCTGAGACTGACATCACAATTGAGGATACGGACAAAGAAAGATCTACATTTAAATGCACACAATTCTAAAACTGAGGGCGTAAAGGAAGATCCCAGCTCGTGCTGATGAAGTTCGGTAACTAACAATATCTAATTCAGCTTCAATCGCATATTATGTATTCACATATTGGATTTACTGAGGCTCTAGGCAGGGGTTGCAGACCGTTTCTCCTTGCCACTACCAGCACATACCTGGGAATATTATTACCCCGTTCAGACTCAGCCCCCTCAAGTAACTGTCTAAGTGATACCATGACGTTGCGCACACCATCTTCTGAGATTTCCCGCCTATTAGACTTGAAAAACCAAGATCCCTGATCAAGCCGGTCTCCACATCCATACAAGGTTCGTACGCCAACGCGTATCAAAGTCGCGTTGTCCTTTGTTTTTTGTTTTCTACTGGGGAAAAAAGTGATATGCATGATTTACACTCATACGAACATGTGGCAGAGATCCACTCGAGGGGCCCGGGGTTTAACTATGCGCATAAAGAAAACATAGATAGGTGAGCTCTGGCTAGATGATTTGGAACTATTGACACCACATGGCGAGTAAGGGTGTAATAGATACCGATGCGGGAAATCAGTGGTTCGGAGAATTGCTTGACGTCACTTCAACCACATGCATAGAGCGATAGCATTACGAGAACTAGTTCCAGGTCTACGGGATTCAATAAAGATACGTAGAATTAAATGTATATATATATATATATCGGGTCTTGTAATTGATATAGGAATAGTCAATGCGTCACGATACAGTGCTTTCCCCGTGTAAGGGCATCCCCCTACATACAAAAAAAGAAGGGAGAAAAAACACAGCAGTATGTGTTCATGTATGTCCGGACATTATGGCCAGGGACTAACCGAATATTTGGAATTTGTGCCCGAACGTCATAGTTAAGATCAATTTACTAGTATATTTCACGCCTTTATCATTGAGACAAACTGTTGTCAACATGAGCACCATATGTGCGCATTATCGGTCCGGCAGAATCGCGCAGAAAAGAAAATTATATGAAACCCTTAAGTACCACAGGATTATATGATATCAATTGAGGGTTATGAATGAGGCCACCTCCTTCTAGAATAAAATTCACGCTTCCACGCAAGGCCCCTCATCCCTGAATTTAACTAAACGGACTGGATGCCGGAAGGTGTTCTCCCCGTCAGGCTTAAAGCAAGGCATCTATCCCAAGGCATCAACAATAGGTGGAATACGAAGTCTCGGCGCCTTTATCGCCGCTCTTGAACAGCTGCCCCTTTGAGAATAGATTCGCTGATTATAAATTTTCAACAGGTGTTCGCCATTATTGATCAATCGGAGGCTGGCCGTACATGCTACATGAAAGTGCCAAGTGTACATGCAACAAGGTGCAATATCCTACGAGGTAGGACCAGGCTCGATTTGCCATTGCATTCTGAAACTACATATTTATCATCCTAGGGGAACAATCCGAGCGCCAGGTTGAATAATATTATGTAAATGGATACATAATTGATACCAATGGGCATTGAAGCCTAACCAATTGATCAGTAAAGTTGAACAAACCTTGTGCGCACCCTACTGCTGCATAATTGCTCATATTATGTAGTAGGATAAAACGCTCTTTGCATAAAATGCTGAGTGGTTAGGGAATGAGGTCAATACAGCGATGGACATCGGTATCGAACCTATTCAGCTGGCCGGTCACTCAGGCCAATATACGGGTAGTACCATGGCCGGAAGGCTACACATGTATAACCTATGTACAAACGAACCAATTAATTAATCAACCGCAACCTGGACTTCCGAGTGACAAATCATGATCCAATCATGTTCTTACCATTTAAGATGTGAGACCAGACCATGCGTTTAAGAGACCACAGTCTTTGTGGAACATAAGAAAGTCTGGGCGTGATATAATTCGTTACCGCCCTTCCCACCGATCTGCGTCGCTGAATCAACAGTGACAAGTTGTGCTTGGAGATCGCGCAAGAGAAATCCTGTTTTGGTAGGAATTGAGGTTTGTATATTTCCGTGATTTTTTGTCCCCAGAAATCTTGGGCTACGAGGGACTGTCTGGTAGTCTATGAAATTGTTATCCAAGAGGTGTGCATGGGATTAATACGTACCTGTATTGTAACTGGTACCTATTCTATCAAGTTGCGGCGTAAAGCCACGAGGCGCCTCATCTGCAGTTGTCCAGTGACATATGCAGACAGTCCTTGGCTCACAGCACCTTGCAGAGTAAACCGGCGAATTAGAGTGGAGTCCGGGAATATTGTTTCCTTCATGGGTAAGAGTTAACGATTTGATTTAGCTCTGGAATTTTTAATGATCATGAGCTTTATCCTATACGTTAAACCGCAAAGCAGAGGCAATGACTGCTCGCTTAGATAGAGGCCTAATCATCAACGAGATGTTTATTTTGCCTCCCCTCATTTCAGGGCGTTAAGAGGTATTTTGCAATTGACTGATCTATTGGTGAATCGCCACAAAGCGGCCGTTTTAGCTGGGGCAATTGATGATAGATGCGTCCATTGTGGCAATTCAGTTTCTTTTCTCCCTATGAAGACATACTCTAGCCAGAGTGCATAAGTGGGTATTGCATATTGCGGCGTAAGTAAGACATCCAGCCACCAATGGTCTCTATCATGTACTCCTATTATACCACGCCGCCAGCCGCCTTCCTCCTAAAGACCTGGAGCAAATCTCCTCAAGCATTAAGCTTGGAAATCAGGCCCGAGAGCTCGAAGATACACTCCCAAAAACAGAGATCATAGCGCCCCTCACTAACCGCAAATCAATGTCTAGAGGTCGTTAGTACCAATGATTACAAGGTTTTGAGCCTTCCAGAATTGAATTCAATTGGCAGCAATGGGGAAATATCTAGAATGGAGGAGGGCCTATGGAATTTCCGTTATGGATATCGACCAGTCCGCATGAATGCCGCTAAATAACTAAAACGACGAGCGTTTTGGAAGTTGGGGAAATTTAGATTTGTTTGAAGTCCCGGCCAACCCTTACGACTGGGAGTGTGGGATGAGGAAAACACGTACATGTTCATTCATCCAACGCCCTGGTAATCACCTTCTGTTCAGCTGTCCTCGAATTGACAGGCCTAGAGGTTGATGGTTTCATGCGGAGCTTGGCTTTAATTTACGTTGATCCTCGGCCCGACCCGTTTTTACCCGTTTACCACGAAAAGAACCAGAAAATGCAGTTTCTCAGGGCAAGGATTATTTGTACGGAGTGGCGGCGATCTCTCATACAAACTATCCCTGTTTCCGTCACTGGCATTTTCTGGTTCTTTTCGTGGTAAACGAGTATGATCACAAGCATCCGCGGTGCCTGCATCTCGACTTAAGTTCCGACACGCCGATAGTCTTAGCCGTATTTTATAGCGAAACCAACTTCCTTTTGATATGAAGAATATATTTGTTTTGGCGAATTCTGACTGAGGTCTTAGGACATGATCTACTTTAAATTAATGGCGTCATCTAACAAAATCTAACCCACACGACCCAACCAAATCCTCCAACCCAACCCAGCTACATGTAGCCAACCACCCAGTCCTGATATCCACATGAAATACGAAAATGAAAAGAAAAAATGAGAAAGAAAAAAAAGACAATAACAGCAAATGCCAGGAGGGAAAGGGTTTAACATCGCATCTATGGTATCTATGGTACCCCTCTAAGCAATCCAGAACGAAGAAAGAACAAAACTAACATCTCCGCTCTATTTCTGTGGGACAATACTCATGAGAAGCTATCGGATTCATCAGTACCAATCTCATAATTTCTACCAATCTCCAATGTTTAACATACCTTCGCCTGCTTCGGCTCAATCATGAGCGCATTCGCCTCAACCATCACGACCGGCTCCTCTCCATCCTTCGGCAACGTTTCAATGTGCCCCTCCACCCACGCCTTTCGCCCCTCTACCTTGACCGTCTTTGCCCTCAAAACGTAGTAGTTGCCCGCCGGGGTTGGCTTGCGGTAGTTCATTGTCAAGCTCGCCGTCATGGCGATCTTATTAGGCAGCGCGGGAAAGCAGCACCTTGCCAATCCTTCGTCCAGCAATGTCGCCAACAACCCACCATGCACAATTCCAGGATGACCGCAGAGGTCCTCGCCAAGATACATGATGGTAGTCATCGACTTGCCCTCTTCCTCGGCCCATGTAAAGGGCGGAACGACGATCTTTCTAGGCCCGGAGAGGACCCCCGAGGTGAGAGAGGAGGGGCGGTAGGTGGGGGAGAGCTTGAGTGTGGGGCGGGACTCGGTGAAGTCAGGGTTAGACCGCAAAGAAAGCGTGAGGGGGTGCGTGTTGATCTTTTCTTCGATCTCTTTCTCCAGCTGGCCGCTGGGCGTGAAGGCAGTGAGGGTCTCGGCATCGCTGAGGGCGATATATTCTCGGGTAGCCATTATGATTGGGACGGTGGCAAGGATCGAGATGAGGATGCCTGAAAAGAACCAAGTGCGCTGGCGGAAGTAGAAGACGTCTTCGAGGGTGCGGGTTGTGCGCTGGTCTGGAGGCGTGTGAGGATTAGCGGAGCTGCGATTGAGAGTGGGGGTGGCAGATTGAGGTTATCCTTACAGAAGTTTCTCTGGCGAGTAGGGGTCGAGCAAAAGTTTCTGGAGAGTAGGGAAGATCGTAGGTGGAGAGCTGATCTGGAAGGCGCTGCTGCTACTGCTGAAGCTGAAGCTATGGATCTGACTGCGGATGGGGCAGAGGCCCGCAGGCGGGTAGATATAAACATGTTCGAGAAGGAGCTAGCCAGGAACCAAGAGACTGGATCTGGGAAGGTACGGTTGACAGCGAACAGATTAGCAACGTTGGGGTTAGCTTGTTAGCAGTATCGGTATCTCCTTGTCGCTCTGCTCTGGCCGGGATTCGATTGCGGAAATCGATAACGGATAGCTCTTCTGTTGAGAACTACTCGGAGAGCAGTTTCGCCGCTTCGCTCGCTACCTAGGTACCTACTCTACGTACCCACCACTATGCCCTCGTTATTTTGCAAATCAATTTGTGCTCTGGCGACCCTTTCTGTTAGTCCGGGAGCGGTTCCGCCAGTCAGGGAAGGAAAGAAGAAAAAAAAACTACGGAGCTATGGGACGGCGGTGGTTGAGCGGTTGTGCAGGGTTTCTCCTGTCGACCGAGGATCGTTGGGGATTATTCGAGATGCCTCGGTAGAAACCCTGGGTGCACGGATCTAGGCCCGATCCGGCTTAATTATCCGAGTGTTTTTTTTTGTGTGGACAGAAGGCCTCTTCCTGTCGGGTCTAGATATCGCAGCAGAACTGAGGAACTGGAGCTGTGGAACTGCGGAACTGTGAATTAATGCCTACTTACATATAGCAATTGGTCGGCGAGTCATAATTCGAGAGGTTGACTGTTTACCTACTGTGTGCTCTTACTGGCCGTACATGGTGTTGTCGTCCCAGGAATTAATCCTCAAAGGGCAACTTCTGAACCGATCTTCATCCCTCAGCACCACCGCTCATTCGGCCGCCGGTGCTCCCGTTTGAATCATGTCTTAGCAGTCGGGGGCCGGCGAATCATTAGCCCGGAGGTTTTTCGTGGGATGAGTGAAGTATGTGAGGCTTGGATTTGAGGATCTTGGGTGTGTCAGTCCGCCACGTGCAGTTGATGTGAAGGAGGTCTGTTGCTGCGCACGCAGATCTGAATAGTAGGAAGTAACCTAACCCTGACACGCCCGGTGGTACCAAACACCACAATATCACATATTCGTTTACACCCTGGCCCTGTCTGGTCGTCTTAATATCAAGACCCAACAAAATGGAGAGAAACGACTTTGTTGACGACCCCACGGCTGCCTGGGTTCGTTAACATATACCGGTTAGAGAGACATTGGCCCGCCATGTAATTAATGAATTAAACAAAAAAAAAAGACATTGGCCCGCCGAGAATGGAGGATTGTTTGGTGTTGGTATAGATGGAAATTGTTGAGTTTGATATATGTGAACGGGGGCGGATTATTGAGCGAGCGACAGTGATAGACCCCACACTGTGCTACAAATCTGTATCTCGCGGGTACCGTTGGGATGGTGGTACTGGTCGCCGGTGGCTCGGCCTCTGATATGGTTCCTGATAACTCGAGAACGAACTGCGCGGGGAATTGACGGTGCTGTCGTATATTAAACGATGTTTTAAAGAGTCATTGGTCTTTCGAATTCAATCACGCCGGTGTGTATTACTCTGCACGGGGAAGATGCTGCCCCACCATGAACCTGGCGGGAGAAACCACGACTGAGGATGCTATAACGCACACTGGAGGTTTAAACCGTCCACAATGACCTCTCGTGCTCTTTTGTGGTGTTACCATTCATCTGATCGCAATGCCGAGTATTTTGTATCTTATGGCCGGATCATGGTATATCACTCGGCCATGTTAGAACACTCTCCCGGTTCATCAAACGCCCCGGCGCTGTTCCGGCGCTGTTCCGGCTCACTATATCTCTTTCCTATTCATTACAAAAAGATAGAGGCAGCCATACACGGGCATCTGGTTGCCGACTCTCACATACTCCCGGCCTCGTAGGCAATGATGACACGTGGTTCGGTGGTGGCTTTCCGGGCCACGTTCGTGCGCTGTAACCAAGAAACGCCCTTTCATCTATCATTGCCTCCGGTCGCGCGGTATCCGCCATGTGCTCTCGTGCCTGTACACCTTCTCACGGGGCTGCGAGTGATGGACCCGACCGGGATACCTATCTCTGGGCTGTACGGAGATACCACGGCCCGCAGTATAATCCCGCACCTTCGGTCGAGGCGTGGGCCGTACCTGCCCGCATTCTGGGAGGTTATAGTTGTGGATCTCCGCCGGACGTCCCAGTAGCTGGGGACGGGCGTGGATGTCGCAGGACCTGGGCGGGGATCTTTGGGTCTAGCGGACGGCGGTGGAGGCGGGGGCGCTCGCGCATGTCTGGATGGGCGTTGCAGTTGGTCGACCCCGTCTGGCATAACCCGTTGAACCTGAGTCTGGGCCGGCTCGGAGACTGCCACCGGGTCTAGAGATCAAGATATAAAAGATAGAGGCGGGGTGACTTCGGCCTCGTGGAACTCGGGCTGTACCATTATCTGCGATGTGCGAGCAGGTGTCCGCGGGGCGGGAGACTCCAGTAGCTTGGAGAATGTGGAATAGGTGGGTTATATATGCGGTTGTTATTCGGTCGAACGTCAACAGTAAATATCGGGTCAACTACTGAGCAGCAGCCTGGCTCGCCACCCGCGGGGGGTATGTTGAGTTCACAGTGGTTTTAATCTTGCTGCTTATGCGGAGTTTAGAAGAGATACCCGCTCAGTTCCTTAGCCGTCGCAGGGAGTACCCATGGGCTTATATTCAATCCTCTAGATGATGTTCACCGCGCTGGTGTCTCTAGGGGACTATTGTGACCGCGAGACGTTCCCGGCATGTACAACGGTGGCGATCTATATCTCGAAGTTTTGATAGAGATAGTGGCGCGCGGACAGGGCCGTGATATGACAGGGAGGAGAATTTGTGGATGTACAGCCATCCGGGCGGGATCGGAAGAAAGAAGACCGTCGCTCATAACGGCGAACGCGAGAAGGAGATCTTGATCGCTCGAGCCAAAGGATACGCTTCTAGAGGCGGTAAATTATTCCTCGCTACTTCCTTTAAAGCATACATATAGCGCCTAAAATTCAAGATATCGGGAAAATGATATTATTGGCTGCGCGGTTGTCACGCCTGAGGAAGTGGATATGTGCGTCACAGATATCACTCGCTTTCGTCGTGTTACACAAAGATGCCCAAACTTGCGGTGCCCGTATTGGCGTAGCAATGGCCGCCATCGGGCTGGCAGTAAATATCCTGAATTTGACGACTGTCGCATATGGGAGAATTTAAATGCAGTAAAGTGGGAATTAAAAAGAAGAAAGAGCATGCAGTATGGTAGGGGCCCGTGACGAACTCGGGAGTTTTAAACTGAGTTACTGACAGACAGTTTTAAACTGTTAAAAACTGGCTTGAAGAAAGCTGGGTGTCATGGTTATGAACTAACCATTGGTGTAAGCCGAATTTCTTTTTATGGGTTAGGGTAATTCGGGTGTAAAATTGGATTAGAAATGAAATTTGGGGTGAATTAGGGTATTCTTGTGGTAAGTTTAGAGTGGACATCAAGGTTAGTTCATGACGTTTAACAGTTAAAAACTGCTGTTTATGACAGGCTGAGTTCGTGACGCTGTTTTGACTCGAGCTCTAAGTTCGTTACGGGGTACTATAGTATGGCTACTGATAGATATATATGGTTATCATATAAGACTATAGTATATTCTTTCCCTATATGTAGAGAGATTTTGTCTCTTGCTTCTGTTCTCTTTCTCTCTTTCCTCTTTACATAACGGTCTTTGTTACCTTAATAAAATGTTTTTGTAATTTTTCTATAGCTCACAAATTAGATTATTATTTACATTATTGAAGTTGACTAGCTTCAAGTTGATCTGTAGATTGAACTTGATAATTACCATATACTACCAGTCGGCCAACTCATTACTGCCAAAACAACAAGCCGAAAACTAGTTTGATTTCGATATTAAATTCACTTCAAGCTTAACATTGATATCTAGCTCAATATTGATTCCGATCGGATGAATACACTGGCACATGCACGCTTTGGGTTCAAGTTTAGTGACTGGCAGTGCAAGTGACTGCAATTGGCTGTAAAAACTAGCATAAGCTAGGTTTGCCTCAGAAAACGAAACAATTATCTATCTGTAGAATAAAAACGAATCAGGCAGCCTGAGATTCTCCACAATATCAAAATATCATACACAGTTGCCTTCTCCAAGTTTTGCAATTATTTCTTACTAGTACCAGTTTGCAGTTATTTTTTCCAAGTTTGCAATCAGTGCCTCTTTAATATCTACAATATATATTCTACTGCCCCTATTCTTACTCTTCAAGTTGATACTACCGCTACAGGTATACGATAGTTATCTTATAAACGACTTCAAGCATACCTCCAAGTCCTATCGAAGCTGCAAGTATCAGCAAAAAACGTGTTTCTCCAAGACGATGACTCCTGGTACCGAGATGACCAAATTCATCTTTTCCGCTTTAAACCTCGTCTTTTGCTATTAAAACCTCGTCCAACTGCTACTAAAATGTGACACGTCGTCCTATGTCGTCTAGCAAGCATCTAAAATAAAATACATCGCCGTTTGGCGCCTAGCAAGCATCTACTAGTAAAATGTGATGCGTCGCTCTTCAAGTACTTCCATCCTGAATGTGTTAATTATGAGCAACTACAGTCAACAGATCTTCTTGAAGAAATTAGGAACACAAGGCTCTGTAATGTCAATACACATGACTATTATGGTAAGTGAATATATATCTCAATCTGAATACATTCAATAACTAATAATTTGTAGACAATAATCTATATTTACCCTTCAGTACTAAAAATTATTTCTATCAAATTATATCTGCAGCTGATTTACAGAACACTATCCATTACAAAGACAATATGCCAGTGCCTGCCAGTGAGGGTCGGAAAACTCATTTTGTTGCCTATACCTTGCTCCGAATCAACTTTGATCAATACATTAGAGAGGGAAATCAAAACCCAACTCTCTCTCTTTTACCGAAACCTAGAGAGTTTAACATTCCCAGTTCCAGAAGAAACAGAGGTATAAATACAGAATCAGAGTTCGCAGGGGAGAGTAAGCCGGATAATACAGATAATGAATCAAGCAGGAATGCAGACTCTGATTGGGAATAATTGCTTGTTAAAAAATAATTCACATTTTTTTTTTTTTCTCTTTCATTTTTACCTGTAATTAAAATTTACTCATCGCTATCTACAGTTGCTGGCTTCACTTGGGTCCGGTATTATGACTTTTTGGGTCACGGCGTTGCCAAATCCCTAAATTCCTACCTCAGATCTTTTAATTTTGTCGTGTCGCGGCGTTCCCAAATCGCCGAACCGCCAAACCAGTCATTGTACTTTTGTATGTATGAGCCGCCGTACTCAGTAATGATATTACTACAGGCCGACCGCTTAACTTGAGAATTTAAAAGGATTGCCGTCAAGTTAATCCTGGCCCCAGTCAGAGAGGCAAGAGCTAGAACATGCCCTCTTTTCCCCATAGGTGTCGTCTTGCCCCGAACATTCAGCATGGTAGAGTTCGTAGTAGTGATCAATCAAGCTTTCGAAGCTCCATTGCCCGAAGCTCCACTGCCCGAAGCTCCACTGCTCGAGCTCGAACTCGAGCTCTCCCTACTGTTGCAGCTTGACCCGCGTTGTTATGGTTCAAACCCGGGCCTATCATTGGCCCAAACCGCCTGCGCGACGTCCTGTACCTATCATGCGGACCCGGCCCGGTTCAAAAACGTCAGTAAAATACGAGTAGTAATGCTGGTGGGTTTTTATAACTACATGCATAGATTCTACTACATCTGATGAGTCTAAACCTTTAATTTCAACTCAACCCGATAAGAATTGGTGGAGTTGTCCCATCTTTTGAAACGACTCGAGATGGTCCCCTTCCTTCATGATGTATCACTCGACGCTTATTCAGCGGAACGACCCCCCCACCCGTTACGCAAGGTCGTGAATCTGGATGTCTCAATAGTGCAAGGGATAGTACCTTTTCAGCCGCATAAATAAGCGTCGATGCACTCCTCCATCCAGCATACACGGGCCAAGGTTTTCTTCGCACTCGGATATAAAGTTTACCTACCACTGTTCCCCCACCGGAACATCTTAGTAGCGTTGTGTCACTAACCCGCAGCGATCGTTCATCAGGAGTCACTCACCACGGCAGCCAATCACCCACTCCTGACTCGTTCACCTCACGCGGAAAGCACATCATTCGGATCGATCCGCACGATGACCAGCAAGATCAACTTCGCCTAGCTGGTACGTATGTCAAACCCCCGAAATAGTACACTTTCTACCCCAGCCCGACCTCATAGGGCTGTGCAACCTTCCACTTGCAAATTGATTGAGACCTGCAGATCAACCGGATTTGTCAATACAAGTGCTGATTACTGTTCTGCAGGCCGCGGTACTTTACTCGGGGGCAGTGGTAGGGGTCCGGATAAGTAAGCCCTGGGGGCGGATAAGTCATTAGACACACACACACACAGTGTCCTTTACCCGCAACCAGCAATGTAATCTGCGGTCCCCACGACCACGTTAACAACGGGTTCTCCAAACTCCGATTCGATTCAAGATCCTGGATCGGGGCTCGTTAGGGAGAGGGAGCGACACTTCAACATCACCATGGATGAGATCTGATCCATATTCCCATCAATCCGGGGCGCTGGATGCTCGAATGCGGTGAGAAAGTCCAGTTTCCTCTCCCCCCTCCCACATCATAACACAGACATTCGCTAATCAGGACTGCTGCAAGGGTTTTTCTTAATTAATATAGCCAGCTCTTCTGCAGTGAGCGGCGTAGGTAATGCATATGTACATCCGCCCACCTCCGGGCTGTGACCACCTGCTCTCCTCGTCCAATCAGCTAGGCAGCTGAGCCTAATCCGTCTTTCCGATTTCGTCAAATGTTTAATTTTTTTTTATAAATATCCGCAGGGCTTATTCTCTAATTTGTATATACGGGAGATTGATTGGTTACACTGCATTTGCTGCAGGCAGGATATATTACCCCCCCATCAACTCTCTCTTTATGCTCTATATCTTCGGCTGGCACCCCCCCCCCCCTCCCCCCAATATCATAATATAAGCTTAACGGGTACCCCAATGATGATTTTCTAGAACCTTTTCGGCACCACCAAAGTGCTCTGGGGGCCGTATGCTAACTATCATATATCACCGCTCTGGACAACACGCAAAATGAAGCCGATAGCAATATTCCTCCTCCTTCTGATAACATGCCTTCTCGCGTCAGCACAGGAAACATGCTTCAAAGGCTGCACACGGGACTCGGGCATCAACGAGTGCCCCGGCAGCACCCCGCACGACGATGAGGCCTGGAATGCGCTCGACACCTCCGTACACACTTGCTACTGCGACGCAGCGATATTATTTTCCGTCTGCAGCCCGGGCTGTAGCACGCTCGGGTTCAGCGCAGATGCGTTTGGGAGATCGCTCGGACAGTGGAGATACATTGACGGCGTGTGCAACAGCACCGTGGCCTCCTTCACGGCGACGGCAGTCATCAGCACAAACACCGAATTCAACCTCGCCTACACCGTACCATACAGCGGCAACCTCACCGCCGCCACCGCAACCCCCACCGCATCCAGGAACAGCAGCAGCAGCAGCAGCGCACCCATCACCACCACCCTCACCACCCAGACATCCACCCTCACCCCGCTCCCCGACTCCTCCAATCAATCCCCCAACTCCGACTCTTCCCCAAGCACCCGCACAATCGCCCTGGCCGTCAGTCTCTCCATCGTCGGCGCCATCACCATCTCCGTGGCGCTGTGGCTCCTCTTCCGCCGCCGCCGCCGCATCCAGCTCACGCAGAACATCTACGAGACGCGCAACGCCATGGTGATTGTCGTCGGCCCCGACGGGCTGCCCATGAGCCCCGACGCGCCAGAGTATCCGCCCGAGATGCGCGACCCCAATAACGAGAACGTGAAGCGGTGGATTGCGGAGCAGCAGGAGAGGGAGCCGGATCTGTCGGTGGGGTATACGCTGTGGACGGACACGGAGCTGGCGCTGACGGACGCGGGGGATATGGATCGGGAGAGGGATCGAGAGAGGGATAGGGAGCGGGAGATGGAGATGATTGCGGAGATGGATGATGGCGATGGGAGCAGGAGGGGGGGTCGGGCCTGACCACTACCGGGGGAGGGGGAGGGCGAGGGGGCCTCACTACTAGTGGGGGAAGGGGAGGGCGGGGGGTCGGGCCTGACTACTAGCGGGGGAGGGGGAGGGCGAGGGCGAGGGCGAGGGCGAGGGCGAGGGGAAGGGCCTCATTACTAGTGGGGGAGGGGGAGGGGGAGGTGTAATGGGTTGGTTCCCGCGGTGGGGGGGATCGTAGATTAGCATTTTTTTTTTTTTTACCTGGTTAGCATTTGGTTTTTTACCTATCGGGAGGGACGGCTGATAGAGCCCTTCTCGCGTGGGGAGCTCCGACGAACTCGAAGGAGATGTAAATATGTGTGGTTGGCGTTGAGGACGCAGGTTGGGAGCCCGTCATGTAGGGGCCCTGGTATGTCCGTAATCTAAGTTCGCGTGTCTGGTCGTGCATGTAAAGTAGTCATATGGTAGAGTGTAGTATTCTATTTTAGATAGCCTATAGACACACCCTTGCTACTAAATTTGTTATGCTCGCTCGCTAGGTAGGTAACCTTGTCACTGCATTCAGAATTGGGGGTATAGCAGGGCCGGATTAAATATTATCCTGACCGCGAATCCCGTTAGAAAGTTGAGGCTAATACCGGACCCCCTTTGCTTGTGCAGTACCGTGCAGGATCGAGAGACGTTTAGCGGGTTATATTGCCCTCCATCCCATACGCGATATATTTATTTTCTGTTTTAATTTTATGCAGCCTTACGTTACAGCTATAAATTATAATACGACAATATTGCAGGGCTTCCCATCAACCTCGCTAACATAAGAAACGTCCATGCGTGAGATACATTTTAGCTCACCCCAGCCAGCCCCCTCGCCAACGGGATAGAGTGAAAGATCTCTATCCACTATATACCGCCATGTTTGGGTTTCGCAACACCAGCATTTACCGCTGTATTTGAGAAAATTCGTTGCGCTGTAGCAGGGGTATGAGCCAACCAGAGGCAGTATTTGGACGTCAATATGCAAGATTTGGTAGAGAAGACCCCGGCTGCAGCGCAACGAATTTTCTCAAATACAGCGGTATTCCCAATGGCGGGGCTGGAGTGATTGTTCTAGATTGAAGTTTACTCCCGGCCGGCGGCTGACCGATGCGGATACCAGAAGATTGGATTCCGGGCATAACATCTATAGCCCGCATCCTTGTATGTACTGCGATTATGTTGGCCGGGATGAGACGCGCGCGACGTACTCGCGCGGCCGAGTTTCGACTTACTCACGTGACGCTATTTAACAGGTTTTTTGCGTTACCCATAGGTCATGTGATTAAGTTGAAACTCGGCCGCGCGAGTAGGATAGGATAGGATTGATTGATAATTCATTGATTATAATTATGTATGACGCGACGTAGGGACGGACAGCGCAACTCAAAATTATTGGTAATTTTCGTCTTTGAATCGCTCTTTGCGAAAGGGGATACTGATATACTTAGTATTGCGGGTAGTTTGCGAGGTTTTGGGCTATTGTCAAGACGGGTTGTTGGTGTGGTGGATGTCGCGTGGATCATTGACTCTCACTCGGAATCCCGAGCTAGCCAAACCCCCCCAAAAAATGTTGGGGTGCCTGGAGTCGAAGTGGGCGCGAGGTGAGATGTTTTCTGACTTTGTTTTAGAACAGAAAATACTAACCGATAACATCAAAAATTCTTTCTTCTAGGCTTTGGACCTTTGTGAGGAAGTATCAAAATGTACCTACATCTCGGCGGGTATACGGGGAGGGTTAGGGTTGGTGTATATGCAGACCTCCATACGAGCCCGCGACTGTCAATACCTTGCCCCAGTAGTCATTGCGCGGTTAGACGGGATCATTGGCAGCTTACACCTGTCTTCAACTTTATCTATTGTGAGTTGGAGGGTTTGAGTTTGGGTTGGGTTTAGTTGTGTTGGTCACAGCTTAACAATATCTTTATTTCTTCCGAAATTATTTCCTCTCCGCCCTCAATTGAGTGTCTGCAGATCAGGAAACAATACTACCCGAAACATAATATCTGAGAGAGGATATATACTATAATGAAGAGGTTGGACTGAAATAAGCACCACAGCACCCGGCGTCCAAAAGCCAATTCGTTCGCGTGTCTGATCTAGGAGGCAACACCAATCACGATATAATCCCAGTCGGGGGTATGTATACACCTAGACACTATATCCGTGACGAGAGCTTCCATCCAAGGTACCATGTATACCACAACCACCCCACCGCATTCGACATCGCGAGTCGACAGCCACCCCATGTATACATGTATATGAGCGAACCGCCATCGAAATATACATCCTTCTGGCCCCCAGTACTGAGACCGCCGTCTTGCCGCCCCGCAATGCATCCGACTCCTATGCAGCTGGATGTCCATGGCAACAGGTACGGCATATCGAACTGAAGAAAACCGAGTCCCTATGTAGTGGGGGAAATGGTGGGGGTGGGTTAGGGTTCTTTTAAGTGGCATAAATATCATACCCGCACGTATGTACGAACCCTCAGCGGCCAGTATCTACAGTGACCCACCCACAATACACAGTATCGCGGGCGAAGACGAAGTAACAGCCAAACTCCCAAAGTTCTCTTTTAACCCGGGGAGTTCGGATAAACCGTTAAAAGGTTCTATGAACTTGATCATCGAAGAGAGTAAACTACGAAGACTACCTGAGGGAGAGGGGACTGATGAAGACCTCTATGAGCGAGGTGGTGCAGTATATGTCTGGAGGTATCAGCAACGGGTCTAAAGAGTTCAAGTGAGTATTGTGAGGCCTCTTCACTGGGAAAGAAGGAGGGGGGGGGGGGGGGGGAGGGCGTTCTTGGAGATGACTTGCCCTATTGAAGTTCTTTTAAAGCCTTTATGAACTTTACCTAGATGGGCGGCAGAGCGGTCCGGAAGAGACAGCGTGAGCCCTCTCACAATCACCTCCCTCATCCTGAGAATCCCCCGATTTCACCAAGGACAATTCCAAAAACCTGTATCAACTCACCACAATTCCCCCACCAAGGTTATCAAAAATGCCATATAACCCCCCTTCCCCCCCCACAAAGAGAAAAAAGCGAGAACGGTAAATAAAAGACCAGTGGTTCCCTCTTCGAGCTTTTCCTACCGCAGTTAAGGCCAAAGTATAGCCGATATATCCGCAAGCACTGGTACCTTGGGCCTTCCCCAAAGGTATAGGATATATACATCTACCCGCATTGCTCTAGCTCTGGGGGAAATTTTTTTGTGGGGTCCTTTCGTTGGCTCCTGGTTCTTTTGGCTCCGCGGGGGTAAGTTGAGGTTGGCTTGCTTTGGTCTTTTTTTGACTTTTAGGTTTCGGCTCTTGTTAATTCCTTTGGCCCCTTTTTTCCATTTTGCTCCGTTTCTTTGGTTCGTTCTTCTGTGGACTCCAGCACTTTTGATTCTGGCTAGTGTGGCCGACGAGACGGGTTGATTCGAGTCCTCGACTTGAGCCCAAATTAAGCTCGAGCAGCCACGAGCAGATCCTCACGAGTCGAGTTGGCTCGAGCTCCTTCCATTGCTCGACTTGAAAAGCTCAAGCTTTTGGGATGTTATTTTAACTATACTAAAAAAAAAAAATGCGGATAATATTCTTGGTAATTGATTTTACGAAATGTAAGAGTAGGAAACCCTAACCCTAGAAACACCTGTTCCAGTGAAGAAATCGACATATATATCCAGAATGGCTTTAAGGACAAATATCTGGGATCACTGAAAAGCTCGAGTGGCTCGAGCTGCACTCGAGCATTTACAAGTCGAATCGAGACGAGCAGCTGTTATCACGAGCCGATTCGAGCTCCTGCTCTCTCTCGTCTCGAGCCGGCTCGTCGACCACACTAATTCTGGTTCTCGCCCCGCTGGCACCTATCCATTCAGCACCCATTCCGTTTGATTTTGCCCATATGGTCATGCGTTCACACGCACGGCACCGGACGGCGCTGGACCCTACGCATCGTATAAGCCCCAACGCCACTCCGGTCCGTGGACTGCCCCGAATGTCGCGCTTAGTGGAGTTTTTACATGACTTACTTGATTTGTAGAGTTCTTTCACCGTGAAGGAATACCAGACTAGCTAGCTGGCATATCGATTCCACTTACAGTGAAGTGCTGAGCTAGCGTTCTCTCCAGACGAATACAGTGACACGTTCTGTATTCCCTCCCTAGAATGGTGTACCTTAACCAACCACCCCCCTCTATCACCCTCTTCTCTCACCCTTAAGCTCCACCCCAACACCAAGCTCCCTCTACATGTATCTTAGCACAGGCACACGCCTAACCCCCCACACCCCCACACCCCCGCCCAGTCCCGCCACCCCGCATCACGGTATATCACTAACACACCGAGTGATATCCCATGACCGACACTTCCCGTTCGAAGCCTGTAAGAGCCAGGAAGATAGTCTGCCAACAGCGCGATTCCAACCCCTTTTGTGGAACGCATGTCCGTATTTCTGAATTCCTTATATTTTAATTCGTTACGGGATAAACACAACACACAAAAAAGGGGAAGAAAAGCTGTTCACCAAGTCCTCAAACACGAAAGAAAGCGAAGGAAAGAATGTAAGAGGAATAGGGAAAGGGGGATACGGAAAAGAAAGAGAAAAAAGGAAAAGCCATCCCACCATCACCACCGACCCCAATGCCACCCATCCCCACCAAAAAGAGACATAACAAAAAGAGAAAAGGAGAGAGAGAAGAGAATAATGAAACAAACTCCCAATAACTCAAGCTATGTACACAATAACCTCAGCTCCCTCCACAACCCCCCACCTCATCTCATCCCCTCCCCTCATCTCGTCACCTCACCTCATCTAACCAACCCCTCATAGATCGTCCACACAACCGCGCTGCTCACCGCCTTCCTCGCAATCCTCAATCCCAGCCCATCAAATAGCGCCCGCCCCCTCATACGCCCACTCTCCTCCGTAACCACCATCTTCGCCGCCTGCCACAGATTCCTATACCTCCCAGGATCGACCTGAATCCTTGTCTTGAGCGCATCAAACG